GCCCTTTGGAGGCTGGCTCTTGATGGTTTCCCTGCCTTTCCTATGCATAGGGCGCAACGTCAAAGAGGTATCCCGGCTGCTATGTGCCCCTGTGGTGTACGCATGCTTTGTGGGGATCGTCGGCATCATTTCTGGGATTGTACTGTCGCGTTGGCTCTTCGTGAAGCTCTGCAAAACGAACTTGAGTTCCCTGACCTTTTCAACCGGGCTAACCTGTGGTTGGGCATTCCACCAACCTGGATTTGTGCGTGTGTATGGGAGGTTGTATGCCTTGCGGCCATCAGCTCACTCAATCTCGGTCGCCGTTTGTTGTTTAGGGAAGGTCTCCAGACCAACATGCCTATATCAACGCCATCGCTTAACCGCATTACTTACGAGGTTATCTCTGACTTTTGGGCCCGTTTAACTGCTTTTGCGGCACGGGACTACTTGCCAAAACATTGGGATCATGTACCTCACAATCACCCTTTCTTATATGTCAATGACGCAGACATGGTTGTTTGCCGTTTACCGATATACAATGACGAAGTTTGAGGGCGCACGTCGGAGCCTCAATTTTCTGTTTAAGCGTACTAACTGAGGCCGTGTGTCCAGTGAAGTTAGTACGGCCTGGCCGAGTTCTTTTTGAATAAGGCCCACAGTGTTGTGCGGGAGGCGCTCCTATGGGCGCTGCACTCGACCCGTTCGGGGTCCACTGTAACAATCGCATCTCACAGATTTTGTTTGGCTCGCTCGACATTTCATCAGAGGACCTTCGTATGAACCTTTTTCGGATCGCTCGAGCGTCTCAGGACGCACTTTGTGGAATGATGCACGTCCATGGAGTCCAGGAATTAACTTTGCGCGACCAGCCACTCTGTATGGCCATGTAGCAATCCACTTTCCATTCCTCGTGAAAAAAGCGTCCATATAATAATAGGACAAGGGGCTCCGCTCGTCAAAGTAGACTTTGTTGTGGTGGCATTAGCCGAACCAAAACGAACTCCTGAAAAGCTTTACGAAACTCATCAAGAATACGGTGAACAAAAAGTTAAAGAACAAGTGGAACCATCCGGAACCAAACGCAATCGAGCAATGCAGCGGTCACTCATGAAAACACAAAGAGATGTAACGGAGGCTCCTTACAGGAACCAGGATTCCAAGACAAAGAGGTCTGGCAGGTCAAGTCGTGTCGCATCACTTCTGGGCCTGCCCCGTGGCCCTCGGCACGGTGGGCCAAGTTGAATTGCAGATGGTGGCTCGGGTGAGCCGAGCAAAGCTCTGGCTGATGCAAGCGCCACCCCCTTGGAGCGCTGTGTGTAGGTGGTGGTAGTGTGTCCTGAGGTGCCTGTGTAGGTGACTTCCCCCGAGTTCTGCTTTATCCTTTTCCGGTGCAGTCGTGATGCGTCGCTGTTGCCCCTTGTTTGCCCCTTGTAGTGGTGTCCCGCTGGCTGTCTCTGCATTTTTGGGTGTTCTGCTGGCGGGCTGTAGCTACTGTTAACTTTCGGGCATTGTGATGCGGGGATGCATTGCACCGACGATTCCTTGCACGGGGTCCGCTGTAACCTTCATTCATTCAGTGTATGTGAAGAAGTGCATGAATTCTCGGTCTTAGAGGGCATTGCGTTATGTGTGTGGTGTAGGGCGTGTTGGATTTCACACAGCACCCTTGGCCCTTCATCAGATTACATGCAGCACAAGTCACACGGCTGCCAGAGATTCACACAGATTCACACAGCGGCCTCCTTCATCACGCCTGCCTGGGATTCAAACATTCAGTGCTCCGTCTGGTGCTCCCGGAGTTGCATGCTCTGCGCGTTCCAGTAGTCTCTCTCAGGCTGTGACAGCTGCCGCCATTTCAAGGCGATTTGCTTTGTATGCTCATGAGGCAGGGAGCTCTGTCCAGCTGCCGCTGCTTCTGCCTTCTGTGATTGCGTGAACAACATGTAGCCGTTTGGTACCTGCTTTGGCTTTGCCGCTTGACCACCCACGCTCTTCTTCCTGGCACGTGGATTTGTGACCTTCACAGCTGCTCCGCTATCTGTTATCAGCCTATAAAGGATCATGCCGTTTGCTTATGAATCTATCATGTAAGGGACATGCAACGACGTCAGAGGCAAAGGCTGCGGGGAAGTCAAACTCGAAGCCATGGAAAGCTATCTTCGCGCTCCGATTTAGCTGAATGTTCTCGATCGATGAAAATCGATGAAAACTGATGTAGCTTTTACATGCAATCTTTAGCGGAGCGAGACATGTAAATTTTATCTTACCCTGGAAAGGTATCTTTGCGCTCCGATTTATCTGAATTATCTCCTTTGCACAATCGACGTAGAATTGATGTAGCTTTTGAACGCTATTTTCTGCGTAGCAAGATATGTAAGCCCCTGACAGACTGACTGACTGACAGCAGTGAACACCTGGCTCAGCCCCCCGAATGGCGCTTCGCGTCCGGGGCCTCGCCCAAAATTGGAGAAAAAGCAAGCAAGGTCCCAAACAAAGAATGCCATGGAACCGACCACGCTAGAAGCTGCAGCTGCCGCTGCTCGCCCCTCATCAACATAACAAGGTGTCGAAGTGGGTGCGACTGTGTACGGCATTACACATGGCACAGTACGACATAGCAGCACACACTGTGTGGTGTCACGTAATACTCTGGATGGCAAACACATAAAATGTACACTTTGCCGATAGAACATGAATGCCATAAAACCTTAAAGCAAAAGCCATAACTTTCTTGCCCTTACCCCGACTTACCCTCACGGGGAGCATGGTCCACTCATTGCCCACTGTTATTTTTTTGTGGAATATATTCCGAATTCGGAATAAAAAAATGTTCGTGGTCCTGAAAGTTAAGATTAAATAATGTTCCAACCGTACAAGTTCATTCCTCCAGCCAAAAATGGACTGTCCATGCCAAAGCCGCTACAATCTTACAGGAGACATACATGTTACCCATATCATATTACTTTAATGCCATGGATACTGTTAGGAAGCTCACGCCCGAAAGTCAACGAGGAATCGGACTGTTTCTGACCGGACCAAACGCTGCAAAACATTCGGACCCGAAGCTCCCAAAGCATTGAAGGCCATTAAAGCAGATACTAAATTTCACTGAAGCCATTAGCGACGTTAATGAAGACGGTGTAGGGGTCGTAGGCAATGTGGACGCAATGCTGCAGCCAGCCGACGACAATGACGCCACGCCGGTTGTCAACAGCGAGTGGGCCAAATATCAATGTTCCTCATATGGATAAAATCGCGATGGGCCAGGAAACAGGTTGCGTTTGGTGGTTCCGGTTCATTGCTGCTATGCATCATTACTTCTGCAACCTGGAAAGTCGTGTAGTGTTATCTTTCAACGTGATGCAGGACGAACGATGGTGAACGAACTCTATTCGATCAGTGCTTGAGAGATTGGTGTGCGCGTGTTACGACATTCCCAAACCCGGCGTTTGCACGAACTAAATTGTAACTCATCGGGGGGGGGTCGCCTTACAGATTCGGAATACCTTTATCCCGCGATAAAAAACCTATTCCTCCGTTCGGACTGGAAAATTAACCGGCAGAAATGAAAAAAAAACTGTTGCCCAGGTCTCGGCGCAGAGTAGTTGGCCATGGCCAGATACTATGTGTTGAAAGACTGTGTATCACCGTACATCACGTCACTTGGCAGTGTCAGCGACCAGCGACCCCAGGATTGACGCCTAGCAACCGCTGGGATTGCAGACCCTTAAAACAATGATGACTTTTTACAAGTCGGTTGTCGGCTTCCTCGAAGCCGGAAAAAGGGCGGAACCCCTAAAAAAAAAAAAAGGGAAACCCTAAAGGGGAACCCCTAAAGTTCCCCTTAGGGGATGATGTTATCCCCCTCCCCTGCATCCGTACAGGCCGGTAGCTAGCGCGGCACGTGTGACAATTGATGGGTAGTGTGAACGCGGTGGGAGATGTGCTTTGTTGCAGCAGTGCTGATGGTGTGAGAGCTAAGCTTGCACCGGCGGAACCGTCAGCACTCAGCAGCGGCGGTTGCGTAACCCAGGAGCATAAGTGCAGACTTTGCAATTGCATTTTTTTGTATTAACAAAGCACCGAAAGTAAAATCGATTTCATCCACAGCGAAAAGTAAAACCTGAAAGAAACCGCTGAGTGGAGCCCCAACGGCATCCCCCAACTATCCTCGCCAAATGAATGCTGCTGTCTTTTTGTCAAATCCCTTTCGTCGAGACCTGTCAAGCACGCCCGTCATTATTTCCTCAAAAACCATTACTCTTTTGGGGCCGACGCGCTTGTCTACTCCCAAACGCGCCAACTACCAACCGCCAACTGAAACATCAACGCGATGATGGCCGAGCAGGTCAGCAAAATGGTCTCAAGAGCACAATTAGCAACATGCACCAGACAAGGAGCGGAGGCAGCTCCCTCCTCCTAAAGTTCGCATCGTTCCCCGAATCAATCCTAATGCTACATGCGCTTCCCTCTTCCCCCCTGCTCTTCTTCCTGCTGCTCGGTTGACGAGAGATCATTGATGCATTCTGCATCACCTTTTATTTCATCGGCTTACCGTACAATCGTACACCGCAACGGTCTACACCGCAACAACGGCCTACACCGCAACAAGGGTCTAGGGGGCGTCCTCCGAAGGTCGACCCTCCGAGGTCAACCCTAAGAAAGGAAGTCGTACCGATACTGAAACGGCATGAACGTTTTGTGTGTCAACATTTCTGATTGCTGTTGGCCAATGAAAAAAGCCCCACTACGGAGGTCAGGAGTACGACCGTACTACATGTCAAAAAAGCGTACGTCAGGAATCCTGCCACGCGCACGTCGGAAAGGAGACCTTTTAGACGCTCTAGGGAGACCACATCGTACCCTACGCCGTACTCCGGCCGTACGTGACCGAACATGGCAATGACGCCGTGCCATTTGCCGTACTCAACGCCAAGCATGACAACGAAGCCATGCGGTATGCCGTACTTCACGCCGTACAAAGGAACTCCCCTGAACAGTACAGTACGGGCGCCCAGCTACTCCTGGTCCCGCGGGTGGAGGTGCATTCGGATGCCTCTGGTGCCTCGCGTCTGCAACGTCAAGTGCGTGCTCTCCCGTTGCCGTACACCCTCGCGGCCGCCCATCTGTGAACAGGGCACATAGGGCCCACATGGTAGTGGCGGGATGATTGTACGGCAGCAGAAAGTCTGAATGCCGTCGTGGGAAAAGTGCAAGCAAAGCCAGGGTGATCGGCAAGGCTGCGCAGCAGGAGGTAGGCGGCATCATCGAACCAATAGAAGCTTAGATGAGCATTTTTTATTTTGATACACGTGGTGTGTGTTTAACACCCTCCATTTTAAACGTATTGATTCTTTGCCGTACTTTGCATTTAACTGTTGCCAAATTTGCAAAGGTGAAACCTAGGGGGGGTGAAAGGTGAAACCTAGGTGAAACCTAGGGGGCCCACCCCTGGGGCCGTGGGGAGCCCTAGGGGCCCGGGGGCCCAAGGCTGCCCCAACTAGATGGATAGATGTCGTAAAACGCATATACGTTGATCCACGGACCCGTTGATTAATGATATCTATGTATCTATTCCGTACTTTCTTTTTACGCATTTGGATATGTGGTATACGTATATGATACAAGTTTGATATGCGGGTGTTGTACGGCGATACACGCCAACAGCTGATGGTACAGGGTTTGGCTTTTTGAAATTGCCTGGGCACTCACACAGAAAGAAAGAGGCGGGCAAACACGAGTCGCGGCGCCTGCCAACCTGACAACCTATGACAACACGGGTTCTGTTTTCCAAGCGGTTAGCTCTACCGGTTGCAACCACCACAACCACCAACGACACCGCAACCACCAACGACACCGCAACCACAGACAATATTTTCGAAAGTAGAAGATCAAGATTTCTTGGCATCCGTCGCACCTCATCCGACAGCTCGATTCGGAAGTTCGCCAGCAGCATCGCCAACACCGTCATCACCTCCAGCTTAGCGAGAGACTGACCGACGCAGCTTCGGGGTCCCTCGCTGAACGGCATGAAGCTGATGCCGGTACGGCGGCCGGCGCCCCCGCCGCCGCCTAGCAGGTCGCCGTCAGCGTCGACACCGCCGCCGCCGCCGCCGTTGACATCGTCGTACTCGTCCGATCCGGACGACCCGGAAGGCGTCGTCCGCATGCGTGTCGTCGTACCGGTGCCGTTGGCAGCGGCGGCAGCAGCGCTATTGCCGTTGGACTCGAGGGGGCCCGCCGGCGCCGCCGCGGATGATGCCTGGTGCTGGTTCTTGGCGGCGACGGCGTGTTCCCCGGCCATTGGGCTGGCAGGGCCGTCACTCATGGGGATGCCCTCCTTAGCGCGCATGTCCAGGACGTACGACTCCAAGGGCACATCTGTACGGGCACCGCCACCACCGCAGAAGCAGCCGCAGCAAGATCTCATTGACCGCTACGCACACGGCAAGAAAAGGGACTACATCCTCCGAGGCGGCAAATCGCCGCTGTGCAGTCACGTCACAACGCTAGTTGTTTTGGGGGTTATTCCCCACAAACCCTGAAGCCCTAAAAACCCAAAAACCCAATGCAAAACGAAAAAATGCCGGGTTTTTTTCAGCTGGGAGAAGGCCTCGAGGCGCCTTCTTCTTCTTACGTCTTCCTTCCTAGAATGTACATGACGGTAGACGGGGTTCACACACAACTCCCTCAGCCGCATGCGATTCGACACATGACGCAATTCATTCACACTCGTACGCGCAGAGTGAAATAACAGAGCCAGGGTGACAGCGCTGTGCATGTGCATCAAACCCTCCTAAAACCCTTCTAAAACCCTCCTAAAACCCTCCTAGAACCTTCCTAAAACCCTCCTAAAACCTTCCTAAAACCCCCAAACTGCACTCACCCAGCCACCTCTCTGGTTTGAAAGTCATGGGATCCCTCCAGTTGTGGATGGTGTTGTGGATGGCGAACAGGGCGGTAGCCACGGGGGTACCGGAGGGTACGACATAGGGTCCAACGCGGGTGGGCTTATCCGTAGTCCTGAGGGCCGCCGCCGCCAAGGGGGGTGGCGTAGGTAAATCTACTGTCGCTGGGTTGTTAGTGCAGTAGTTGGGAGGGGGGAAGAGGGTGACAGGACCAAGACGACGAGGACAAGTGCAAGCAGGGGATGAAGATGCGTGGCAAGGAGGAGGGGCAGGAAGGCGACTTGGGCCTCACTTAGGTGTTCGCTTGGGGTCCACCAGCATCTCGAGAGGCCTTATCAGCGGCCAGCTATTACACTAACCTTAAAACCCGTCCGAAACCATCACCCTGTTAAAACCCATCTGAAACCATCACCCTGTTAAAACCCATCTGTAACCATCACCCTGTTAAAACCCGTCCGAAACCATCACCTGTCAAAACCCGTCCGAAACCATCACCCTGTTAAAACCCTGTTAAAACCCATCTGAAACTATCACCCTGTTAAAACCCATCCGAAATCATCACTCTGTTAAAACTGGCTAAAACTTCTTCTCTAAACCCCTTCTCCTCTGTAACCTTCATCTAAAACCTCATCTAAAACCCTCATTCTCCACCTGCCCATGATGGACACGACGGGGTACATCCTCATGGACTCCTTCACGCACGCGGTCAGGTAGCGCAGGCGCTTCAGGTCGTCGAGCTCCAACTGCCGTGCGGCGCTGCGACCCCCCTCCGACTTGGGCCGGACCAGGAGCCCCAAGGAGGACAGCTCTTCAGCCACGGCCTCCTGCGTACCTGTGATTGGGATGTTCAATAGGTAAAATGAGCGTTATTACTTCAATTAAGTAGAACTTAAAAGGTGTCGGCGAGGGGGTGAAGATGTGGGGAAGACGAACCACGAGCAAGCCTAGTTGCGTGAAGATGATGCGAGGTACAACGTGTTAGAAGCGTCTCGAAAATGGAAGGGATGGGGAAAGGACTCTTTCCCGAAGAGATGATGGAGATGAAGGTTTAGGAAGAGAGTGCCTTGGAATGCAAGAGTAGAGAGGTCCTGCCTTGCATTGCATGGCATCGGTACACACCAACCTAAACCCCTAAACCCCTAAAACCCAGTCACCTGGTGTCGTAGCGATATTGAAGAGGGTCCAGCTGATGGTGTGGCCCGTGGTCTCGAAACCCTCAACGAACAGGATGCCGATCTGGGGGGCCCGAGGTGGGAGAGGAGGCAGGGAGGGGGGGGAGCAGGAGGGAGGGGGGCAGAGGGAGAAGGCCCTTGAAATATCATTACTCCGTAACACCTTCAAAAACTAAAGAGCGAGGGGAAAACCCACAGTACGACATCGTTACCGCGCGTGCAGCTGCACCGGCGAGGGGAAACACAGTACGACATGATACACAGTTCCCGAGCCATTGTGCTGACCTCCTGCGGTATCCGCCACCTTCAAGGCAGCACCCCGTTCCACCTGCTCGTCCAGGGACATGGTACGGGATGCGAAACACTTGTACGGAGAACCATTTTCGTACCTCGGACAGGATGCGCTCGTCCGTGATGGCAGGCTTCGGCTTTCGCCACCACCACCGGCGACCTGACTGTGAGCACGAAGGGGGCCGGAAAGAGGGATAAGAGTACGGAGAGATTGGGCAGGTAGGGGGGGATGTGGATGGGGTTGACAGTAAAAAGATTTAGAACTGTGGTCTACAACGGCTTGGCCCGTTTGTAGGGTTGGGCTACTACCGAACCCTTTAAAGGAAGGTGGTGGGGGAGAAGGTGGTGGGGGAGAAAACACAGCGCAACAGTAATACAGCACGCCTAACTTAATTATTAACCTTGTTTGAAGGTTAATAATATTTTGATAAAAAAAATTCAAGGTTAATAATGTTTCGATAAACGTTAAAAGTTCAAGGTTAATAACGATACATTTTTAAGGCTCTGTTTCGATGCAGCATTAAAGTTGGCGACGACGGACGACGCGCAGAAAGATGCCCCAACATCAATCCTCCTCGCTCGCGACTCGTATCCCAACCGACCTTGCCGTTCTGCTGCTGCTTCTCCTCCGCCTCCACCCTCGCCGCCTCCAGCACCCGGTACAGCTGCGCGCCGATGTCGGCGTCTCCCCGGGCGGGTGGTCCTCGGGCCTTGATCTCCCCCAGCAACTCCTGCATGTGCCGCTGGAAGTCCTTGAAGCTGGTCAAACCTGGGGTGATAACACTCGCGTCGCGAAAAACAGGGGAATAAAGTCAGTAGTGGACAATAGGAGTTTGAAGGATGACGAGGACGACGCGAGTGGGGGGGAGGAGACGGCACCACGGCGCGTGATGGGTGATAAGGGTACAGAAGAGAATGGAGAGTGCAGGAGGGCACCCCGTCACGGTCAGGGAACAGCGGCGAGCGAGATGAAAAGTCAAGAAGAGTCATAATTTTCGAGATTGCAGTGTTTTTTTCCGGGAGGAGCTTATTATTTCACAACAATGGGCGTCGATAGACAGAATTACTATGGATAAGCCAGCGGACTCGGCCCAGAAATAGATCGTATACATACAGAGATTTTTATGGCACAGAATGGTCTACAGATCGTTATCGCCACCTCATAATAGATATGCCTGATAATGGATAAGTGTATAGGTACTCCTCAAATTTGAAAAGGGGAGGTTGTGGCAGGTGGGGCAGCGAGAAAGCGCGAGGGAGGGTCGTATGCATACGACACATGTCTTGAGGCGGCAAGCAGACGAATAGTATGTATATATACCTCCCCAGATATATGGCGAAGCGTCTATATAGGTGCTTGTCTATATATATATGCTTTAGGGCTGGAGAAATGGCGCCTAGATTTGAATTATCGCATTATCACATGTGTAGACGCCGCCAAATTTAGTCCCAAGCTAAAATCCACCTTTCTTGCCGTTTTTGACCAGTCCAGGCGCAAAGCTGCGAAAAGGGTTCGCGATGCGGCGCATCACCTCGGTGAAGGCCCTTGGCAGGACGCGTAGCAGGTGGTTGTACGGCACTTGCTGCAGCCGGGTGCAACCGTAGTCGTGGCCGAAGGCGCTCTGCGGAGCCAGCAAAAGAAATGTGTGGGCCTTACATTTTGCCTTATTAGGCTCGCGTTTAATAACTTATTTCAAATAGTTTGTATTTTGTTTCATTAGTGCCAATATAAAACTCCGTTGTCTGCTTGTTTCAAGGGAAGAAGACCTATTTCCAAAAGCAATCTCAAACAAGTGGCACCAGGAGGCACAAACCGTGGTTTGATAAAGTAAAATTAACAAGAGGACATAAATATCTTCTATAAGATAATTTAAATTTTTTTAATTGCCTGTAAAGGATACACGCAACAGGGGATTCTGCTGAAAGCGCTATGCGCAACGAGCCCCACAACGCAACGCAGGTCACCACTAATTGATCAATATGACTAAGCGACCACTCATCCCCAACTTCAAAACCTTCCCACATGCGCTTATACATACATACGTACGCACGTAGGCACGTACGTACGTACGTATGTGCATATCCGGCCCCCCCGGGTCCCCAACCTCGTCCCCTCCCCTTGCGGGTCACTCAGTCACTCACCAGGCCAATGACATCCAATGTAACTCTCAGAGCCGCCTGGTCCACATCCACCGACTCCAGGGGCCCCACCCCTCGTAACCACTCCAACAGCTCTCCCGTACGATCCCTTTAATCGTACAGGTAAGTGAAGCGGTTGGGTGGGGTTGTCAGGTAGGCATACAAAGAAAAAACAAGACGCGATGCTCATATGAAAGACATGCATGCTGATGATAAAAATACTGATGTTTTGGGAGTGGTTAAACGGCAATGGTTCATTTTGAAACCTACCTGCTACCTACCTACCTGCCAACCACTCTTAAGTGGTACGACCATTTGGGTACGACCATTTGGGTACGACCATTACGGTACGACCACTAGGTAGTCACGATTAACGTCATGTCATGCCTAACGTTATCTATATTATGTTGCTGAACCAGAATTTAATCTCATCTTGCTACATTTATTATTGTCGTTAATATTATTTCGCACCTAATGAGCGGGAACTTCTTGCGTATATTGCCGAACGCAAACGACAACGCAATCGCCTTTCGCACTGCCCGCCATCGGTCGTCTGCCAGACTGGTGAGGAGGTTGGGGTAGGCGTGGGGGGTACACATCTGGTTAATGGGGGAGTAGATGTTGGCGGCCTTGTCCACTGCGCCCTCGCCTCGCCCGCAGATTGCCGCCAGCGCCGGGGGATCGGTTACCAGTAAACCGTCGTGCCAAAGAAACTTGATGCTGCACGGGATTATGGAGGGGGGGTCGAGGTTACTTTAAGCGGGAAAGGAATTATTGCTCTTTGGGGGGTTATTAGCAGTAGCAGCAGCTGCGATGGCAGCAGCAGCAGCAGCAGCAGCAAGAGCACCAGCAGCAAGAGCAGCAGCAGCAATAGCAGCAACAACAGCAGCAGTAGCAGCAGCAAAAATAAAGGATGATAAATTGAGTGATGTGTAACATTGGAGCAAGCGGCAGAGCAGCTTTCAGTCAGGCCGAAGTCGCTAGCCCGCAGTAGCCGGTACACTGTACGGCACCGTGAACAACTACAAATACGCGTTAAGTAAGCGCGTCCACCAGCATGTCGAGAGGACTTTACAGCGGCCAGCTACTACAGTTGTGTGGACTTTCCAAGAAGCAGGAAAGCAATCCTAAATGCGCGCGACGCACAGCGAGAGAATTGTTCTCATCATGTGACGACTTTCAGACATTGTGGCTTGGTTCCTTGTTTCGTATGTATTAAACTGTGTACTTACTTAAGCATGCGATCGTTGCAATCCGCAAAATGCAACATTGAACGAATAATAGACTTACCGTACGATGCCGCCGTACTTGTCAGCCCATCGAAGGCACACGCGGTGAAAGTCGGGTCTCAGGAATTGCAGCAGATTACCGATGAATGGCAGCGCATGCGTCCACGGTCCCGGGATCAAATCCAAGTCGTACTTGGGCTTCCTGCCGTACATACAGATACACACGGGGCTTCAAATGACGGAAAGATATCCAAGGCCAGTTTTATTCAATTTTGAATGTTTTTGACATTTCTAACTTTTATTTGACTAGTTAATCAATTATTAAGGGAGAAGCAGGCAGAAGAGGAGCAAGCGGAATGTGACAGGGGGTGTAACCGCTTTTATTATTGAAACCCGAGGACACACGCACGCCGGGCATTGCAACACATTAAAGGCCGATAGAGATGAGGGGCAGCATAGTACCGATGAACTCCAATAGATGCAGAAGGTAGCTGCAGAAAACCCGAGTCGCTGAAGCGACGATGGAGGTCATCTGGAAGGTCCACGGATGTGCTAGATTCCGCGTGGCTTAAGCCTGGTTGTCTAATTTTTTTCCTGTTCTTTTAAACACAAAAAGAGTCCGTAAACAGTTCCGCAAGCTTTGTCTCGTCATGATCAAGGATGGTTCAAGCGCGTCCCCTTCCCGTACCACCCCGTACGACGGATACCGTACGACTTACCGCGAGCGCTGCAGCACCAGCACGGCCAACAACGCCACAGCTGCTGTTAACAGTGCGACCTGGCCGTTCCGTTTGGCGGCAGACGCACCGATTGCTAGGTGCGCAGCTGCGTGGCGGCGGCTGCGTCGTGCCAAGTCACTTAGGTCACGCGGCAGTTCCCACCAGCGGCCGGAGTACATCAACGAATTGATGCCGGGCTGGGACTCCTCGGCGGCGTCAAGGCCGCGGGCGGACGTGCTGGCCATTGGCGACGGAGCAGCGGCGGCGGCGGCGGCAGCACCAGGACTCGCCGCGACGTCATCGTGGCTGACGGCAGCGTCTTTTGAGCCGGCAATCATAGAAACATCGGCAGTAGCAAATTCGGAGCGTTGTGGCGGCGGCGGCGGCGGCGACACTTGTTTATCAGCGGCTCTTAACAGGTACTCGGCGGCGGCGGCAGTGGCGGCCGTAGCCGGTGCATCGACGACGGCTGTAGAATCACAACGACGACACAGAAGGCAATAAAAACAGTCAAAAAACAACATTTACATTTAGAGATAATACGGCGAAAAAATAAAGCAGTTGGGAGAGGAGGATCGAGTCTGTCGATTGGGCCTAAAATTGTTGGAGACGCCTACCGAGGGAAGTGCAGGCTCAGGGCTGAATCGTGCAGTTGCTGCGCTTTATCCACACCTCTATAGGACGATTATTTAAAATGCCTTTACTGAGAAATTCATTTATGTATTTATTGGAGAAGCAGGAATCACTAAATTGGTATGCTGCGGAGGTTGCCGCCGGCGCAGCATGTGTGTGCAAAGGAGTAAGTAGCGTGACAGCTGTGAGTGCGTGCTGTAAGTGCTGGGGAAATGGGTGGCCGTCTCGCGCTATAAGCGCACTCACTCATAGGTTTTCCGGCAGTGGCATTAAAGCTCGGGCTCGAAGGAGACAAGCTCGTCGCGCAGCCAATCGCCAACGGCAGAAGCACGAAGAGGAGGAGGTAAGAGGGCACCGCCAGCAGCGACGACGACAGCGCCTTGCGCTCACTATGTTTCATCGTGCACACCTATGTATGCGTTCAAACTAGACAGAGGTTATCAGGTCTGGCAACAATCTCCCTTTACCAATATAATGAGGGTGCAAAGATTGATGATTGAATGGAATGCCCCATAAGCATGCCGTAAACTGACGTCCTAGGTTTCACGACGGTCCGGACGTCCCAACGTACCTTTCAGCACGCCTGTGGTGTCGTCACCGTATTATGACGGTTTGCCTATTCATTGCATTCCCTTAAAAGTGCTCAACGCGAAATTAGCCGAGTGCTGTCAAAACAACCCATGGGTCATGATCGGCGGATTTGTAAGCTTTTACCTTTTACCAACCAAAAACTAAGTTTTCTTTGAAGTCCTCAATAGCGTTTCCTAACCAATGAAATTTTAGCAGCTGCAGAGGGTTTTACTGCAGCAACATTGCACATGGAAGGTTTATCAATTGTGTTCAGAATCGATCAACAGTTGCATCGATCGATATGGCCACGCACCGATACCTCGGATAGCAAGTCATGTACATTGGGAGGAAAATCATGACGATGCTGTACAGCGCGGCACATAGTACGCGGAAAAACGGATACCTCGGATGTGTTGTTTAGTTTTTACTCATGCTCTTTAGACTTACGGGTGCAGTTACGTCCTGCTGTCCCTTTATCAGCTGTCACCATACTGATGTGCTATATTTCATTTTCGTTGAAAGGTGCTGAATGTGTGTACAACTCTTCCAGCCTTCTTTAGGGCCTGTTTCCATTGATTATTAGATACCTTTTAGCGTCTGCCTCTTAGGGTCCGCTAAAAGGCCGTGACGTTGGCCAAAAATGTCTAAGAATTAAACAACCTGTCACCTGTCCAAATGTTTCCACACCTATGCAGACAGCTGCTAGCGGTCTTGACCTCTGCACTAACCGGCTTAACTATGATCCCCAACTGAGGGTCAACTGAAGACTGATAAGAATTAATATGCTGATCCTCTAAATTTCCCGCATGCGCGAGGCGTTGAGTGAGAGTCCGTTGGATATGGATTTCCCCGACAATCATCCAGCCATCTTCTTCGGGAACATTATCCAGCCATCTTCTTCGGGAACAAAAAACATGAATACTCCAATGATTGTTTTCAGGCCCTATGCTCAACGGTGGCAAGATATAGTTGGCAGTCGCGCCGGGCGCCAAGCACCCTAAATTCTCAGCTCTACACTATTGGGAATACGTCAGACGCGGTGGACGGAGATAAAAGTCAATTCGCGGGGGTGGGGTGAGAGCTCTCGGGTGATAGAGAAATGACGCACACGGCTGCCGCTCCATAACCGTTAAAAAGGTTAAAAACACACCGCCTTGAAAAATAAAATAAAGAGCACACATAACCGATGCCAGGTTAAAAAACACTGTCCTTGAAAAATAGCCACGGGCACGGGCACGGGCACGACCAGACTAAAGAAAAAGAACAGTGCCCAGCATCTCTATCTATTGGAGACGGCCCCCGGAGGCGCCCACAGCAACAGACTCAGGTGGCGACATCCTAGGCGGATGCGGGGGCTGGCTTTGTGATCATGGATGCCGGAGCAATCCAGGATAAACCATCACACTGACGTGGGACATGGCTACTTGCCACATACAAGATGAAGTATCTGCCTTGCAGGCTACGCTGACCTATCCAGGCCCAGCATCACCATCCAACAACCAACCTAGCTATACCAGTTAACAAACTTTCTTACAGGAGCACATGGACCCTTGACCTCGTTTTCCAAGGGCGCAGCATGCGCACCATTATGACCGAGGCGCCGCCCCTGGCATTTGCCAGGTAGTCTCTCGGTAGCCTAGGAGGTTAGGCACGTTGCGCTAAGAAGGCGCTTCACCTGAAGCAGACGAGGGAGGATGGTAATGGCGCCCCGCGTGCCCTATTATTACCAATCTACCATCCATGGTCCCCCCGGCTTTTACGGACACTCCCCCAGGCGTGTGCGGAACTTGTAACTTGTAACATGCAGGTGCATCGGTAGTGAGCATGCTCAGGCTAATACCCGATGTACCGGTAAACTGCGTGCTCAGCTTGCCCCACCGTGCTCAGGGCGCTATTTCGTCCCAAGATAGAAAGCATCAACCTACCAAGGACCCGCAAGTCGCAACCCGCAATGGCAAGAGAAATGCGATATAGCTCTTTTGCGTGCGACGTTTTAGCACCTCCTGCAGCGTATCTTACTGTCCCATCCATTTGTGCGGGCATTGCGTTGTGATGGCTCGTGTGCAACGCCGTAATAACGAGTGCCAAGCAACCGCATGATACTGTGGGCCTTACACGACCAATCATATTAGCTTCATTTAAGGCATACCCTCAGCTAAGTTGAAGTCGGAAAAGCACAACAAACGTTAAAGCTGCTGGTCGTCGGCTCCATAGGACGTTAGTTTGTCATACCGCGCTTACCTCGAAAGGCCAGGAACGGGTGGTCAGACGGTATGGACTCCCAGCTTTGGGGAACGTGACTTCTCGCGCCCAGAAATTCGAGACTACAGGAATTCAATGGCGGTGTGTAAAGGAGTATCAAGGTGATGACCTGCGGGTCGGTCCGCGGTGTGGAGTTAAGCCGTTTGTCGGTTTCGTAGGCATGTTTGGGTAGCGACGAAACCCCAGTATAGGTAGATAAGTATACAGCCTATTTTCTAAGAAGAAGCACAGTCAACGAGCTCTGAGCGAGACACCAAGTCAGCGCAATTCCGATCAGGTCCCTTCAAATCAAAACCGCTCAAGTGTAGACAGAAAGACGCCACTTGCTGACAAAAGGCCCCTTTCCTCTAATTATAAACTATCCCTTGACGGGTCTGCTACTCTGCCAGCCAGGGCCAACCTTTTAACCAAAGCTTGTTGTTGATTTTTCTCCAATCCGCGTCGGCTGTTTCCGGAAAGCTCGTTGGTACTGATCCTTTGCTTCTTGCCCACTCCAATTTCACGCGGATACATCCATCACAAGCGCTGATCTTCCAGCATGCAGCCTGTGCCGCCCGCTTCCTTCAGCGCTGCGAGCACAAGCCCGGTAACCAGCCTCGACCCTGGGACCGGTCCCGGCAGCACCGACCAGCCCCGGCCGGCGCACACCCTTGTCCTTCTTCGCCATGGTGAATCCGTTTGGAATCTGGCCAATCGCTTTACCGGATGGACCGATGTGGACTTAACTGATCAGGGCCGGCGCCAGGCAGCACTCGGGGGAGCTCTGCTGAGCGCTCACGGCTTTCGTATAGACCTTGCGTTTACTTCGGTGCTCAAGCGAGCTGTTCGCACACTGCACATTTTGGAGGATACCATGGACGCGCTGCACATCCCCGAAGTAAGAAAGGATGTGCTTCCTTCTAAGTTGGCGTTAACTCCCTTATGCGAACAGAGAGTGATAGGAAAGCAGACAGGTGAACGGGGGCCAGTAGAAAGGCGGATTAGGGCCTAGGGTTTACCGAAGTATGAGTGGTGGTGCGCTCGTATCCGAATGGGCGTCACCGAACCAGCCTGACTTGAGACGAGGTTTCGCTGGGACGGCAACGGGACGTGCGGGCGTGCAATCCCGGCAAGCCTGAGAGGCATGCGCAAGCGCAGTTGGACTTGAGCCGGAATAATCTGTTCTCGCCTTCAACTTCCTATCCTCTTCTTCATACTCTTCCATTCCGTAAAAGCTTGGGCCTCTGCAGGTAATAAAGTTTACATCTCCGGATTCCGGCAATCGGTATCTTCGGTTTAGGTCGGGAGTTGCTCCTTAATTAGTTTTTTCATATGATTTCCCCCCTGCCCCCTGTGCCGCACATCTGGTTCCGATTGTCCCCCCTACCCCCTCCCTCCCTCCGGGCAGTTGTGCTTTGGGCCTTAGCCTTTGATACTCAGCAATAAATTTCCCGCCGCCCCCCTCTTATTCTTATCATCGTGTAATTAATCCGCCTACCTCACAGGTAAAGAGCTGGCGTCTAAATGAGCGACACTACGGAGCGCTGCAAGGGCTGAACAAGGCCGAGACAGCTGCTAAGCACGGGGCAGAGCAGGTAGACCGGTGGCTGGGCAGGGATGGTGGGAGGGTGGGTAGCCCTTAGCCCTTCCCAATGCGAGAGGCTGCCCTGGCAAAAAGGGGGAATAAGCAGAGGAAACCCCCAGTCAATCCTCGTTGTATGGCTTGGTTCACCCACGCTGCATTTCGCCTTTTCTTTTCGGCTCCCGTTCCGTTCCATCTCTTGCAGCACAAGCCGTCACCCTGATCCCCCAACCGTCAGTATCCCCTCCCTCACTCCGTTCCCTCACTGCGCGCAGGTCCACATCTGGCGCCGCAGCTACGCCACCCGGCCCCCCCCTCTGGAGCCCAATGACCCTCGCCACCCACGCTTCGACGGCCGGTACTGGGAGCTGGACGAGCAGGACCTGCCTGCCACGGAGAGCCTTAAGGTAATTTGGGGAGTGGCGGGGTTGGGGTACATTGGGAGCGCGATTGATTTAGGAAGAGGGGGTTGCCCCAGGGGGAGCGAGGGGGAAGTAAGAGCCGAGTATGTGGGGGGTGGGCGCAAGGCGGTGTGCTAGGACCTTGCCCGTCCAGCACTCAGTAACACCCCCCAGAGCCAGCTCAAGGTCGGCAATGAAGGCCCGGTGGCACAGCATCCCCAGCCTCTTGACAACCGTGTTCCAGAACCTTAGCACAAGGTTGGCCCAATGGAACTGGAGCGGCCTTTGTGACAGCTCGCGATAAATCGAAGAATGTAATGTAGACAGAGCTATGTGTGTCTGAATTATATTACTGAATTAAAAACTGTACCTTCATATCATTAATTAGACACTTGACCTTATGGCCCACATGCCTACTATTTGGCATATTAACCTGCCGATATTCAGAGTCGAACCAGTGACCTCCCGCTTCCTAAATAGGTGCTCTATCCAATTGAGCTATGCCAGCTGGTGAATTTTATGAAAAACCCATTGGACTAAAACACACCATTACCAACACACTGACACACTGAGACAAGCACACATATCAAGACACAGACACAACTCGCAAAAGGGCCAGTACCACACACCCCCATCCCCCCATGCGCAAGTGTCACTAAGCACTCATTTCATCTCACGCAGGACACTGTCGCCCGGACCCTGCCTTTCTGGTACAGCGACATCGCCCCCGCTGTGAGCCGGGGCCGCCGAGTGCTGGTGGTAGCCCACGGCAACAGCCTCAGGGGCATCATCAAAAACCTGGACCAAATTAGTGACGAGGTAATGTGTGTATGTACGCGTGTGTGCGTAATAAGGAACTGCGCAGCGGTAATGAAATGGCGTGTGTGTGCGTATTTTAGATGGTGGTGTGTGTTTTGGGGTGAATGTGGGGGGGGGGGAGGGAGAGAGGAAATTCAAGACGGCCGGAGGATGGATGTATGGGACTCTTGAGGTCACTCGAGACTGGACCTCCCCCAAAGAGATGGAGAGGGGGGTGAGGGACCCCTCACTTCTTTATCCCCTCCTTCTCTGAGGGACTCCTCAGACTGAAGGGTGGTTCCTACCCCCCGGCTTCCACATGGGATCCCCCTCCCTCTCTGTCCTAGTCCAGCACCTGGTGTTTGGACGTCACCAGACGACTTTTGGCTCTTTGCTTAACGCATCATCATATGACTCCTTCCCCACCCTCACCCCCGCCCCTGACGGATGCCAGATGCGTTTAATAGCAAGCCCCCCCCACGGCATTCGCGCGAACTTTCGTGTCTGTGTACGAACATGCAGGACATTATGGCGCTGGAGGTTCCAGTGGGAGTACCCCTGGTGTACGAACTGGACGAGCATCTGCAGCCGCTGCGGCATTACTACCTAGGGCTGGACCTGGTGGCAGCACCGCCGCTGGACGTGACCGTGCTTCCGTTGCATATGCCGTTGCCAGCGGCTCGCGTGTCAGGGGCCCCCAGTAGTTCCAACCCTGCCGCCGCCACGGCGCCGGCGGGGCTGCTGGCTTCCACGACCGCGGAGGCCAGCTCCGAAGATGGCGAGGCGCAGATGCAGGCACTGCTGAAGGTACGGGTGGTCTTGAAAAGCCAAGCGTGGTTATGTCGATTGTGGATTGGGTTGCTGATGGGAGGTGGCCGAACGAATAGACACGTGCCTTCCTTGTCACGAAACCTTTGTCCCAAAGCAACGAAGGACGCTTCCTTCACGAGCCTAACGTTTCCTTTCACTTCCTTTCCTTCCTCTCCCCCTTCCCTTTTAGAGCTACCTTCCCTCCTCCTGATCATCTACCCATCCACCCAGCCAGTCACTCATCCGCCAAATCAGGACATCGACTATTTGCCGGCCTGCTCAAGTTAGCGGTCTTCTAGGGGGAAGGAAAAACGGTCTTCCTAGGAGCGGTCCTTCCTTCCTCCTAGAAGAGCGGTCTTCCTTCCTCCTAGACACCCGCTCCCCAAATCCATAATCTCCACCCAGCACCCACCCACTAGGGCAGTTCGTCGGCAGTTGACCCTCACCACCTGCATATATGTGTGCTGCTATTGCAAGGGGGGTGGGAGGCTCACCAAAAAAAAGCCCTAGACCAAACCGTGCACATGTGTCGATATGTGTGTATATGCATTTGAAGGGTTTTATCATCTGTGCAAATGTATATGCACATGTATGCGTGTACATATGATTCCACCCACTAGGCACTGGCATCCTGTGGCGCTACCACCCGAGACCACATTCACAACGCCGCCACCTGCACTGCATTGGCCGGCAACCTGGCGGACGCGGAGGACCTGCTGCTCAGAGGCTCCCTGGCGGCGGCCAAGTACATCTTCGGGTATGTTCCCGCAGACGCAGTTGCAGCGGCGACGGCGCCAGTCGTACTGGCCCCGGGGGGTCCGGCGGCACATGACGAGGCCTTGGCAAGTACCGCCTCCGGCGTGGCGGAGGAGAAGGGATCTGGGTTGGGCAGCAGCCGGGTGGCGGCGTCGGTGTCGACGTACGGCAGGGAGGAGGCGGAGGCGCGGTGCTTGAGACCGTGTAAGAGGGTGGCGTCGTTGCTGGATCCGGAGCGGCATGTGGTAGTGGCGATGCCTGCAGCGACAGCGGCAGAAGATGATGGACGCATGACGGCGGCGCGCTTGGCGGTGGCGATTGTGGCGGTTGTGGGGGTGGACAAGAAGATTGTGCTGGCGATTCCGCGCGGCGGCGGCCGTGGTGGAAGAAAGGGGAGTGCGGATGCGGGGCCGGGGATGTCGGGCTGCTCCTGCCCTGAGGCGTGGTTCGGCGGGGGCTGCGTGTGGGCCTGTGGGATGGCGGATGCAAGGGATGCGCAGGTGATAGCGGAGGCACTGACCTGCGCCACACGCAGCGTGTGGGAGTCATCATTAAGTAAGATCTAAAGCACAAAACTCCGGGATACTCTGTTGGTGCGGACATTTCCCTATGTAGCAAGCGAGATTTATTTGGGCGTTGAAAGGCCGGCTGGATGTTTTGTGGCAGAACGAGGACAGAAAAAAGCAAACGCCAGTTGCTGTTTTGAATTGGTGCGTTGGAAATATGACGATCTCAGGCGCGAGCATATGACTTTGTTGCTCCTCCTATTGGGGCGTCCAAATGACGAGTTGGCAGCAGTGGGCTCAGGATTCCATGCGCAGTTCAAGATGAAGGTGTTGTGTCGTCCATCCAGTTTGTTATCTCCATAAGCTTGTTATAGAATCTTGGAGAAGCGTAGAGGTTTGGAGGGGCTGCACACATGTTGGACTTGGACAGAGCCTTAGTTGTTGTGCAAATGCGTTTGTGCAAACGCGGTGCTTCTCTTAAATAATCATAGCGCCATCGGAGTTCAGCTGGAGAATTCATCACATTTCTGAAGATGGAAAACCTAGCTTTTAAATTGTCCAGTACGACGCTTGATGCTGTGCGTGCGATGAAAAGCTTTATCCGAAACCTTGGTTCTATTATGGCGAGCCATTTTAACGCATACAATAACCTGCATTTGATTTGAGCATATGTAGATATATAAACGCCTACATTCCCATATAAATTTGCAGCTCTAGCCTGACGTGAGACTTCGCAAGGAAATGACAGCAACCTTGACGGATCAACGGCTTTTGGAGGAGCGCAAAATGTTCAGGAAAAATAGGTATGATTAGGTCGCCATGGCTCATGGCAACGCAAGTCTTGAGGCCATGGGTTTTCCTTCAGGTTGTTCGGCTTCGTGGCTAAGCCCGCGACAAGAGAGGATGGTGAGTCATTTGTCTTAACATTCGTTTGCGCGTGCCGCTCCGCATGGCGCTGCTTAACCCATCCTCTCCATGCATGCGGGGTGTAACTGGCCATACTGTGCATCCGTATTGTCCATGTGGAAACCAGCCTTTCAACCCGATAGCTACCACCTAATTTTTGTAATACTTACGGTTTGTGGTGATGTAACCGTCTGGGCTGGAGGTTTTCTCGTGACACAACGGCCAAACCCCCACGCACCGCCTGGCGGGTGGCTCGGACCAATCGTCCTAAGTCATCAATCCTTTTTATTCTGCATATGTGTCTGATCAATCCCATTATTTCTGGGCCTGTCTATCGCCCGCCGCGGCTGACGTATGCCTTGCACGCAGGCAGCGTGGATCTGCGACTCTGGCATTGTCGCATTCCCGGGCCCAGCGGGACATCCTGGGAGGGCGGTTCCTACCCCCTGACAATGATCTTCTCGGACGCGTATCCAACACAACCGCCCGAGTGCCTCTTCCCGCCCAACTTCTTCCACCCGTAAGCATGTGCGCCGAACACGGGTCCCAAGACACGGTTACAACTATTTTGCACACTTAAAAGGCTTCCCATTCTGCACACAAACAACGACGCACGAGAGGCGACCCTGCTTGGTTGCGATATCGTAGCTCCGTCGGAACCGTATCGAAAATAATTTAGGATTCACCGGGGCAATTGGTCTACCAGACGTTCGCGCCTGATTACAAAGTTCTAGACCAGTTATGGACCAGCAATCGGAGCTTCTCCCCATAGTACACCCCGTGAACCGCCACCTGACCGCCAGCGTCCCTAAACCCCTAATAACCGCAGAAATGTCTACCCGGATGGCAAGGTAAGCCATGCTTTACATTGTGAGTCCCTGCGCCACCGATGTGGGCAATGCTCTCAGCAGCTTGGGGGCTTAGCTGGATTCAAGGCTTCTCTTCCCGAAGCGCAGTTGTCATTTTCCTCATCGATGCCAGGTCTGCCTGAGCTTGCTCAACGACGATTCCGACCTAGGAGGGCAATGGGCACCAAGCATTTCCATAAGCCAGGTGAGCGTGTTGGGAGTCCAAGCTACTGTTGTATCACGTCTTTTGCAGACAAGAACCGATCGGCGGATGCCAGATCCCGTGATACCCAGGATACAACAATTATCCCCCCTCCAGCATTGAGGGCGTCCTCGACCGTATTGAGGATCACGGTAATCACGGAGCCCCCATGCGACTCCGGTGCTGTGCAGATCCTGCAAGGGATTCAAGAGCTACTCACGAGCCCGTACATCAAGTCACCAGCTCAGGCAGGTCATGGATGATGTGCCATCGCGCAGCAAGCAGCAAGGCACAACAGCACGCGATAGCACAGCAAATAGTTAGCTTGAGAAAGCCCGTGTACGGACAATTTAAAGAACGGGCTAGTGACCAGCAGGGCTTCTTCGATGGCATGTCAGCATATGCCTGGAAGTGTCAGGACTCCTGTAACGCTGGGGGTTGTACGGAACTGGAAATTCCGGGTGGCCGCTCGGGGGTGGCGACATAGCTGTTTTTCAACTTACTGACACCGGGGTTCCCAACCTGACCTGATACTGCGTTGTACGCGAAAAAGTTGCCGTTGCAACCGTTTGCCAGTAGCATGAAGTGAGGGTGTAACGACGCAAGGCTCATCTGAGCATCCTGGGTTACGCCTTTTCTGTGTTATAGAGGACTGCATGGCTCACCATAACCCTGGAATATAATGTCTTCGCGTCAACTAATACCTGGGGCATGGAACTGGATGCATAAATCGCTGTCTCCCCGCTTCCTGCAGATACCCGCGTATGTAGCGCTCAAATCGGACAAGGCAAAGTACGAAAGGTAGGGGTTGGTTGCTGAGCCTGGATTGGATCAATATACCGCGGCATCTGGGTCGCGATCAAGGCTGCGCCTTCTGTTTCTAACTTGGATTTGCATCCCTCGGTTATGTGTAAACCTACAGGATGGTCCGTGAGCAGGCGAAAAAGTATCCGTCTGTGGAGGATGAATGAATGAACGCGGAGGATTCGGGATTGGCCGTAGCCGCTCCTGCTAGCCCCCATTAGTTGGGGGTAGGCGTTCAGGTCGTCGTTTTGTAATGGGTTAGGCATGCCCAGTGAAGGATGTGGAAAGATATGAAGGGTTTGAGTGACTTTGCAGTGACCTGTGTGACATCAGCCTAACGGGTCTATTCGTGAGGACTTGGAGTATTGACGTTCTGTGCATAGGTACGACATGTGCACGGAGAACGGAGCCCCACGAAAGGGTGCTGGTGCTGTTTATTCTACTTGGAATTCGATCATTCCATTCAAAAAAAACGGCCTTTCTGGTACCGCAAAGGGACCTTCCCAAGTCCACATGCAAAGCACGTCGAGTTCGTCTATGAAAAAAGCGGCCGGACAAATTAACGCTCAAATGCAATGCCGTTGTAAATCAACACGATCACAGCAAATGATGAGGACTCGATTGCAAGCTGCAGCGTTTTCGTCTTCGTCGGCGACGTTAGTTGGCTATGGGAGAGTCGGCAAGGCTTTCGCCAAAATGCTAGGAGATGATCTTGCTGCAACCGTTTCCCGCAGGAATGGTAGCATATCACTGGATGGCAAGGTGCGTGCTCATGTCAACTCCTAGGTAACGGAATATTGCCACCATCACAACCTGAGTTCCTGCCTTGGGACAACGCAAAGTGCAGGGGATGCATTGATAAAGAATACCTTAAAACATATAAGACAGCTCCTGCAATATGGCACTGTATACACAGGGCCCAATATATGTGTGCACCACCAACGATGCCCTGGACGACGTCCTCCAGCGCACGCCGCCAGCGCGGCGCCGTGACTTGGTCCTCTTACAAAACGGATGGCTGTTGCCTTGGCTGGATCGCAATGGCCTCGAGGATGTAACCCTCGTAGCTCTGTACATGGCGGGTAATTGCTGAGGCGGTGCCACTGACGGGACATGCACTCGTGCTACAGTCGACCTGCCGCTTTCCAACCCGACCTGCAGCGTCACCCGGCGGCACTGCGACGGATGGCCGCCGCACAGTTGCTAGCGGCAGGTGGGGCCGTATACATGTCCACATGCTTGTCAACTACCCACAATATCCACAATTGCTGTCAACAGGAAACGCAGATGATGAGTGACCAAAGGAAAACATCAACCTACAATAATAAACCGCAGGGCCTACATGTGTAGTAGGCAAGGAGCTGTTTCAAGTTGTCTTGTTTACATTTTCTGAGAGCCGCTCTTTGGCTTGCTTGGGCCTTTATCGTGTGGGGAGTTGCGGGACGAAGCAAGCATCGTTCAGGGCTGCTTGGCTGACATAAGAAGTCGTGTACATGGCAGTCCTGTTTTGCCGTCCGGGAACCGATGGCGCTTCTCGACATTGCGCCGATTCAGGTGGGGTGATCACGTGGCTTCAACTCTGAACCGAGGCGGCGTGTCGTGCGCGGTGGTGAGCCGAGATGCCCTTTATAAGGCCCTTGTTGAGAAGGCGCTCTGGGCGTCGATCTTCTGGATGCTGAGCTGCGCGCTGGGAGGCGCCAAGGTGCGTGCGCTACATATGCTTGCTGCTGCATGGGGCTCTCCTCCTTCCCGCTATGGATTGGCTCGTGAGGAGGAATGGCTGAATGTTGCCTTCCCGTGGTGGGCTGGGTTCAACAGGTTACTGAGGGGGACAAGGTCTGCTAAAACCTTTTCTTGCCTTCGACGACAGTGATTGATGTACTTGTGTTGTTGGCGGAGCTCTTTCCTTTTGGCATAGACGAACACAAGCATGCTGTTTGCTGGCATGATTCGAGAAACCGGACAAAAGACAGTGTATATGTGTATATGTGTATATGTGAGCAAAGGTATAGCAAACCCTTTATGCGAACTTTGTGTTGTGCTACGCAGCAGTGTGCAAGAGGGCGTTTTTCCAGCTGCTGGCTCCCCACCACATGGCTGACTGTCCTGACTGTTACAACCCCTGGGGAACGATACACGTACCATTCTATACAGGTCGGCGACATAGCTGTGCATCATCGTTTGGATGTAAAAGCATTAGTGGATGAGCTATTACCGATGATGAGGCAAAGCCTGGAGGCAGCTGCGGCCAAGCGCCCTGGGGCTGATGCGGCGGCAGCTGCTCTACGGGACCATGGGACTGTGCTGGATGCGTTGATGGATTACAGTATGTCTATCGGACAAGCAGTGCCTTCCCGGGAAATGGCTCTGGCAGAATTTTCATGGCGAAATGGAGCTCTGCTGGAAATGGGCTTGACACCGTTGCATTGCTCTTGGTTGCAGCGTGCTGGCGTGGACATCACGAGTTATGTGAAGTAGGCGAAGGAACTGCACCATGGATGTAAATTGTTTTGGGTTGCGTCCTGGCATGCAATTGAGATGATGATAACGTAATCTTGTTGCGATCCTGAGCTGTGAACCTTTCTAGCTGAGTCCCGCGACAACTGAGTCCTGCCACAACCGCTGGCAAACGAACTGTGGCAACAACTTTTGCTTTACACAAATCGCCTTTGCGACTCCACGAAATTTTTCGCTGTAAGCAAATTTTTTGAGACGCGTCATAGAAGCAATTACTGAGCTTACCTAGTATCGGGGCCACAATGGCGACCGATGACGCCGCCGGACCAGCTCCTATGCGTATTCGCATCGGAGTGCTGGCATTGCAAGGCTCGTTCAGAGAGCATATGTTCTTGCTGCAAAAAATTCCAGGAGTAGAAGCAGTTGAAGTGCGCACCAAGGAGGAACTGGAAAGCGTTGCTGGACTGATTATTCCAGGTGGCGAGAGCACAACGATGGCCCTGGTCGCTGAACGATGGGGTTTATTGCCTGAACTTCAATCGTTCGCCAAGGCTGGGAAACCGGTTTGGGGGACTTGTGCGGGCATGATTTTCCTGGCGGAGGCGGCCGAAGGTAAGCGGGAGAGCCATGTTCATTTTATAAAGTGCTGAAAATAAATAAGCGCTTGTGGCTTGCATGTATTGCCGCACCTGGATGCTGGGGTTTAGCATGGATAAGCCGAACCGTCGTCTCAAGTCATCACCTGAATCCTTTGCAACTCTCTGCGGACCTCTATCCCTTTCATAGGTCAGAAGAAGGGAGGACAGGCTTTGCTTGGCGGGCTCGACATCACCGTCTCACGGAACTTCTTCGGCGCCCAGGTGGGATGCAAAAGCGCGCTGTACGACACACAGGTTGCCTGCTCCATTCCTGGGATTGCTCGTTTTGACTCAGCTCTCCTCTGGCTACAAATGTCCTGCCGCAGATCAACAGCTTTGAAACCCGGCTACCAGCGCCAGACTGCATCAAATCATATGGCTCGTAAGTGCTTAGTCAACCTTGTTCTTTTGCATCGCACGCATTCATCGGCGACACCTCCGGTAGCACCAGGCAGGCCCAAGAGCCCTAGCGGTCCGCAGCAGGGGGTCCTGCGGCGGTATCTCATGGCTTGCCCCTTGTGACATCTTAACTGTTGCTTGGCTTGGAGAAGGGACGGGGCTGCAGAGTGGGAGCGGGAGCAGGGTGTGTGCGGATAAATCGTGGGCCGAGGCATGTCACTCTTTCAAAACACTACCCTAAACCAGTGCAGCTACTGCTTTACACCAGCCTAGCTTCCTTCTCCTCCTCTTCCTCCTCCTCAGCAGCAGCAGCAGCAGTAGATCAGCATATCATCCCGGTTCGCAAGTAAGTAATCCAAGCATGGAATTGGACAACGCAAACCGCATTAGGCGCATATCTCGCTTTGCTCTCGAGGGCTAGATTGCACGCCATCACGCCTTGCCGGCCCGACCGAAAGCCGTCCTCCCGCTCTCATCACGGCTGTCGTTCTGTGTGTACTGTGCGCTGGGGCCAATAGGACTGAGGACTTCCGCGCCGTCTTCATCCGCGCCCCGGCTGTGCTATCCGCGGGCCCGGAGGTGGAGGTCCTGGCGGAGTACACCCTCATGCCGGAAGAGGCGGTCGCATACGGGAGGGATAAGGTCATCGTGGCAGTACGGAAAGGCGTCCTCATGGCGACGGCGTTTCATCCGGAGCTCACTACAGACTTACGCTGGTAAGAGTTTTGCACACAGGGGGTTTGGGTTTGGGTTTGAGATGGGGGTCGTACTGTATTTCCTGGTACTGTACGGCAGACATTTCACCGTTTCCTTACACGCATTCCAAAGTTGAATTTTATGTTGCCACGACACGCATATGCGACGTCCTCTGAAGTGGAGTATTATGTACGGCATTTGGAATTTTAAAACCGGTACTGCAACTGCAATGCCCCCAGGCACCAGGCCTTCGTGGACATGGTGAGAAAGCACTCCCAGCAGCCCGACAAAGAGCTGCCGCCGCTATTTCAGAATTTGGGACGCGTCCCGAACCGGCCACCAGACTTGCCCGTGTACGGCAAGGAGTTTATGCGAGCGGAGCAGATTTGAGTATGTATGTATTTATGTGTGTGCATATGTTTGCGTACGACAGCAAGGGATGTGCGGTGCCTGGCGCTGTGTTGTTGTTTTGGGGGCAGGGCACGCGGCGGGGGGAGGTTAGGGCAATTGGGCGACAGGGGGAGCGAGCTGAGTGGCAGGTTGTTGCTTTATTTGTGAGGTCGACCGTCCAGCGAGAGGGTGCGCTAGCAGTATTAATAGCAGAGACGAAGGCGTGGAGCGGTAGACAGAGGACGGGTCGGCGAGGGCGGTGGGAAGCCGTGCCAGGATTTTCGAAAATGAGAAATGAGCTCAAAAGTAACGTGCTTGGCGCTTCGCGGTGTCACCCCGCCCCCGGAATGGAGTGTTGTCCGAAGGAAAAAGAGAGAGCAGCAGAGATTAGAGGAGAGACAAATGGCGATCGAAATTTGCGGAGCGAGGTTGCAGCAGGGCTGCATTGCGAGTGTGTGTGCTTCAGTACGTTCGTGTTCATGTTCATGTCGGCGTTTCTGCTGGTGCTCTGAGAAACGAAGACGGGTAAATATCTTCTATATCTCTCGCATCTCTTTTATCTCTAGAAAACTGTAGTACCTGGAAATGAGACTCGACCCTACTCCACTCGCCCGCGTGCGACGCAATTACCTGTTGGCGAAACTCCCTGGCGCGAATAGTGAAGAGCGGTGCGTCGTTCTGACTATAATAAGCGCAACACTTGGAACAAAGCGCGAAGTTTTTGTACGTTTGGGGGAATGTAGCAGGTGCGAAGAAGCAGCATTTTGGATTTACTGTCAGAGCGCCTGGAACGGGTGTGTGGCTGGCGTTTTGGTGTTTGCAATGCCTTGTCGGTGACTGTGGGGGGTGGAAGAATGCTGGAAGGCGAACAGCGGCAACTCGTACGAGATGCAGACCTTGCAGCTAGCACGCCCGAGGCAGCGAGTCTGACGCGAGTCTGCGCACTGAGCATGAAACACGAAACAAGACTCCTCTCTTATGTCCTTTTTTTGTGTGTGTGTGTGTGTGTGTGTGAGAGATACACCTCGAGTGACGGATTGCTGCCGCGGCGACCTTGGGGCTATAAGGCCATAGCATATCATAATCACTGGCACATGCGTTGCCTTGTAAGTCCAGTTAAAGTTGGTAGCTATGGAAAGTGGCAAAGGCCTCGTCATAAAAATAAATTATCATCAAACTGGCCAAACCAGGTCAAACGACTATTTTGGTTATAATCCCGTGGGCCGGTTAAATCCCTTGTGTGGAACATTGCACAACACATCTGAGGTTCATGTCAAATAGAAACACCCACAACAGAGAACACGAGGGGCCGAAACCAGGCGTCTGTTTTTTTGTTATATTTTTAAGGGCTTTTCACAAGGACAGCATGCATAGCACGGATCCAGTTTCCCAACCCCAAGACCGGTGCGACGCTCGGGTGCATAGCACGGATCAGTTCCCGCATTTCCAGACATGCACCCGAAGAAAACCGTCAGATGCCCAGCAGTCGCGTCTTCGAATCTTCACGTCGCAGCTACCGACTACCCCTCCGGGGAGAAGCTCGTAAGGGCTCGTCTGCCAGGCCGGCCCGTGCCCGCGACCGCCCCGCGCTTGTCCGGCCGCCGCCGCCGCCGCCGCCGCCGCCACCGCCGCCGCGGCGCTGCAGCTGGGGCGGTATCCCTAGCCGTTCCGACAAATCCACCACCTGCTCCTCGTAGCGCTCCACCAAGCGAGACAGCTCAGCGTGCTGCTGCTTCATCTCCATGACCTCATCCCAGAAGCTAGGGTCGAAGGCGTTGAGCTCGTTGCGCAGGTCCTCGTTCTCCGCCTCCAGCTCCCGAAGCTGCCGGCGCAGCGAAGCCACCTCGGCGCCGCCAGAGGCGCCGTCTTCGTGCGGTTTACATGGGCCACATGGAAAGCGTCAGTCAAAAATATACACCATCAGCATATTTTACATAGTTAAAATTTTTCGGAACCGGACGGACATGCACACAAGCGCAAAAGCAGCAGGAAGCTATGGAAGATCATCAAACGTGATGTAATTAGCCAAGACACGGGCGGTACACGCCAACTCCGACCGTAAAACGCGCATCCGGTATCCCGATTCCCGATTTCAGTCTTTTCTTACCTGGACCTCGTAGCGCCGCCAACTCCGTATCCCGTTGTGCCAACGCGCCACGCAGCGCTGCCACCTCCTCATCCCGTTGCCCAAGCAGCATCTCCAAATTACTCAACTGCAAGCCCAGCTCCGCTACCCCCCCGCCGCCGCTGCCGCCCGCCGCCGCTGGCTGTCCTGGCGCAGCCCGCAGCTGCCGCCGCAGCTCCGCGTTTGAGGACTGCAGCTCCGCCACCATGCGGCTACTGGCGGTCAGCTGCTGCTTGAGACGCTCTACCTCCAAGCGCGCCGCCTCCGCGTCGCGCGCCGCTTCCTTGCGACGGCTCACCTCCTGCATGTACTTGGTGGTGGGCGTGCTGTTAGCTGTGGCCTTTTCAAGCGCCGTCTTGAGGTTGGTGATGGTCGACAAAAGCTCTGCTTCCCGACCGGAGGAGATGCTGCCGCTGCCGCCACCGCCGCCGGCGAGCCGTGTCCCTGCGGAACCAGCGCGGCGTGTAGCTGCGGCGGCTCCGCCGCCTCCGGCAGATACGTCGGCTGTTGCGCCCAGATCTGCGAGGCGCTCCTTGAGCCGTTTGACTTGCAGCTGCAGCTGGTCGCGCTGCAGCCGTAGCTCCAGAACGTCCTCCTGGCGGCGGAGCTGTGCGCCACCGGGGGAAGCCAGCAGCCCGCCGCCGCCGCCGCCGCTGCTGCTGCCACCGCCACCGCCACCGCTGGCCGCCGCCTGTAGCTGCATCTTGAGACGGGAGACCTCAGCGGACAGAGCATCCCGCTCCTCCTCCACAGTGGTGCATCGTTCCATGTATTCTTGCAGCTGGGGGACGAGGAGACGACGCGTGTGGTTTTGCCAGGAGGCCATATGGAAAATAGGGCCACATAAGAGAAGGGGTCAGGATTGGGAAGGCGGCGCGAGAGATACGGGGAGACATTCAGAGGTGCGCATGTGTGACGATGAGGTTGACACGGTTGATGGGACCGGCACCGTGATCAACATGGAGAGCGCAAGAGCACGAGACGTGACCCCAGCACCGTGATGTTGATGGAACCGGCACCGCGCTGCCGGAGGCGGTGGACAACGCATGTCATGACGCTCCGCCGCAACGACTGGTGGCGTGGTGTTCACAAACCGCAAAAGAGTCTCCAACTCATGTCTATGTTTTGGGTTTAGGCTTTCCGGAGTTGCGGCGTCACTCCTCAAAGGTGAAACGCGAGTCCATGTGAGAGCCATGTGGGTGGGGGTCAGGCAAGGGCACACCAGACGCGGGCTGATATGGTGTGTATATGTATGTATGTATGCGGGGCATATATCCCTGAGGTCCCTTTGAGCCCTCTGAGGCACCTTTGCTCGGTCCGTTCTGGGCGCGTCCTGCGCCCGTCGTAACTTCTCGCTTAGGTCGCGGATCGCGGCCGCCTGCTTGTCCACTTCTGCCTGGACACTGGTCGCCTGTACGGCACACCGCTCCAGCTCCCTTTGCAATGTGACTACCTCGCTGGTCTTGGCGGCAAGCTGCTTCCTGTACGGCGGAGTAAGGGGGAGGGGATGGAGAAGGACGGCAATAAAGAGGACGGCGATAAGCCCAAACCACGTCTCACATCGGCGATGTCTTCCTTTCCCCCTTTCCCCCCTTTTCTCCTTTTTCACTCGCTTCGGTGCTTCAGTGCTTCAGCTGCATTTCTTAAGCACACCGCAACGGACCTAAGGGCCAGGAGGGGGGAAAAGCTGCGGAGGATGACGCCCTCGGTACGAGGGAGACCAACGACGACCCGCAGTACGAGAGACCAACGGTGTCAACGAAATCAACAGATGTACACACGCACAAAGGTACGGACCAGCTTGACCAGCTGTCATCGACTAGAGTCAGACACACATACACACACATGCAAAAAGAAAAGCACGGTGGTACCCGACGTTCCTCGAACCGGTGATCGCCAAGGAGAGGAGAACCGCGAGGAGCATCAACGGGGAAAAAAGAGAACAGAACTCCCAAAAGCCCCAGAACCCCCCTAGAAAATCAACAAAATTACGTCAATAGACAATTTCAATTTTACGTCAAGTCGGCCCGGAGTCGGGGCCCGAAGCCTGACGGCTCGAGCTGCGCGCGAGGTCTTACTTACTTCAAGGAGTCGACCTTGGCGTTGAGTTTCTTGCCCTCCTCCCACTGGATCAGCGCCCGCTCACGGCGTTCTTCCGCCTCGGGGTCGTGCTCGGCGCCACCAAGGGGCGCCTGGCCGCCGGTCTGGTCCTCGCCGCCACCACCTGCGTCGTAGTCACGACGGCCGGCGCCAGCACGGCGGCTGGCTGGGGCAGCCCTGCGACCCCAAAAAATGTTTTTTCCCCGCAACAGGCAAGGGACACGTGGGAGGAGGGGGGTGCGGCGGTGAGATGACGCTTTCTACTCAGGTATCCGCGCGGTAAGGGTTCCCCACTCGCGTCATTAAATCCTTTCGTTAAAAAAGCCGTGTTGTCGAAAGTCGTCATCGTGTGGTGGCACCTTTTACCTTCCAGGTAGACGCCTGCCACCAGTACCGCCATCGAAGTCGTCTCCACCGCCTCCGCCACCCGGCGGGTATGTCCCATCTCCAGGACCATCTGCTGACGCCTCCTGGGCCTTCTTGCGCTTGAGGGCCGCATTTTGCTTTTCCAACACATTGATTCGCTTTTGCAGCTCCTCGATCTGGCGCTTGGCCTCGATGGACATTCCCGTCGTGAGATCCACAACCTGGCCCGCGTGAGACAAGATTTGGATTGGATTGGATTTGGATCTGCATCGTCCTAAAAATTTTAGATTTATAGGACGGGTTTGAACCGGATTTTTGATTTCAATTTTTGTTTTGGACTGAAGGTGGAAATGGATTGGATGACAGAGTATCGTTCATAGTAAAACCCTAATATATGGACCTTGCTGTAGTTGGTTGATTTGGACATGACATGAGATAGCACGCAGCACGCAGCACGCAGCACTCACCGCCTCGCGTGCATTCTTGAACTTCTGAAGCTCCTCCCGCACACTAACCAGCTGCCGCTCGATGGTCACGCGCCTCTCAATCTCCTCCTGTATCTGCCTACAGGACGCAAAGGCCGCCAAAACCTTTTTTTCCGTTGCAGTGCCTGGCTTATCCCTCGGAACCTAAGCCGCACGTGGCCGAAACAGGAATAGGCGGCCCACCGCAGTTTGCATTGCAAGGGTTATGCGACAATGGAAAAAAGCTGATACGCTGTACGACAAGATCCAAACCGGGATCCAAACCGCACATTCTGAAGGTACAGATGGCGGTCAAGGTAACTCCCCCGGTGTGGTGAACAGGTACGCAATCGCAACCTCCTGCACAAGGACGTCCACACGTTACCAGGGCCAATCGCTAAGAAGCCCACATCCAGGCACGGTGAAGTTTCCCGGCAGGGTGGAAAAAAGGTGATCAAGGGGTGAATGCTACAAAGCAAGGGGTTTCTGAATCGATATCGGTCGTTCCGGGGATCTTGGATCACTTCGGCCCTGGAGCCTTGGGGCCGAGGCCCCCAGTACGGCTGGAGAGGGCTGGCGCCCAGCGGCAACAGCACCCTCACCTCCTCAACACCGCCATATGCTCCTGCACCTCCGCGCCTACTACGCCCGTGGCCGCCGCCGCGTTGTCCTCGGCCAACGCCAGCCGCCGGGTCAGGTCGTCGCGCTCCTGCGTCAGACGATCCAACTGCTCCTGCATTCGCTCTTGTGCCTGCCAGCTGGCCGCCTGCATCTTCCTGCCGGCGAAGAAGGAGGGCGAGAGACGGAAGAAAAGAGGAAACACGGCAAAGAAAGAAGGCATCTCAGGAGGGCAACAAGGGCCGAGGTCCCGTCGTTATCAGTTCGGCGTGCCCGCGTTCGGGAATAAATAAATCCAATAAATTTACAGAATTTTTTATATTAGCTCAATTATATTAAGAAGAAGTCACAGGGTCCAATTTGGCTCGCCACAATCTACAGCTGCCCTCCAGCACGGAATGCCCCAGCCGTGCAAAGCCTCTACCCGCAACCTTTTCCGCCCCGATAATCAGCGGATATTTTCGTAATCCATGAGTTCGGATAGGCACGTTGTGCGGAGCTGCCGACGCAGGCGCGAGGGCGTCATATCTTCAAGCTATAGCCACCTAGCCACATCCTTTTGAGTCATCTCAGCTAGCTAAAAGCCTGTGTTCCTTCTTCCACTGGGACAGCGCGACTGCATTCATTTGTGCTCTAAGCCAAGCCCTGGTCAACTTACTCGTCCGCATGTTCCTTCATAACCTGGGTCAACTTGGTCTCCAGAGCTTTGATGGCCGCCCGCAGCTGCCGCAACATCTCGTCCTTGCTCTTGAGCTGCGTGTTGAGTTTCTGCAGATGGGCCTTCATGGGACCCTCCTCCCGCTCCGCCTTGGCCGCGGCGGCAGAGCGCGCCTCCGCTTGCGACCGTGCCGCCGCCAGCTGGTCCCGGAGTTGCTTTAGCTGCGCGGACGCCGCCACGGGGAAAAAAACAGTACAAACAGCGCTTTCCTTCCATTCCTTCTTTTCCTGACGAAGGCGATGTTAAACTCCTTCCTAACGAAACGCTTTTCCTAAAAGGAAAATGGCTTTATACAACTAAAGGCTGAGACGGGATTATGAAGTCGGGCTCGAGAGGTACTTTGGCCGCCAGTCCACCTCAGGTGCTTGGTGCGCTGGCCAACCACCCATGAGCTCCGAAACCTACCTCCGCTTCGAAGCTGATCTTGAGCATGTCGATCGCAGCGTCCTTCTGCTCAAGGCGGTTCTTCAGGACCGTGATCGTGTCCTGCGCCCGCTCCAGAGCCTCCCGCAGCTTCAACTGCTCCTCCGGTACGTTCTGACCTGCCTGCTTCAGGGGAAGTCGGTCTAGGACCGCCTGCGGGACCAGCGCACGAGGGCACCAGCGCATGTTCATATTTTTCAACACGGCCAGCCGGCGGAACGGAGGGTAAAAAGCCTTATGGCAAATCAATGCAAAAAGAAACCCTATATAATGTTTGCACCACCGAAAATGCGGGAATGAGATATCCACAATATCTCTCTCTTCACCTTGAGGTCTTGAATGGAAGCGTCATTCCGCTCAAAGAGCTTCTGGTTGAGCCGCTCGATCTCGGATCTGTCGGCGACGTGGCGGCTAAGCATGTTCGCGGCGTCGTCCTCCAGCTGCTTCCGCAGCCCCGCAATGATTTGGTCTCGGTCCTTGAGCCGCTGCTTGAGCTCGTTGACAGTGGCCTCCGCAACAGCCTTCATCTGCGTAACGTCGGTGGGACGTTCCGCGCGAGAAGGAGGAATCGAGAAGTGAAGGAGTCAAGGGGGTAGGTAGAGGAAAAAGCGTTGGTCAATCCGCGGGGTTGACGGCTAAGGGCCTGGGGACTTTAGTGAATGGACGCCTGTCCGTGCCGAACACACAACGCGCAACCCCTTTCTCATCCATCCTTTGGGAATGGGGGACACAATTCCCCTTGCTCCCACCCCGTCGCATATGTTTGTTTCGGCCTCCCTTAACTAATCGGCACTGACCTTTCCGCTGCATCCGTGTATACGAAACCTAGGCAGCTGTACTTCGTTCCCTTAAAAACTACTCTGACAAACTCCATTCTGGTTTTAGGGGCCTTATTTACTCGAGACGAGTTCTCACGCGCACACATACACACACTCTCTCTCACACACACATACATACACACACGCACACACGCACCTGTTCAAAGACCGTCGCATCCGCGCCCCGGGTCTTGAACTGGTTGAGCGCGTACAGCAGCGCGTCGCTCTGTTGTGTCAGGCGGTCCAGAGCGTCGCGGTGGTGCCGCCGGACGTCCTCAAGCTCCGCGAGAGTGGCGTCGTAGTCGCCCTGCAACCGGGCCCGGTCGGTGCGCAGGTGCTCCGCCTCCTCACGGGCGACCTTGAGAGCCTCGATCTGTCCGCCGCCGCCGTAGCAGCAGCAGCGGTTATAGCAGCAGCAGCAGCGGTAGTAGCAGCAGCAGCGGTAGTGGCAGCAGCAGCAGCAGCGGTAGTAGCAGCAGCAGCAGCGGTAGCAGCAGCAGCAGCAGCAGCAGCGGTAGTAGTAGCAGCAGCAGCAGCGGTAGTAGCAGCAGCAGCAGCGGTAGTAGCAGCAGCAGCAGCGGTAGTAGCAGCAGCAGCAGCAGCGGTAGTAGCAGCAGCAGCAGCAGCGGTAGTAGCAGCAGCAGCAGCAGCAGCGGTAGTAGCAGCAGCAGCAGCAGCGGTAGTAGTAGTAGCAGCAGCAGCAGCAGCGGTAGTAGCAGCAGCAGCAGCAGCGGTAGTAGTAGCAGCAGCAGCAGCAGCAGCCGCAGCAGCAGCAGCAGGAGCCGCCGTCGCAGGAGCAGCAGGAACACACAGAAAGAAGGGCAGAGAGTGAGGGCGGGCATGGGAGCGAGGGTGATTAGCCTGAATTCAAATTTGAGCAGGTCAGAACGCTGAGCAGCCATGTCATATCAAAAGGGTGTGCCCACACTCGCAGACCACAAGGGTGCGCCTCACGAGGTGAGGGCAGGTAAGAGCCATTCTCGAGAGGTTGCCACTGCCGGCACGGCGGCAGCTTAGCACTTCCCCCCTGCGTCCCAGCCGCCCCACCTCACCCTCGTTTCGCTACAGCTCAACCCTGAAGCCCGATGCCTCCGCTGACCACACTCAGCCCAAACTTCCCAGCCCGACTCCATTCAGTGCTAGCTCTTCGTTAAAGGCGCAAGAAATTGCATCAAAAACATTTGTATGTGCGTTTTACTATATTACCATCCTTATCAGATCCTGTTATTATATGTATTATTATAGGTGGTTGCTCCTCTGGCCCCGTTGTTAAGCTTATGGCCACCATCACCATTAGGAGCGTCTTCCCACCATCGCAATTAGCTGGTCGCGCTCCGCCATGGTTGTACGGAAAGTGGCGCCCGCCGCCAAGGAGCTGCTGAACTCATCGCCGTACGGCCCGCCGCCGCCGTCGGCCCGCGAGCCGCGCAGCAGACCCTTGCCGACGCTGCTTCCGATGCCGATGCCGATGCCGCCGTCGGCGGCTCCGGCGGCGGCGGCGGCGTCACTGAGGTCCTTGGCCGCCAGCAAGGAATTGATGCGCTCCTGCAGCTTCTCCATCTCCTCCTGCAGCCCCACGGCGCGAAGCTCCGCAGCGGTCCGGTCGGCTTCCAGCTGGGTCTGCGCCTGGAAGTACTCGGCCTCGTACTTCTCCAGTAGGTCGTGCAGCTCCGCGTTCACTCGTTCCGTGTAGTGCACCTAGTGCCATTTACAAGAGATCGTATAGCGCGAGGATGCGTTGGAGAGTGATCAGCGTTCGTGTACTTCTGGAATGTGAGAGTGGAAGAGGAAGCATTACGAAGGACCCGAAGAAGGCCGCCTTTACGGCTCCGCCTTTACGGCTCCGCTAGGATGGTGCGGAGGAGGAGGAGGAGGAGTACGGTGCAAGAGAGAGGTGTAAGAAGAAGGGGATGATGTACCCTAGGGCAAAGCTGCCTCGTGGTGAATCCCGTAGTCATTAAGCACACGACGCTCAGGCATCGCATTGCACGGCTTTCAGAGGGAACTCGGAACCCGGACCACGGCAGCTTTCAGATCAGCAAGACAGGACCAAATCTTCATCCAGATGGACGTCCTCTCACCCCGCACGCAGAGGCGGCGCCTAGCCCGCTTCATTGTGCCCCCCCCCAAGACGCCCTCCACTATTGGCCCTTACCTTCTCCTTCAGCAACATGTCTTCGCGCGTGAGCTTGCCCTTCTCTAGCCGTAGCTGCAGCAGCTGGTCGCCTAGGCGGGCCACCTCGCGAGCCAGATCATTGGGGGACCGATTAGACCAGGAGGCCACGTCCTCCTTAAACTCCAGCTTCAGCTCAGCTTCTTGGCGCGCGTCCTCAATCGCAAGGATGCGCTTCCTGCGCAGGAGGCAGGGATCAACGGGAAGAATGCATGCCAAAGGAAGCATGCCCATCAGGACGAACATGCGGTGGAAGGCGCATGTTCCATACATGCGGTAGCGGGACTCTGCCAGGTTACTCTGCATACTACTGAGGACGCGGCGGCGGCCTGAGGCAACCCAAAAGCCATCCGGCCAGATCCAGCTCCACCCTGCCCTGCCCTCCCTTGCCCGCTGCGGCCCCGCACCCTGGACCGCTTGCCGCTACCTGACCCACTCCCAAGCCTACCGATCGCTGTTCCTAAGCCCAACTATGCACCACCCTTTCACCTCATCACGGCCCTACTCACCTAGCTAGCTCCAGGCCGTCTGCCAGCGCCTCGTTGCGGCCCTTGAGCTGCTCGAGTTTCCGCGCCCATAGCCGCGCCTTCCAGGTCTCCGTCCTCCCGGACAGGGTGACCTGCAGCTGAGCCTGCGCCTCGTGGCGTTGCCGGTCGGACCAGGCCGCGTGGTCCTGGTGGGCGAACACACGACCCGTCAGGTTTGCCAGTTCCTGCTTCTGCCGCCGGATGGTTTTCTCCAGCTCGATGCGCTGCAGCTCAGACCGGTTCAGAGCGTTGCGCGCCAACGACTCCTTGGTCCTGTACGGCACACGTACGGCGGTACGTGCAGTAGCATTATCAATATTAACTACAGCTGTAGTTCGGTTCAAGTGTATGCGCTGGTGTACCTAGGAAGTACCTAGGAAAGCAGGCTACCGCGTGCCACCCGACCACCGCGTATCAGTATCACTGGAGACCGGACTCCTCTTCGCGGTTCCGTTCACTGAACCAGTGAAAACCCCACCCCCCACCCAATCCCCCACCCCACCCTCCACCCAACCCTCCACCCCACCCCCCACCCAACCCTCCACCCTCCACCCAACCCCAGCACCCCACCCAGCACCCTACCCATTGGAGAGTGCTAGCACGGTCACCTACGTCACCCACGCCACCTACTGCGTTAAAAGAGGCAGGCCTACCTGCAATGGTCCAGCTCCAGGTGCAGCTTGCCCAGCAGCGCGGCCTTATCGCTGCGACCCGACATGTCGCGGAGCGCCGCCTTGAGGTTGGTGATCTCGGACAGGAAACGCATTCGGTCGCGTGTGGCTGCCTCCGCGCGGCGCTCGGCCTCCTGTAAGCACCAGGGTAAGCACACCGCCCCATAAGGACCACACCACACCACACCACATCACATTAGACATCAGCTGTCACGCAGTGAGTAGCAGCGCATGAATGCGATCATGGCGGCGCCCCCCACCGCGCTCCCATCCCTTCCCATCCCTTCCCATCCATGCAAACCCCTAAAACCCCAAACCCCCGAAGCAGCACAATCCGCACCTCCGCTTTATACACGAGGTCAGAGTGGTTCTTTTGCACCTCTGCCGCCGCAACCTCCGCGGCGTGCATCCGCCGAACCATCTCATCGACCTCCTCCTTGGTCTTGGCGCCCGCCAGCCGCCGCTCCAGCCCAGCCGCGGTCTGTCGCGCCAGCTCCAACTCCGCTGCGCTCTGCGCCAAGCGCTCTTCTAGTTCCTTGCCATAGACCTGCGCATTGCACAGCATGTTGCCTATAAGTACCATTCGATTGTTCCGCAACAGGGCCATAATAAAAGAACACGTGTGCACTGCACGTGTACGCAGGGATGATCTGTCAGGCTGCGCGCCTGCACACTCGCCACCCCACGGCCCCACAGGATGCACACCTGCATGTCGACCAAGCTGTGTTGCACGCGATTGCGTTCGTTCTCCACCATCTCCGCGCGCCGCACCGCCGCCTCCTGCTGCACCCGCGCCGCCACCAGCTCCTGGCCCAGCACGTTGTCCAGGACCACCGGCGGTGGCGATGGCGCTGTGCTGCCAGGCCGCTGGCTGCTGCCAGCTGCTAGCTTGGACGTGGGGTCGTGTTTCCCTGCCGTCGACTGCTGGGCAGCCGCTTCCTGGGCTGCCTTGGCTAACATCTCAGCCTGGTGGAGCTTGGGCCTGGAAGGCACACACACACACATACACACACATACACAGGAGTGCATGTGACTCCTCCGACCCGTACTACCCTTATGCGGCTGAGCTGCTCTTTTTAACACGCAGCGCATGGTTTCGGGGAGTGGGGCAGTGTCCCTAAGGCCACCCTCAAGCCGAACTGCTTCCTCGCACATCCCAGAATATCACCCTCCAACACACACACACACACATGGGCCGCCATATGGGCGACGTTCCCGTGTAAGGCACAACGGAGCTGCGGAGGGTGAGGGGGATACCTCAAATCCGCCCGGCCCTGGAGCACGCACCACACAGCCTAACACGCAATGGCCCTGGAGCACGCACCACACAGCCTAACACGCAATGCATGCATGCACGCATGCACGCCGCGAGAAGGAAGGGGTTTCCACTGTGGGAGCACGTGGCTGCCTTCATATGTAGCTTCAAAACACACACGCACATATACATGCACACATACAAACAGGCAACCAACCAAACCCCCACACCGCACACCACCTCTCTGCCAGTTACCCTCTGGCCAGGTGCCCGTTACGCGGCCAGCCAGGTGACACTTCTGTCAGGTAAACCCTCCCCGGGTAGCGGCCTCTTTGCCAAATGCCACCGCCACCTGTGATTAACAGGTCTGACCTGTGTGACCTGTGTGTCGTTATGCGCTCTTTGCTAGGTATGATACCCCGCCCCTCTTCACGTCACCGCCAAGTACGTGCCGTTCGCACGTCCCCCTCTGCAGCAGAGGACCCACCGCATCTCCGCCGCCTGGCTGGCCGCCTGGTCGTAGCGAGTGAGCATCTCATTCAGCTCCTCACGCAAGCGGAACACCTCCTCCTGCCCGGGCGCCACCACCGCCTCCGCCTGCTCTTCAAGCAGCTTCCGGTACTCGTGCTGAAGCCGGGTGTGCTTGGCCACCAGGCTATGGTAGACCTGGGGAAATTCAGGTATGCCGGACCGCACGGCGGCGGTTAGGTACGACACAAGCCGTGGATGAAATGACACGTGAGTGTGTTGTCGTACCTGATCAGGAGGCAATGCATGATTTTTTGTGCATATGAAGCCTAATGCGGCAGAGCCGCAGTGGTAGGGCACTGTTTTAGGATGTTTCCTAGCCCCAGCCCGCAGAAAGACAGGCGGAACTTGCCGTGAGGGGTAACGAGCTCTCCAGCTCGCGGTACAGCTGCTCCAGGCGCCGCTTGCTTTGCTCCGAAGACGACTCCAGCCACCGAATGCGGCCTCGAGCCGTGGAGCTCACGTCGCGCACCTCCTCCTCCAGCTCCGTCACGCGCATCGTTAGCGCCTTCTCGCCCGCCACGCTTGCTTCCAACTCGCGTGCCAGCTTTGCTTGCTTGATCTGCGAATGGGAGGAGAAGCGCAGAGGGCAGGAGAAGAACAAATACCACCGTCGTGAAGGGCGCAGGAGCAAAGCCAACGTCGTGCTAAAAGTACGCAGCTTCTATCTGGCCTTTCTGGTGATGTCAATAAGCGAAGCGAAAAATGTATGCCTTGTGCGCGACGAGCTTTGTATACTTGCTCCGGCGCTGCTATCCACACCATGAATTATAGGAGGCCGTCCGTTAGATGGCCCCTCAGGCTCTTATGGATGCACCACCCCACACTTGTGCGAAACTTGCAACTTTTGATACTGAGCGCAAGGTCGCAATGCAGTGGCTGTCGCGGGGAGGGCATGTGCACCACGGCATTTGTGGTTCCCTGAGGTCCATGTGGAGCGGCGGCTGCGGTGGCTGCGGCGGCTGCGGGAACCTAAACCCCTGGGCCTACGATACCGACCGACGGACAGGCCTTAATGAGCCACGTAAGGACACACAGCCGGTGCATCACGCACAGATCAACGCAGATCCACCGAGCTGGGGCAGGCCCAGGCCCACAATCAGGCAGCGCCGGGCCGTACTGCATCGTAGCGCCGTACCTGTACGACCGCCATGCGGCGCACGGTGTCCAGGTACTCCTTCTCGACTTCTGTCAAGTCCCGGGACTTGCTGAGGGTGTCTAGGGCGGTCTGCAGCTCCCGGGTGGCGACCTTGTATGCGTTGGTGTCGGCCTGGGCCTTCTGGCTCTACAAAAGCGGGAAGGAGCAGGAGCAGGAGCAGGGGGGGAGGCGGCGAAGTGGAGGGCGAGAGGGAAGGCGGGTGGGAGCCGAACCAAAGGGGACAAGTGAGGGAGTAAAATCGGGGGGCGTGTGTGTTTGTGTTTGTGTGTGTATTTGTGCGTGTATTTGTGTTTGTGTGTGTGTGTTGTGTGTGTGTGTATTTGTGTGTGTGTGTGTGTGTGTGTGTGTGTGTTTGTGTGTGTTTGTGTGTGTTTGTGTGTGTCATTGCGGACAACAACCCGTATCCTAGGTGGCCGACATACGTCCACGATCCCCCAACGGCGCGGCAATAATAAACTACCGGTAACCTTAAAAAGAGGGAAACACGTCGCATCTTTCCCCAGCGCCTTCTCTTCTTTCCCCCTTCCCACCCCCTCGCTCCCTCGGGCCTGCGTATCACACGTGCCTTCTTCTCCAAGTTCATCTTCTCCACCTTCCAGGCGGCCTGCGCCCCCGAATACTCCCTGTATAGCAGCTTGACTTGGTCGCTGAAGGTCTGCATCTTGGAGTGGTAACGCAGCGACGCCTCGTGCAGGTCCGCCGCCTCGCGCTCGCGCGACGACAGCTCCTCCAGAACACCGATGAGCTGGTCTTTCAGGCCCTGCACCTCAAGCTGCACCTCCTCGTACTCGGCCATGGTCACGTACTCTGCAATCGCACCAACGCCACCATCAGCATTTTCGCACCAGCATGCGTTTTCCTGATTTTTCACAGCACTGGCAAGTACCACGCAGCACCGGCACGCAGCACCGGCGCGAAACGAAACGACATTTCCTTTTGCATAGCATACCCAGGGTGTTTTGTGTGGCCATGCAACGCTGGGACGGGCGGCACCCGCCGCGTTAATTTTTGACATGGAGCATGGCCCACGGTTCGCCACACGTCACCATCACGCATGAACCATCACCGCAATGAACTGCACTTTACCGGGGCCTCTCACCAGACTTCCGGTCGCCCATTGTGAGACCGATTCGGCGCTCCAGGTCCGTCTTCTGACCCATCAACTGCGTGATTCGCACATCTTTCTGCGCCACCTCTGACTGCAACTCCGCCACCTGCTTAGCCAACCCGCGTAGCCGTTTCCGAAGCTCCTCCGCCACCGCATCCGCCAGGTAGCTCGCGTCTCCAGGCAGCAGCTGGACAACGGCGGCAGGGTTGCCACCGCCGCCGCCGCCAGGGCGTCCGCCGGGCGTGGGCGCCAGGGACCCGATGGGGGTGAGCGGTCGTGAGCCCTGCGGGCTGCGCGGCAAGACGCCGGTCTCGCCAGCCGCAGGTCGATCGGTTGAGGCGGTGGAACCGGGGGTAGCGGCCTGCTTTACGAGCGCGGCGGCGGGGTCGTTGAGAAGCGCCGCTAGGACCTTGTCGCCGTCGGTCAGCTGCGCCAGGATGGCGTCCACGTAGCGCTGGTAATCGCGGTCGCTGATGTTGCGCTGCTCCACTGCGGGGGGAGGGGCCGTGCGTGAGGGAGCGAGCGCGATATGTGAGGGGTTGGAAGGAAGCTAAAAAAAGCTAAAAAAAGTTAAAGAGAGTTAAAGAAAGCTAAAATAAGCTAAAGGAAGGTTCCCCCAGGGCAATAGACAGGACAAGCACACCTCCATTCACTCAGCGACTGATTCATTTTTTAAGGCTAACATACGCCCATAGGTCCCCTTAGCTCAGTTACCGTACATTCGTACTAATTTTAACTGTCGTCGACCCTCTGAACGGACACAGGAATTGTTCTTGTTCTTGTAGACCGTAAGGGACTATATCCCATGGGGACCACTTGACCCATTAACCCTGGGTGAAGGAAGGAACGGGGGTACCTTCCGACATACTTACTTAGAGATTGGCTCATCTGGCGCAGGCGCCGCATGCAATCCGACAGCACACTCCGCACCGCCTCCACCTCCTTGGCCTTAATCGCCGGCAGGGCCGCGGCCGCCGGCGGCGGCAGCGCTGCTGGCGGCAGCGGCACCACGAGCAGGTCCTCCGCCACTGCCGCCTGGACGGCCGCCTGGAAGGTGCCCAGACCTGTGGGGTCGAACTCGCTGAGGGCGGGTCGCATGCTGGGGGGGATGTCGGCGTAGGCCATTACCTCCGCCAGCCGAACCTCCAGGAAATTGATCTGTGTTGTGTGGTGGGGACAGGGCGGGGACACCGACCGAGGGGACGGATTCAGGTTTTAGGGGGGTTAGGGTTAAGGATTTTGAGAATTAGGAGGTTAAGAAGAGGCAAAAAGCTGCATGCGACAACGAGGAGGGAAGTCAGAGGAGGGCCAAGGCGGTTGCGGCATGCTGAGCCCACCGTCTCCACCGCCGGCGTGCTCGACGGATGGCGCCAGGGGAAATTAAACACTTTCTCCACACTTTTTTCCTCTCTCTCTCTCCCTCTACGTCTTTTAACTGCTGCTGTACCTGCCCCGCCAAACCCCCCCTTGCGCGCCCACGAGCCCACAGCCGGTGCTGGAGGAAGCCAAACATCTCTCCCTCTCGCTCCCCCCTTCCTTCTCTCTTTTCCTCTTTTTTTTTCTCTCTCTCTCTCTCTCTCTCTCTCTCTCTTTCTTTCATCCTACCCTCTGCTGCATCTGGTCCACCACCCGCGCCTCCTCCACCCGGTTGTTCTTGAGGCTGTCCGCGTACTCCTCCAGCAGCAGCAGCTTCTCGTTGGTCAGACCCATCTCCAACGCATGCTGTCCGTGGTACTTGGCACGGAACTTCATCTCCATGCGCAGCTTGCGTCGCTCCTCCTCTAGATCAGCCACCTGCGCAAGGTGAGCCCGGAAGAAACCGTATTCACCACCGGGCCAGCCAGCGCAGGGCCCGGAAAATGGCGACACGGACGGGGTCGCGAGGAAAAAAAGGCGAACACAACACCGCGGAGACGCGGGCGGGCACTCCAGGAGGGTTGAGGTGCTCGACCGTCCGCGCTTCCATCACACCTCCCCCCCCCTCTCCTCTTCTGCGCGCACTCCCGAGTGGCTTGTCTGCGAAATACACGCCAGGCCAGGCGACCATGTACCTGACGTTCCAAGAGGGCGTTCAGCGCGCGCAGCTGCGCAATGGTCGCCTCCTTCTGCATCTTGATGTCGCGTATGTCCACCTTGTCGGCGTCACCCATCCCCGCCTTCTTGCGCAACATGGCGTTCTCGTCGTGCAGGTCCTCCACCTTGGCAGCCTGTTTGTTAATCTGCTGCACCAGCGCCTCCATGCGCTTGTTGGCCTTAGCTAGGTCGGACCGCAGCTGCCGGATCTCCTCCACTGCCTGAGGGGAGGAAGGCATGGGTGGGGCGGGCGAGTGAGAGCCGGGTAAAGACAGGGAATGAGGGAATGATGAAAGGGAGGGGTGAGGGAGGGAGAGATGGAAGCTTTGGCAATGGGAGACCGATGGGGCTCCTGGGGCTGTGTGGGTGCAGAAAGGACAGGTGGGAAGCAGGAAGCAGAGGATGGAGGGGATGGAATTGGAGGGGTGGACAGTTGGATACAGGGGGAGGGAAGGGCGAATGGACAGACGGAGAGGTTGAGAATAGCGGTGGACGGGAGGGAGGAGGGAGCAAGAGGCCCTTGACGTCCTCTGGTGGCTTATCCCGGTGTATAAAACACGGCAGCGTGTGTGCACGGCGCGGTACCTTCCTACACGAAGCACGCAAGAAGGCCTTATACACCCCTGACTGGCCCAAAGCCCAAAGCCCCACAGTCCCAGCAGTCCCAACACCCCCAACAGCTCAGCTGCAGTGTGCAGTCCACGCATCTGGGGCACATTCCTCACGTGCCCTGTGGCACGCACCTGGGGCATTCCGTACACGCCCTGCTCGTACATCTTATTACGCTCTCGCGCCTCCTTAAGCTCCTCCTCCAGTGTCGTCATTAGTACTCGCGAGTCCTCCGCGTCCTCGTCCTGCTCTTCCAGCTTTCGCTGCAGGAAATCCACTCGCCGCTTGAGGCGGTCCATTTCTTCCTGCTGGCGAGACAGGGCTCGGTCCACCTCCTTGGCCACGTCTTCTTCCAGCTGCTCGTAAGCCTCCAGCAGAAGGATCTGTGCGTTTCGTAATTTAAAATCCAAAATCCACAAAAAGGGAAGCATCACTTACGCACCTAAGAGGACATTGCTTCTGGCGCGTTGAAGAAAAAGGGTAACGGTTAGAAGTTTGGAGAGGGTAACGGGAGTAATAGGGCAAGCCGAGGCAAAAACTGAGGTAGCTATGTTTTTTGGGTGGCCATGTAAAGTCCATTATGGTTGATTCATGTCCACACAAAATCCACGAGCGATAGCCGCGTCCTCCTGTGTATCTGTATCTGTGTGTGTGTTGGTGGTGTTGCGTAACCAACAAGCAACATTCCCTGGGAAGCAGGGTTTCGGAGCCGCGTGCATTATATGCGTGCGCACATGCATGTTGTGCCACATGGTACCATCGCGATCCAGCGACGGATCTGAGGGCGCGCATCTGAGGGTTGGTGGTGGTGGTGGTGGTGGGGGAAGCTGCAGCACATGACTCGGGTGCACCACAGGACCGAAAGAAACCGAGACAGACATACAGACGGACACCAAAAGGTTGTCATATTTGACGTGATGTGCCGCCCGCCCGCCCGCCAGCCAACCACAAGCCAAGCCCCCAACACAGCTCCGCCGCCCGCGGGGGATCTTTCCCCCCATCTCGTGTGCGCGACAAGCCACGCGGCAGGCGGCCAGAAAGGAACCAACACGAATACCCAACTCCCCCCCCCAAACCATCACACGGCAAGCGCGCACTTGCCTTGTCCTCACGCATGTCGTTGAGCTCCATCCGCAGCTGGTCCAGCTCCGCCGCGCTGCCGCCGCCAGGGCCCCCAGCGCCGATAGATATGGCCTCTCCGTCCTTTCCCACCACACGCCGGCCCTTGCCCTCCCGCCGCAAGGCCTCGATCTGCGCCACCAAACCCGCCTTCTCATCTTCCCAGGACCTAGACGAGCAGACAGGGATGGCAGAAGGAGTGATATTAATCGCAGCGGACAGACGATCAATACCGTCTACTGCCTGTTTCGCCTCTGTCCGGAGGCTCAGCAACAGCCATATGAGGAGGAGGATAATTATGCGAGTTTTAAACACATCATGGAGGGATGTCCGTGATGTCGCTGGACCACCAGCTGGTACATAGCATTGGCTCACGCGCTCGGCTCTACTGTAGCAGCCGGTACACAGTACGGCGCTATAAATACGCGCAGAGCGCGACCGCCAGCAACTCGAGAGACCTTTTCAGCGGTCAGCTGCTACATCTACACAGGCGGTCATAGTTGACGAGTGTCCTTGTTTTCCGTGTTTATATTATTGCTTGGGTACGAGAACTTTTTGCGTTAGGTATATTATGACTTGTGCCTAACTTGTGGCTCTCGGGAGGCTCTTGGGGCTAGCTACCTCTGCTAGCTCTTATGGGCACCAGTTACACCTCTCTGGATAACGCAACCGAGATGTATGTAACACACACACACACACACAGACTCTCTCTTTCTCTCCCACTTTTCTTGCACCAGGTTGCATCGTATCAACAGCGGCCACCATCCTCACCTCACCTCACCTATCCACCCTCACCCCACCACCTCACCGCACCTCACCTCAACCCACCCACGCAAAGCCCGTCTTTCCCTCCTGCACAGCACAAACGCCCATCAAAACACCGTACCTGTACTGCCGATTGAACTTATCCTCAAACTCATCCAGCAGGGTCATCTTGTCCTGCAGCTCGGCTCTCAGCTCATCCTGGATGGACAGCAAATTCTCTTTATCGCTGCTCATCTCCTCAATTCGCGTCTCCAAAGCTAAGCTCTTGGACAGCAACTCCTGGTGCTGGGCGTTGAGCTCGATGATCTTCTCGGAGACCTGCCTCACACGGCGCAGCGGTACCGGGAAGGTACCGGGTAGGACGGTTCATTAATTCTGTTGGTTAAAGATGTTCGATGTCGTATAAAGACAACCGAAAATCGAGTAACTTGCCGTACAGGCCACGGTACAGGCCACGGTCCCGCAGACCATGCCCCACCCTAACCTGTTCCCCTACTTACCTGGCTTTACTCGCCAGTGGTTCGTCTTACCCCCACCCCCCACCCCCCCACCCAATCTCACCTCCAGGTTCTCCTCCTTGACAGCCGCCAGATCCTTCCGGAGCTCCGTGTTCGCGACCTCTAGCGCCCGGTTGTCCTTGGTCAGCCGCTCGATCTTCCACTCGCTCTGCTGCTTGGTGTCCTGCGACCGAGCCTCCGAAACCGCGCGGTCATGCTCCTGCGACAGCGTACGGTAGCGCTCCTTGAGGTCGTTGTAGTCGTCGCGAAACCGCTCGTAGCGCTTCTCGGCGTCCGCCGCGCGGGTCTGTAGTTTGAGCAGCTCCCGGTCGCGCTCCTTGATGCTGAAGTAGTAGTAGTTGTAGTAGTTGTTGTTGTTGTTGTTATTAAGGGAAGGTTTGATTTGCATGAGGCATCGTGTGTTAGGGCATGGGTGTACTACATGGATTTCACTACAAGGGACTTGCTGCGTGTTTTGGGGTTTTATTGATTTGTACGCGATTTGCCAGAGGGAGCTGTCAGGGTGATGTGGATTTGTAAGGCGCTATTTACGGCGCTATTTGCGTCTTCGTTGGATGCCTGTTGAAATCCTGTGTCGCGCGCAGCACGTGGGAGATCCCGTCCCGCACACACTCGCGCGCTCTCTGATCCGCTCTGGCCTCGTTCCCGCTCGGCGCCGCGGAAGATGTTAAGACCAGCAAAGCGCCGGACCCCAGCCGGGTCCTATTACTGTGGTTACCATTCCCTGGTATATGAGTGTCGATCATTTCCAATACTCAGTTCGGGTTCTGGGGGTCGGGGCAGTTTCCTGACGTTTTGTGCAACGCGAGGAAGAGGAGGAGGTGCTGCATGGACACCGCCGCCACAGGGGCCACACGACCGGCTGACTTGGCTGCCAGGTGGGACGTACACGCATGCGAGAACGTACAGATAGAAAACACGCACACAGCTGGCCCTCTTGTTGGGCCCCATCCCTCAGGTCTCCAGGTATGTCTGTATGTATGTGGCCTCCTTAGGCTGCACCTTGGAAGGGTGACGCAACTCCAGCTGTTGGTGTACGACACACACACATATATGTACTGTTGACTGCCGAGGCGTGAACAACGGAACGATCAACAACCGAATAATATGATCAACAACAGCCGAGGGGTCAGCAACCTGCGGGGGTGCACCTCGACCCGCAACACACCTCACCTCACCTTTCCTCTAGCTCATCCCGCCGCGCCAGGGCCTCCTTTTCGCTCTCCCGCAATTGCTCCACCAGCTGCTCCATCTCGTCGAGCTGGTCAAGCAGGTCCTGAGACCAGGTTGGAGAATTGGTAGGTTGGGGAATTGGGAAGTCGGTGGATTCAATTATGTGTGGAATGCGAGCTAGGTTTGGGGCTGTGAGAGAGTGTGCAAAATGTAGGAAACGTGACAATCGAAACGCTGCAGGCAAAGGAACCCGTAGCGGGGACAGGGATGCTGGCCGGCTGCGACATTGGCGTGGGACCCAATAACGTGAGCCCGCCTAGCCTGAGCGTGAGGCCTCCTTGTCGACATGATGAACGAGTACGTCATCATGCCATTTAACGAGTAAATGGCATGATGACGTAATTCCAGCCGGATCACCGGTGATGCTTGCACCCATGCATTGTAATTTGTATAGGCCAGAAAAGGCCCGAACAGGTGCCAAGGCGAGCCTCTTACCGAGATTCGGACAGCCCCAAGCAACTAGGGACGCCTCCTGCAGTGCATATCGCAACTTACAACAACAAAAGAAATCTTTCGCACACCTCGTTGCGACGCCGGAGCTCCCCAACATCCGTCGTTGCCTCCTCCTGGTCGCGCATCTCGCGAAGGCGGTTGTTTTCCTCACGCAGTCGTCGAACTTCATTGTTCTGCAGGTAGGCGATGGCCAAGGGGGCCCCTCGGGGGATGTCGCAAGGTGGGAGGGAAGCTGCAAGCCAACAGCAGCACAAGCTCGCTCTGTGCGGGTTTAGCACGCCGCTTTGCTAAATTTACCTGAAGCTCGTTGAAGTCCGCTGTCAGCTCCTCGTTCTCTGAGAACTGCACATCGAGAGCAGCTTGCAAGACCCTCACGACTTTCAGTAGGGTTTCGACCGTCTGCTGGGGTGGGATGCTTGGGTCAGCGACGACCTGAGCCCCCTCGAGCTCCCTTGCCGCGGAGATAACCCGGTCCACATCAGCCTCTTGAAGCGTGAACCCCTGTTAAGGGCGACATGCTATTTCATGAGCACGTACGGTGTTGTATCTGACTAGGGTCGCCTTACTCTGCTGATGGCTTCCGCAGGTGGCGCTATGCGAAGGATTTCATCCAATTCTAGACGGCCGAGCACCGTCGCCTTAGGACGGAATTCGTAATCGCCCTCAGCCATTGTCCGGTCGTCTGTCGGTCCTACTTTACGGCCATTGTCAAGCTATGCTTACGAAGGAGGGCCGAACAGAGAGTCAAAGATGGGAAGAGTATAGGGATAGGTATTTTGTAAACTATGTTATTCGGCAAAAGGAAACTTGGGGCTGTCATGCAGCTGTCGTGGACCTTCAATCCAGCGAATGTCAAGACATGCCGGACACCCAACTTTAGCGTTATCTATCATAATGTTATATGGGCTATTAACGTTTATCATAGAACGATCATAGTGTGTGGCCTATTGCTTACTTCGAAGTATTACAAAGCTTCATACCCTGGCAGGTTTAATGCCAAATTGATATCATGTATATTATACGATAATCATAAGGCACAGCCTCACAAATGGGTTTAACAGCCAGGCTGACTGTCGCGCGGGATGTGGTGGCTATCGACGCGCTGGTGAAAAAGGCAACGAATGCAAATGCCAACAGCACTCTCCTACTGTAAGCTTGTAACATCTTCCCAATAGATGTGGGCTGGCGACGCCTGACAAACAACCGAATGTGCATGTAGTGGGAGCGCGCTGATAAACCTATCGGCATTTGACGAAAAGGACAATCTCGTGGGCTACCTCTGCCTGTAAGTATGCCAGGGCATGTAAATGGCGAAATCATCCCTTGTTGAGGTCTATTTCACCTGATACCCATCCTTTTGGGCAACCCTTATGGGGGTGAGCCTCAACCTTTTGGCCTGGAGCCCCCAATCCACCTTACCCTCTCATACGTGGGCCACGTATACGCCCTGTGGCATCCCCTCTGGCAAAATGTAATTCCCTGGTTGGTATCACCTTGCTTTGCGGCAGGGACGACATCCCATGTGCACGCCTGGGTCACGCGAACTCAGCCGTGGAGAGCTGGACGCGGGAGGCCGCAGAGCCACGCTTCAAGCTGGGCAGCATGGCCTTTGTTCGTGTGTGCGCAACAGACCCCCTTTACGAGGCGAGTTCCGTGCGTGTGCGCAGATCTGGGCCAGGGGCGCCCCCCACGGCTGTCACATAGTCGTCGTGATGGTCGCGACCTCGCGCGCCCACCTCGCTGCTGTATCTTCTCCCTTTCCCCCCCCCCTCCCAGATTGAGGCGGCATCCACGCTGCTGCGGAACGCGTTCCTACTCATCCCCGCATTGCAAACGCTGCTCATGGTAGCAGGCGGCGAGCTCTCCTTCACAGAGCCAGGTAATCTTCCCTCCCTCCCTTTACCCCTTTTAAGAGATCATGGCAGATCATCTTGGCGGTGTGCAGTGCGGTGGCGGCGACTTTTCTGATGCCACGTGCGGCGACGACGACGCCCTGCCTGCCTGCCTGCCTGTCTGTATCCTCCAACTACACAACTCAAACCACCAGCTAATGAACGTCTCCTAGTTCCCCATGCCACATTCCCATACGGAAAACAGAAAGCCTAAACACTCGCGTGACGTATCGCAAATACGCACCGGCCGGCCCCCCAGCCTCACGTTCAGGGCCATCAGCATCGCCCGCTTTCACCTGGGTCTCTCGCTGTCCTTTCCCGCCCACCGTGTGCCTTTCCGTACCTTTGGTCGACCCGCCTCGTCCGTGTTTTTCCGCGCAGGCATCGCGTCGGTATTTGCCCGCGTCATTTCTAGTAAGGAGACTGGCGCAGTCCTGTACGAGGCGCCCCGGGAGGCAGTCGTACCGCCGTTGGCCATTCGGTTAGCGCGCGTAGAGGACCATGATGACATGCTGCCCATTTTACAGCGCTGCGAACGCGCCTTTCCCGCCCTGGCTAAGCTGCCGGAGAGCAGCCGGCCCGATGAGCCATTTGCGCTGACACGCGTGGTGGCAGGACAGGATGAACGAAACCGCGTGTTGGTGGCCGAGGCCGATGGAAAACTCGTCGGCTTTATCGTCATCACGAGCGATGTGGATACCGGCAATTTGGCGGAGACCTTCGACTTGCACCCTTTTGACAACTTCCTGCCGGTGGAAGTGTATGAAAAGCAGTACGAGGAGGCACGGTTGGTCGTACGGGAGCGGAAGCTGGCGCACCTGCGTGCGGAGGCGGCGCGGAGGAAGCAGGCGGAGGCAGAGGCGGCGGAGCTGGCGGCGCTTGCTGCAGGCGGGGATGAGGGAAGTACGGAGGCGGCTGCTGCAGCGCAGCCGCAGCCGCCGCTGCAGGCGGCGCCAGGGTCGCGGCAGGTCAGCGGCGACGGCAGCCCGGTATCCGCCGAGGCCGACCAGCAGCAGCAGCAGCAACAGAGCGAAGGTGGAGAGGGCGTCGCAGCCGACAACGACACGAACACGCCTGCCGTACCGAGCGTCGACGCAGAAGAGGCAGCGTTGCTCGCGGAGGCGGAACCGACGGACGAGGAGACGCGTGCTGAGATGCTGGCTATGTTCGCCGGCACTCCCTTGGAGGTAGAGCCGACACTGTTCGCCGTCACGATGCTCTGCATGAATTCCGCCTACGAGGCGCAGGCGCATGAGTTCCTGGGCCCCTCTTTCGCTGCCTTCCCAGGCAAGCTGTACTGTGTCATAACGCTACCGCACGACAGCCACGAGCCGGCTTTTATGGACGCGATGACGCGGGTTGCGCCAATGCCAGGCAGTCTCTTTCCGGAGGTCCTCTTCATGTTTAACCGCCACGCGCTCATTCCGGATTTCCATGTCCGGCTGGGGACCCCGGACGACCTGGAGCTGGTCGCGGCTCTGGTGGCGGGCATGCCCAATTGTGCTGACATCTGCGCGTCCTTCACCGGCGCCGCAGCTGCGGGCACCGCCGTCGTTGCGATGTGTCAAAGCGAGCTCGTGGGGTTATGCACCGTGAATCCGGAAGTGGATTTGGAGCTGCTGCAGGCAAATTTCGCGCTCAGCGCACATGTCGACCTGGCCTACCAGCCCCGGGAGCAGCACGGCGAGGTGGACATGTACACGATGAACCCGATTTTCGTGCATCGGCACCGCACGTTTCTGGCGGGCGCGATGCGGCTGCTGGGCAAGGCGGCACTGTATTACGCTTTGCCTCCTGGACAGCAGCCGCCCGACATGCAGGAGGTGCTGGCCCAGGTCGCGCCGCGGCACCGGACTGCCAGCGAGAAGCAGCTACAGGCGGAGTTTGCGCTGTACGCGTTCACGCGACAGGCGGCGTTCAAGCGGCGTCGGTCTGTGAATGCGCAAGTAAGTACGCGGAAAGGCAAGGCGGAAAGGGTGGAGGCGGTTGGTTTATAGGAAAGGCAAGGCGGAGGAGGCCCCCTGGGTCTAGGGTGCGGGGCGGGATGTGGTTTTTTTTTGAGGTTGCAGCTTGTTGGGGGCACAGAAGGGGGAGGTGTGTCCTGTCTAGCTATCTAGAAGAGGGTCCATGTAATGAAGGACGGTAGGATGCCAGGTCGCTGTTAAAAGGAAGGCACAACCAGAGCCTGAGCAGTGTCCCCAAAACGTTGTTTGGAAACCCCACACGCTTAAGGGAAAGCACAACGACAGCCTGAATGGGGCAGAACATCAAGCTGCGCATGGAACAAGGAGGGAGCCAATCCTCTGAGGAAAGCCACCGGTCAGCCGCCCGCCAGGCAACAAACTTGAGCGGAAAGCCCCCCGGGTTGGCAATAAGGATGATGGTGAAAGGATGATGCATCCACGCAGACAGACAGACACACAGACAGACATACGGACACAGGAAAGCTACAACTTAGGTGTCCCAGTTTTTCTCACCAGAATGTATGTATGTATGTGTGTATGTATCTATGCAGATCGTCATTGCGGGCGCCAGCGAGTGCGGTCTGGCGGTGCTGGAGCGCCTGCTGCTTGACCCTGATCTGCAGTTCAACTACCTCACCTTGCTGGCGCCCGGTGGCATCAAGGTACGGAACTTTACATGCAGCAGTTGGGTACGTGTGTTGGGAGAGGTATGCAAAACCACAGACTCAAAATGCCGACATTCAAAATACAAAGCGGCGAGGGCGATGGAAACGTCCCGGCTGGCGGACGCGGTGTGCAGGTAGCGGGGCCCGGGGGGAGAAGCTGGGCGCGTGGGTAAGCGTAGGAGCTGATGTGCATGATGGTGTTTAGGAAAGGGAAGATCGAAGGCTCTGTGATGTGTCCGATACTCTGACTCATACTCAGTTCGTCAAATGTTTTTTCTGTTGATATCGTTTATTTCGGTGTTGACGAGTTGACGACATCAATTAAAGGGTGTGTGCCGCATTTGCTTGACGCCCTGTGGTGGATCCATAGCTATGAGTGGTGGGCAGCTTCTTAAAAGTCCTAACAGCCCTGAGCCCCGTTCCATTTTCCTCCGCCACCAAATCGAAGTGAAACGAACTAAACCGCTTTTCTGGCCCGACAGGTCGGCGGCATGGTCTGCCAATACACCGCCGGCGTCATCGCACGGCTGGGCCTTGAGGCGCGTGTACTGCTGCTGGACGCGGAGCTGACTGGCCTGGAGCGCGACATCCGCGTCATCCACCTGTCAGACAACTCACAACTGTCGTACAACCAACTCGTCATTGCGACGGGCCTGCAGGACCAGAGCCGCTACCGTTTCGCAGAAGTCGACCCGGAAGTAGCTGGCTTGCTCGTTACGGAGCTGGAACTCGCCGCCGACTTTACCATGAACGACGCGCTGGTCATGAACAACATCCTGGTGTGCGGTGGCGGCCTGGGCGCCTACCATGCCCTCAGCGTGCTGGAAGCAAAGAGCGCAATAGAGAAGACGCGCTTCCTGGTGCCTCCCGGACGTCAGGCGCAGCTGGTTGACGTGCTGTTGGGGATGGCAGGGGAGCTTGGGTTGCAGCTGCCGCAGCCGGAGCCGCTGGAGCTGGCGTCGCTGGTGATTGACAAGCCTGTGGGTCCGGAGTTGCACGCTACGGGTGTGGTGGTGAATCCGGAGGACCCCTCAGCGCCGGAAGAGGAGGCGCCGGTGGACCTAGTGGTGGGCTGCGAGCCGGCATCGGTGTCACAGGCGCTGTTCACGTGCCTTAATGACGCCAGCCTGGTGTTCGACGGGCGGCTGGTGGTCGACAGCGCGTTCCGTACCAACGACCCAAGCATCTATGCCGGCGGCACTATCGCCAAGCTGTCGCGGCGCTACGGCGGGGCGCACCTGGAGTTTTACAACAGCCGTGATGTAGGCACCAAGCTGGCGGCAAGCCTGGTGGCGTGTTTCACGACTGCGGCGGCCGCTGGCGGTGACGGCCAGCCTGACGCCGCCGTGCTGCCGCCGCCGCCGCCACAGCTTACGGGTCTGCACCGCGCACGTGCACTAGGGTGCTCGCTGCCTGGTGGCTACCACTTCATGTTTGCAGGCTGCCCGGCAGCGCATGCCGCGCCGTCGCTGAGGGCGCAGCAGGGCGGCAGCGAGGTCGTTACCACCACCGAACGCGGCCAGATGCGTCTTAACCTGGATGCAGACGGTGTCGTACACAGCATTATGTACCTTGGGCGTGTGGCGGTTTCAGCGCAACGAATGGGCTGCCTCGTGGGCCTCCACTCCAACTACCTTAACCAACTGCTGCCACGTTACCATGCGGGTGAGATTCGGGACCTGCTGGCCTTCCTGACAGAACCCTGGGCGGAGCTGCTGTACAACGAGGCCTTTAACGGGCTTCGAGAGACGCTGTTAGAGATGGGCCTAACGAGCATTTCGCTGGGCGAGCGAAACGCTGACGGCGGACTAGTCAAGTGGGTCACTAACGTGCAAGACACGCTGCTGGAGTTTGCGCGCTCACACGCAGCAGAGCTCCCTGGCTACATCATGCCGTCGGCGGCGAGGACATAAAGCGGGAGGCCTTGCTGCGGCATCTGGAGGGCAAAAACTGGGAAGAGCTGAGGTCGGTTTGGCGTTGGACCCGTCTGCAGAAGGGTTTTGCGTGCCAACGGCTGGACTGGGCTGTGTGTGGAGACAACTAGCGGGAAACCTAGCGTCGCTTGTGGACAGTTAGACAGAGGAGTCTAGTTTACGGTGGATTGCTGCTTGAACCGGGGGCCTCGGAGGTACAGGATCGGGGCGGTGAAAGGTGAGGGGACGCATGAAGATATGGTGTGCATCTGATTTCCAGGTCCTTCGGACTATGCCTGCCTGGCAAGCCGCTAGGGCCTGAGAAAAGAGGCACAGTGCAGTTTGGCGGTGTAGGATATAGCAAAGCCATGTCGGTAACGCTGCGGGAAAAGTGCATGGTCGCGGTTATGTAACTCGACCTTTGACCAGCTGTGCCGATTTCTCTCCCTCTCCCTCTCATTCGAGCAATCGGCCACCTATCCAGGTGAGCATCCGTGCTGTTGGAGCTGTTTGCGGACTGCAGTTGGTGGTGCAGTAATCGCGGAGCTGGGTAAGACTGGAGAGTTTGTGACCAAATGTCGGAAGAAAACGTTTCGATTTTTCGACACCGTTGGGTCGGCGGGTCAGAAAGTCAGGGTGATGAACGAAGGTGACGTGACCACACACCGTGACCGCGTGCATGCTGGATTGTGCAGTCTAATCATGCGGAGAACACATCAAGTGGAGGCATGTGGTAAGGGAAGTGCCAAAGCAAAAGGGTCCAAATATGCCAAAGTATACAAAAATGTCCAGGCATAGGCGAGTGTACGTCCCTAGGTGTTTACATGGATTATAACTAAATATGTTTTGGTTGCAACGTCGTTCATGCTGCAACGTCGTTCATGCATTTTTCATTTTTCGATTTTCCCAGGCCCAGCTGCTGCTTGCCCCATGGAATCGAGCTTCTCCCCCATAAGCTTGCCCATGGCCGCATAGAACGCCGCCACCTGCACCCAGAAAGATTCACAATTAATTAAAGCAGCGGAGGACGTGAAGAGGCGGATGCATGCATCGGGAATGGCGACTTCCCTGCTAATACGAGCCAAAAGGAAAGATGGCAACGCAAAACGAACCAGAAATTGGTATGGTTGTGCAAGGCAGTATGCAGGTATGCATGTATCTCTGTGTGCTAGACTCACCTTGGGTTTATCCTTATATTTCTTTATGTTCTGAGGGTTAGCTGCGATGTCGCTGACTGCGGCCATGATCTCTGGATCATCAAACGCCGCCAACAAACCCGGGTCTTGGCCGATCTTGGTCATGACGTCAGGTGTGGGCTTGAGTTTCTCGACGAGGTCGGCTTTCATGGCCATGTAGCGCTTCTCCTGCTCATCCGGCTCCACACGCAGAAAGTCCGGAATTACAGGCCCGTTGCCGACGCCCTTCTTTGCCCGGATCATGGGAATCTCTTCCACTGGCGGCTGAGTCTTCTGCAAGTGGATAAGGACGGCGGTGCTTTTACCGCTTCCTCGACATGTTTCTCGGGCTGTCGATAGTGTGAACACACACGGTCTGGACGGTAACGCAACTTTAGAAGATGTAAAAATCACACACACAAAAACACGCACGCACACACACACACACAACACACACACACACACAACACACATGCACCTGCACACACATACAGACATATACACAATCTGGAAGCGCAGATCGTATGGGTGAACTCCTCGGTTCTAGCTTCAATCCCGTGACCAACCCTGTCAACTTTGCTTTTGTCTTCATCTCGGCCATATCACCGACGCCTGTCCCGGTCGTGTTGACCTGGCGTACCTTTTGGGTCGAGGCTTCAGCTGGGGCCTTGGCCTTCTTTTTAGGAGCGGCATCGAAGAAGCCTTTCCTTAATGCTGGTGCGGCTGCGACAGCAAAGAATGTTGCGGAAGTTCAACATGGCGCCTGATATCTTTAGCCTTATAGCCAGAGGGGAATTCACGCTGCCGCTGGTGGGGACCCCCTCGCACCTGGGACGGGCTTGGCAGCCTTCACTACCACGTTTGCAACCCGCAGCGCCTCCTCCTGCGGCAGACTACTTTGGTCCAATATGGACTCGCCGCCATGGCTTCGGAGCTTCAAAGCGTCAACTTGCTCTGCCAAGCTTGATAGCGGTGGTGGAGCATCTGCCGCGCGGAAAACCGTTGGTCAACAGAAGGTTGTTCCTCCGCATGTACTTGACAATGTCAGCCTACCGTCATCTGAATCAGCCATAGTCAGCTTTGAAATGCAAAAAGCATCCGCGTCTCAAAATGGAGTGTCGCGTTCCGAAGCTCCCATTTCACTATCACAAAATCCACACATATTATCACTTTTCTTCCTATCATGCCTTGCCTAATTCGACTTTTGCCGCAGCATTTCAGAATTAGACGTACAATGCATTACTACATCAATTTTGCAGCTCAACACACACTTCTGTGCTGAGCCTAACACGATGCAGATAAGTTTTTCTGGCACTATTACTTATTAGTCACCTATGCTGGGCCATAGGACTTCGCTCAGCGGGCGGCTGCATTCGCAGTCCACCACTAAACACCCGACGGTTTCACAGCTGCACGTTGTGCCAAAGTGCACCCGAACAGTGTCGTGTTATGCGAAAGGTAGACGAAGACAGCCCGAGGAAATTAATCGTCAAGGTACCGTACACCGATTCCTGTTGGAGTTGGCGGCCAGGGGTCTCGCGGCCTTGACGTCAAAACGTGAGGACGGCTGATCGCCAAAGATTTGCCCAATTAAATGGCCCATCCGTGGTGCAGACACTTCAACAAAATCCCCAGTCCCGGCGAGACAACCGTCGCAACCAACAAAACCTAGCACACGGCTGCCTGACCTAAATCGCGAAGCCCTGTTGATATCTAGCCCCGAAACCGAGGGGCGAATTCCACAATCAAAGCAACAGATTCCAGGTAAGGCAAGCACTCGTGGAAAGCCTCTTTTCCCAATTCCGGAATGTGCTCCTGTAGCAACACTGCTAACAACCAAAACCTCAAGCTGTTGGGAAGGCCACGTTGGTGACGATATTGGTGAGCATGCATTGCAGTTGAGTCACCCATCGCCGTACTAGAGTCATCATCGCCTGCGCGAGTGGGTGACTTGGCGGCGGAGGCCGACGTGGAGGATGACGAGGTTGAAGGCGAGGATGGCGCCGGTATGTGCCAGAGACCGCATGCATGTCTGTCCCCGCCATCGTAGCTCTGAGAACAAGGCGATCACAATGCTATCTGCGTTGCGTCATCGACTTGTCGACGTTACCTGGGGCCTAACCGCCCTGGTGCCTTGTGGACGTGTATGATGCTGTCTTTGGCTGTCGACATTAGGTTGGCGTCTGAAACACCCTTTGTTGCTTGGGTGCCGAGTGGTGGAATCGTAAAGCGCGCCGCAATAATTACAGTCTGCCACCGCGCATCATCTGCAGCTGTCGTAACGTACTTGCCGTACGTACTATGCGCCTTAGAACCGCTAAGGCGGTTATCGCTTAACCGGCTCTTCAGCCAGCTCAGTTCAGTGTATGTTAAAAATACGCATTTCATGTAGCAGGGGTGATGTACGTAGTAAGCCCGTTTCCAGGCCCCGTCTGCGCCCGAAAACATGCAAAATTACGCTGAAATATCGTTCGGTTTTCTCCGAAAATGCCTTCAAAAGGCTTAGGTGGGGCCCCCGAAAAAATGCTCCAAAAGGCCCCAAATCCGTTCGGAATGCTCCGGGGCGCACTAATTTTCCTTTCGGGCAAAACGGAAATATCTCAAAAAAATGTTCGGGCCCGAATCGGGGTGAAGAACCCTGGTATGCACCTCATCGCCTTGCCCGGAGTTAGCGGGGGAGGAATCTGAGAACACGGGCTGCGACAACGCCCTTTGACAGTAGCTGTGCAGTGTGTATGTACCGAGTGTGTTGCACGCCGATGTCGTACACGGGGATGCAGGTTTCGGAGCGGCACGATCACCGGACTGGGACCCTTGGACCGACCCCGACGTGTTGGAAGCCCTTCGGGAAAGTGGTACGTGTGTGTTGTAGAAGGTATTGCAGCGAGAGCCCCTAGGCCCCTAGGGATTAATTACCCCAGCATTGTTGTAAGGGGCCATCGGGGCACAACGGACCGTGCACTGGTACGTAGGCCGGAAAAATTAAACTTGAATTGCGAAAGAAGTTAAAACTGAAATCGAAATTTTACCTAAATCTTACGAGAAATTACATCTTAGCGATGAAATTAATTTAGTTTAATAAAGACAGCTTTTTTGTTTTCTATAATTAATTTACATACATATTTACGTATAAAATTTACATGTAAAAATCACTTTACTGACTTGATGTGTCGTGATCACCTCCCTGCTTAGATCTGATTCCTGTCTAAAACCAAAATCATTTCCTCCCCCTTTCTGAAACCCCCAGAAATCCCCGTGTTGGCGGAGCTCACGTCCGCAACTCACATCATCATCAATGACGGCTTCCTGCCAGACGCCGACGCGCATGCCCTGCGCCGCGTTTTCGACCAGCGGTTCGCCGACCCACGGGTCACTCACCCCGAGCGGTTCCTATGGGACTATTGGCACGTGCCGGACCAATACACGCTCGTACGTACGCAGGTACGTGCGGACAGCACAGAGGATTCCGAAATAACATTTTTTCTGATTTAGGGTTAAGCGCCACGAGGGGGAGGGGGAAAGGGAGGGAAAGTCTTAAAACTGTTCGCGTGAGAGCAGCAAGTGGCGTGCAGTGGCCCGGCCAGCTAGGCCTTTATGGCTTAAAGGTCGATAGGCCGAACCCTTATTTATGATTGTGGTTGTGTTGTTCAAATCCGTTTTGCCCTCCACGCTGTTCTGATGTTTCTCACATTCCTACATTCCCAGGCCCAAGTCTATTTTCCAGAGGAGTTGTACAACCGACTTGAGGATTCGCTGTTGTCGTACGGCGAATCCCAGCTGGGTTGCCGGGCCATAAGCCCCATCTGGATGAGTTATTACGTGGATGGCTGTGTGCAGGTAGGTGCGAGGTGGTTGTGTGGTGGTTCCGGAGCTGGCTGCTGCCATGGGGCCTGGGTGCATGCATGGATGCGCGTAGGTGCGTGTGATAGGTGTGGTGTGCGGGTGTATTCGGTGCGGGTAAGGCGTGCCACGTGTGTGTGTGTGTGTGCCTGTGTGTGTGTGTGTCTGTGTGTGTGTGTCTGTGTCTCTGTGTGTGTGTGAGTGTGTGTCCATTGTGTGCGTGGATGTGGGTGGGGAAAAGATATGTTGTCAATCGCTCGTAATGTGTGTGAGGGAGGAGTGCATTGCATCCGGGAGTAGTTTTGGACAGCTTGGGGGACGTAAGTCTCATCTTGGGAGCCGAGTAAGGGTCCTAAGAGTCCATTTGCGTTAATCCTGCGTTTGTTTACGTTGACACATATGGCGCAGTAAACCTGCGCGTGGCGCGACACAGGGGGGACCTGTACGTCAAGTCATGCCGTACAGAGGGCATGGAAGCAAACCCTTTTCCTTTCTGGCTTTCGCAGGAACTGCACTGCGACAACCCCCATGGTCCGTTCGCCTTCGTGCTCTCCTTGACTAGAGGTGAGATTCTCCTTGACTAGAGGTGAGAAACACCTCCCTCATCACAGCGCATCCATCATAGCACCATCCCCCCCCGGCTGGGTCGCGCGTCCAGGGCCGCAGGCCTTATCCACGGCCACAGGCAAGGGGACATCTGACATTTTACATGAGGGTTTTGTTCCAGCTATCTATCCGTAATCCTTATTGGTAGGGAATGTCGCCCTCGTCAAACTCAGCGCGCGCGTAAACTACGCAATCTTCAACCGTGCAACGTAAAGGTCAGGACAGGACATTTACATGAAAAGACGCAAAGGGTCACCATAGAAGCCATCGTCAAGCAGAGGGAAATATCCACAACCTGGAGGATTATACGTGAAATAATATAAAATTTTAAATTATTATCGACTCAACTTTTTTCCTTTTTGATCCTCCGAAACCGCCAGATTGGGACGAACGTGAGTTTACAGGTGGCGAGACTATGATCCTGAAGCCCGACGTGCTCAACTACTGGCGCACCTACGATCCGCGCAAGGGCCTGGAGATGCAGCAGTTGGTGACACGCGTGCCTGCGCCCTTCAACCGGCTGACCGTGTTTGACCCGCGCTTCCCGCACGGAGTACGGCAAGTGCACGGCACACGTGACCCGCGCAAGAGCCGCTTGGTGCTGCACGGTACGCTTTCCTGTTCAAAATGTAGGAAGGGCATGTGAGCGGAGTGTTCCGAGGTTGCCAGCCGTCTTAAGAATTCCCGTTTCTAAGATCTGTCAACTCTCAACGGCGACATGTTTTTCTATGAAGTGAATGAGAAACTGCAGTTGAAGCGTTAGTGTCTTGTGTCGTTGACCTTCCTTATCCGTCGATTAGATGTGAACGTCTTTCGCCCCGCTTTGGCTGCTGATGGCTTGGTGCGATACAGCCCGCTACGCAACCTCCTTTAGAACCTCTGCACGCATCCTCGAAGGGAAACCCCCCCACACCTGCCTGGCAGGCTGGTTCACCGAGCCGGCGCCCTTCTTCCAAGGTCCACTCGACCCAGCGGATGCGGAGGAGGTGCTGAACGAGGGGCTGGGGTCTCTCTGGGACGCGCTTGAGGGTATCAGCGGTCTCATCACGGGTATGTATGTATGTATGTATGTGCGTTTGGGGGTTTGAGAATGACAAGGGGGAAGCTACCCCCGGGAAGGGCGTCCCTGCTGGCAGTTGCTATTCCCAATTCCTCTTGCCACTGCCGCTGCCGTACCTGTTGCAAGATCAACACCACTCTTGCATCTCGACGGACACTTAACGGTCCTGTGCTATCTGGTCTAAGGGGCCTCCATGCGCACTTCCCCCCTCCATCCAATGAAAAAAACTATTGCTACTGCTGCTGCTACTGCACTGCTACTACTGCTACTGCTCCGGCTGCTGCCGGGACCTCCAAGCCCGGGAACAGAACACCCAAAGCCCCCGTGCCGCCCCCCCTCCACATGACCGCCACCCGCCGCAGGTACGTTGATTGTGCGTGTGCGCATCAGCGGCCGCAACGGCTCAGTGACTAGTCTGGACTGGCTGGCCGACACTCTGGTGGAAGTGCCCAACCACGACCGGGCTGCAGCAGAGGCTCTACTGGAGGGCCGGGTGCTGCCGCGGCTGCGGGCGTTGGTGCACAACGAGGTTCGAGACTGCCTCTCGATGATTACCTTCCCGGCCGTCCCGTCGGGAGAGGACAGCGTGCTCACCTACCCCATCATCTTTGAGTAGGCGTGCCGGCCGGCGACGGCGGGGCGGCAGGGTTAAGTCATTTTCTGGTTGGAGGACAGGGGAAGCGCGAAGGTGCAGGGAGCGGGTGAAGGAGAAGATGTCGCCACTTGGTGGCCTCGGGATTTGAAGTCGCTCAGGACAATTGACTAGGGGAAGACAATTGCCTTTCCTCCTCCCAAATGCAAGGTCACGATTTTCTCAGGCCATGATTTATATTAGGGCGAAGGCCAGGGGCGCTACGGTGTACCATTGATTAAAGGTCTGCGTCCACGTTTGGTTTTAGGAGCAACCAAAGATATTCATGCGATGATAGGGAAGGGCCTTATTATCTTGCTGAACTCAACCGACTGTTGGGACTGATGAACCTAAATGACCTACTGTCAGGAAGCTACACGATTTTTTGAGGGTTGCGCCTCCAGTTGACAGGTCTGAATACCAATCCACATGCCATTTTAGGGTACGTATGATGCTTCCCTGCTCCACGTTCATTTCTTAAAGCATCCTCCAAAGCTGTGCTCCACAGGGTGACGTGCATTTTGGCTTCGCTCCAATGGCGCGTCTGGATCCGTATCTTTGGCCGCCGCAGGAGGCGCGGCAGGTGTGTTTAAACGAGACCCGAAGTCGAGACAGTGCATATTCGAAGAAAAGTAAAAACCGACGGAACTCAATGACCAACGTCAAATTCCAAAGTCTGCGCCTCGTAATAACCATCATCCTCGCTGCCACTCAAAAAATTTATATACGGTGCGACGTTGGTTTTGGGTTTTTTTAGAGCAGTACTTATACTGCTATCCGTGACGTTATTTACATCAAACGCAAAAACAAAAAAGTGCAAAAGCAAAAATTAAAATATCATACGACAACAAAAAAAGGCAAAGCTTAGCCGACCCTAAGCACAACTTCTGTGCATAAACCATAACTTACCAAGTCCATGAAGAGGCTTTCTCATGTAAGGCCAAAAATTGCGCTCACCTCATATCAAAGTTTTCCGCCGCCAAAATTGCCCTTTCCAAGCGGGCATGGCAACGGCGTTGCACTGCTGTACCTCCCGTCCTGCCAAAATGTATACTTTACTAGCCTCTACTTGCGCAAGCTCAAGAACGCCACGCATATCCCCCATAGTTTCATGGTGTTGTACGACACTGTGCGATGACAATGCTCTCCGACCTGAAACGACAGCAACCACACCGACCGCCAGGCCCCGAGCCATACCTGGCTTATGTGCAGCTCCTGATCCGCTGTGCTGACCTTCCTGGGAACCCTGCATCTTGTTCCAGCATACCATCCGGCAGCCACTAAGTCACATCGGTACCCGCGCAAGCGTTATCAGCTTGTCGCTCGCCTCACTTACACGCTTACTAACGGCCTTAACACCCTCGAGGTCCTCTCCACACGCCCCCTGAAGTCTCCTCCTGATCGCCCATCCCAGCCCTTATCAAAGCACAAAGCACACAGCCGCCCGCCCACATTTTTTCTTTGCATTTTGGCGGCGTGTTCCACCACCATCTCCACTAGAGCGCCTGCGACCTACTTAGTGTCGACCGGGTCGGAGGACGGGTTTGAAGACGCCATGGAGCTGCTACCTGAAGCAGCCGTTGCCGCATCTGAGCGGCCGCTGTCCGCACCTGTCGCCGTCGCCGCCGCCTTCTGGGCCTCTTGTTTCCCCAATCGCTCCGCGACGTTGAATGCTGCCCGGAGCTCATCGGGACGTGAAGTAATGCGAACTTTAGGAAGCTGCGGACCGCGTGATGCGGCATCCTCCTCCTCCGCCTCCTCGTCGGTGATGCTCCCCGGGAAGAGCAGCAGCTGAACCGATAAGCCTGTAGGCAAGAGAGACGACGCAGCAAAGAAGGGACAGGGCAGGCATGGCGGGGCAGGATGCGGAGACCGGGCGTTGCGTGAGGGCTGACGGAGGAAAGTTATGGTCGCGCGGCTGGCCGTTGCGTAACATTGCATTGGCCACGAATCGGTTCCCCGCCGTATGCCGCACAGATCGATATGCGACCTGGAGCTGCTCGGGAGGTATGCTGTTGTTGATTGGATGTTTTGCTTAGGCGGCGCAACATCGGAAGCGGCTAATTATGCAGATGGTTCCCTTGTAACGTGACATCATGCATCTGCAGCGATGGGCATGGTCGCTGGCGCGGAGTCAGGGCCAGGGTCAGGGTCACAGGAACGGAGCTTTGCGAGATGGCTGAAGGGTTCGCCGTGTCGCAACGCATTGCGACGAACAGAACCCGAGCTCCTTCGTTAACGGGCTTACCAGCTAGGCCCACTCCGTTCGCTGCGAAAATAAAAGTGGCCAGGTAGCAAAGTCCCAGAATGATGGTACGGACGGTGATGGCGATGTTCCGGGCCTGCAAACACCAGTGCCACCAACACCGTGAGCAGCTAGCATTTTCCCGCAGTCCTGTCCCCTATAATTTGTCCAATAACGGCTTTGGATAGGCGGAGCGGGTCTAATAAAGAACTCTATCTTCTGGAATGATGTTCGCGGCGATCAACTTACAGTGTATCCATCTGGGAGAGCTTGGCCCTCAATGGACCCCTGAACCTTCGTGGTGAAAAACCACAGCCCGTAAGCTAGCACGAGCGCCTGGCCACAGCCACTGCGAGGATACGAGATATTAGTCTGCGCGGTTGGCAGACGTACTTGTCCATGCAGTCCTTCCGCGGCCCCATGAACCGTGGGACGCACCAAGTGGGTGGTCGACACACAAAGAGTCACGCGCAGTTTTTTTCCATGCTTACATGAACGCATTGACAGGTGTCGCCTTGGACTGCTTCGGCGCGCCCACTTTCTGACGCAGCTCATCAAAGAAGGTCGGGCCAGAGGGCGCTTGACCAGCAATCCTCTGCAAGCAGCCCCCCAAAAGAGGAAATGGAACCGTAAGGCAGGATGGCCACGGCAAATCCTGAACGACGCCAACGACAAACAGTCCAACCGCTTACCTCAGTTTTAGCCTTCGCAGCTCGCTTGCGGAAAAGCCTAAAGAGAAAGATGCCAACTAAAAGAATGTATGCGACACCAGCCAAATTCTTCAAAAATTCGTCGCCACCGGATGGATTGTATGCCACGCCCGCGTCTGCTGCAAAAGCTATCCCGGTGGGCCATGCCATAGTAGATATGGCTGCAAGCGATGAAAGAATTTGAAAGCTGCTTCCATCTTGACGTTCCAGCTCGGCAGGCGCTGGGCAACCTTGCGTATCTTTCGCAACCCTCGATACAGCATGTTGTCGCTGCGCACTCATAAGTGACAATGATATACACAAGGGTGCAGACCTTGGTCGAAGCCAAAATTGGGCAGGTCGCCAAGAAGTGTATGGAAGCGATTGCATTTTTTATGTTCGGGCGCAATCCCCTTTCGGCCGTTCGGCAGTAAATCGTGAACAGGCCATTGTGCTTTAGAGTTTAGGCTTTTGCGATTTGTGATAGCGTACAGTCCGTACAGTGCATCAGAACGGTGCATCCATTTGAAGTGGCAGCTACCTGGGCTGCTGCCGCGCGCGTCGCTAAATTTTGTCGCCTGCGATATAGGGAAGCTTCCTCATTCCTGCTATCGAAGGGCTCGGACAGACAGGGCGAAGGGCTCAGAAAGTCAAGGTATGGCTTGTAGTGTGGCTTCGGTCACCAACCAAGCCGCGCAACTCATTCGCCCTTCTTGCCAAACAAATACAGCTACCGCTTTTGCAGGTCACACCCCAGGAAATACAGTCTCCTTGGCAATAAACCTCCCAGCCAACTGGCCTTCGCACTTCCGTACAACACCACAATTCAACGCCGTACGACAAGATGCAACATGAAGCATCAATCCTAAAACTTACTTTAATGCACAAAGTATGAGAAACATAAGTACGGCAAACATGTTGTCGTGTAAGAAAGACATCCTGCAAATAAACAAGTACAGGTTATCATGCCAAACATTCGGTGGTGGAAGTCGTTATGTACAGGAGTGGAATCGTCTCACATCTGTGCAGCAGATGTCATTTGTGTGGATCAAGGCATCCAACTTCATGCAGTATAAAAACACGTTGAGCGATACCCACCGTGATGCGCCATGATGCTCGCAAACGCAAGCGAAAAACTCATCCAACTGCCATCCAACGTTCAATCTGAAAAATGTGCAGTACCAGTTCTTGCGGCCCCATTCTATACCGTGGCCCATACCATGCATGCTATCCATCTCATGCAATACTTCATGCTAAATCCGCAAGAGCTTGCTGCCTGTGAACTTGCGACGACCTTAAATTGGCTGCGTGCGACCTGAAAAAACTTGAAACTACACTGCAAATTCACCAAGGCGCTTCCTTGCCGGCAAACGCTCAATTTGTACAATTGGGTGTACAAAATTAGGTGTTGCGATCCCGGAACCAGCTTAATTGAAGCGCACGCTTCGCTTGCCCGTCTGGCGGCTGTCGGGTCGACTACCGGAGGCCGCCACTTGCGCGAGAGACTCAGACACGAACATGACCAGGTCGCCCGAGGAAGCGCAGGAGGGCGCAACGGGGCAACTTGCGGGCCCCTGTGAAGCTGCCCCGAAGCTGATGCTTCGGCCGCTCTTGGATTCGATCCGCGGCAGTGGGGAGGACACTTGGGCCGCTGCTGTGCCGCCGCCACCGTTGGCAGTCGCCACCTCCGTCCGGACTGAAGGAGAATCCTCAGGCGTGTTCGGTGCTGATGACAAGATTGATATAGACAGACGGACAGACAGACAGGAATGGGAGTTCTCCTTAATTAAAATGTGTTGGAGATGGCAAAGGTGCAGGTATTAACCCCGAGGGGCCCATAACCCCGAGGTCTCTCGAAACCCGCTCTTACTTTCAGTGCCTTGACAAGTAAAGACGAGATACGATAAGTATGCATCGGACACGATAATTCGATATGTAATAGACATTTGGTTGTTATGAACCAATTAGCCACTACATAATGTGTAATCGTTTCCGCTTCATAATACTCGTACCTCGTCCTTATTCGTCGTTACATTGAATGTATGAGGTGGGGGGGATGAAATGATGTGCAAATGGATACAGACGAAAAAACTGGCCGTTGTGCAGGTGCCCGCTTCCTCACGTTAAGATATTTGGCATCGTGCCGCTATATCCCCCTTCACCACCCGCGCACGAGTGGTCGCGCGCCCTGGCCCTGCCTTCCCATTTTCACCCCCCGAACGTTGCCTAAAGTGGAGCATCACCCGCCCACGTACCGCTCGCCCGTTTCAGCACCGGTACTACCCGGCGCGCTGCCGCCTCTGCTTGTGCCTTCTGCCAGGTGGAAACGAAGTCGACACTGTCTACGCTGCCCCCGCTGCGGCAACCCTGGGCTCGTCCGGAGCCCAACCGGGGCATGCACAACAGCGTCGACAGCCAGGTTGCAACTGCGGACGCCGCGCCGTCTGGAGCATCGTCCAAATCGCGTCGTTGCCTGTGCCGCAAGTGCGGTGCGGGTGGGGAGGTGCAGAGGCTGGGTGAAGAGTTAAGAATGATGCTGATGCTTGCCATGTGACAAACGGCGAGTAATATGCTGCTTGCTGGGGGGGACGACATCCGGGGAGGAAACTCAATACAAGTGCCGTACTGTGCCGTACTGTACCGTACTGTAAAACCTAACGAGCCTGGATTGTGTAATATCCTGGGTATGTATCCTGGCTGATGCTGCCCTGGAGCCATCAGCTCGCGAGTCTGTTTGCGTGTATGTTATATACATCCAACAAGGAAAGATATAACAACTTGACTGTCTTCGGGTCTGCTTTCCCGCCGGGGGTTTATTTGTTAAGAGGGCTTGGGTGAACGTGCCCTTACCCGTGGCAGGCGTTCGAGGGTTTGAGGAGCGTCCTGGTTTGGCAACATGAGCCCAGTGTCCCTACTTACCTGTAATAATGGACAGCAGTTGCTGGTGCGGAGAGGTCGGCTGAGGAGCCAGGCGGCACGGCATCTGACGTCCATGCCTTGGCTGAGGGATATGTGCCCTGGATGCGACCGTTGGAAATGATGTTGACCATGCCATCCGCGTCCCAATTGGTGGTTGGTGGCGGTTGGGAGGGCTTCATCGATGCCGCGAGAGCCTCCGCTTGAGGTGATACTCGGCTTGTGCTGATTTGCGTCATTCAGAGAGCCCCATAGGACCAGTTATACCAGCGATCTCGGAGCACGTATTGACGGAATCTTGCGGTCCTGTCATTTCGGGACACGGGGCCTTTGTTCAGGCTTCGGAGCTGGACAGGCCGCTTGCATATCGCGACAGCCATGTCTAAAGTAAGCAGCGTTATTCAAACAAGGAAAGCTTTGGCAGCGAAACGTAAGACTTATGTTCAAACCCAGGCAGAGCATTGCTAGACCAAGAGCACCCGCCTTCCATGTCTCTCCTCTTCCTTGTTACCTTCAACAGCCAGGGCAATATTGATCAGTAGTTTCTTTCAGTTGTGCAGGCGGTTACGCTGCATTCAGCTGCAAAGCACCCAACGGACTTCGAAGGTGCCCACACAGAGGTTTAACTGGCAAAAAATGCAAGTGTGGCATGCAAGTAAGCAAATATTCTTTCAGGTTACACGATATAACGTCGTTACAAAAGACAAAATGAGCGCAACAGACAAGTTACAATTGTCAAACGAATGTGTAGGTGCTCTAGCTATTGTGTCTCCTCTGCCCACTAGCCGAATAAAAAATGATTCTGTCAAGTAGAATTATTGCATGACATTACAACTCGGGCACATATTTGCCCATTTGGTCCCATGTTCCGCGCTGCTGTTGCCGTAACCGGGCCGCCCCGTAAGGCAGTTCCACATCTTATTTTCATTACCGGACCGATCATTGTTACCGGGTGTATTAAGAAAAGATGGCAAGTTTACAGATTTGTGTTATCTTAACACGCTTCCGTCGTTGCGAGTTTTCATTGCATCCACGGACGCAGAGCGGGGCAACGCTTCATCTGAGACGCCGCTTCTTCTATCTTATGGCATGATAGAGATGCTGATTGTTTATAGTCTTTGGGCAGTCAAATGCGTGTAGTGATGAGCCCGAATGGAACTAGCTAGGCCCTGCTTCCATCCAAGAGCAACGCGAATACGCTGATAAACATGTCAGGCTATGAACTGGAATCGCTTCATTATACTTCGCTTCATACATATATATATCTGCGCGTAATTGGGATCTCGAGGCCAGATAGCAGGTTAAGAAGCTTGGAAAGGCCTCCTTTACCAGCACATACGAACCCGTTGCGAAGCTTGCCACTGCTCGCCTGGGCTATCGTAGGGCCACCTCGAATTACGAGCTTAAAAGCTCTTGTGGATGTTATGTCAGTTGTGGCAACGCGATTGCCGTTTCCCTTTCCAAGCTTGGCCTTTTACGTAGGAGTCATAACGATTACTTTGCCCGTCTGGTCTGGTACCGGTATCCTGCCAACCCATGCATCACAAACACAGCATCACCTCGCCGCAGTTCTACACGAAAGACTACGTCGTGGGCCACATGGAGCCACGGAGCCGTGACCGCCGCCGCGGCGGCGGGTGGTCTCAATTTATCTGGACGACACAGGGAAGACACTCTTAAGGCTTGTTATGTCGAAAGCCATCCACAGTCACGACAAACGGTGGTATTTCTGGTTTCGGGAACGGGTCTATTGCTGTCTTCCAGTACAATTTCTGTTTCAAGGCCGCGGAATGAAAATGCGTTTTTTTGCAATAGTTTGACATCCTCAATATCTGAATCCCGACGTCTAGCGACGTATGATCCGATTTCTGCAAGCCGGCCGGATTCGGGAACTGTATTTCTGTTTTTTCGGGAGTTTCGGTACGACCCGAAACCCCCGAAGCGTTTGCCGATGTGTGGTGCCTTCCTGCAGCGTTCACATTTACCAGCTCCTTACGCTTGTCAATTAATTTTAGCTTAGTCCCCCAAGCACGATCACACATGAAAATCACAACAAAGTGTGGCCGCAAAGCCCCTTCCCGTCCTGAGCCCTGTTCCGGAGGCCCCCGCCTTGGAAGTCTCTGCTTGGAAACACCCTACCACATAGGCTAACGAACCTCAATAACAAAGAATTAACGAGCTGTTTGGAACTTCCCATGTACTAAAATGACCTCCCGGAAGGAGAGCCATACTTGTAATTAGGCTAAGAACAATAATCAGGCTAAGATTCAATGTGATAGCAAGGCTTATTGCTACGCAAGCTTGCGAAGGGATTAGGGCCCAATCCTTGCTGCGGACTCCGGTTGTCGCAACCTAGGTCACGTCAAATGAATTCTGCATTCCCTAATTCCATAACCTTCCAGATACCTGTTCGTTACATTCCGCTTCACATCGTGGATTTGTTATCGTTAGAGCGTCGCCGCTGAAGTTCCGTAATGGAAAACCCTAGCGGATACTACAGTCAACCATGTTGCTAGCGCACAATCATGACATGTCAACAATGACATGTCAGATATAAGGTTTAGTGATTGCATAGCCATTCCATCCCATTTCGTTGTTGGAGGTTCGTTGGATTGCCTCCGGAACCGCAAAATCGTTGATGGATTATGAGCAATACGCGATATGCGTGTTCGCTAGCTGTATAGACAAAGTTATTAAAATTCACCATTAATCTTGATGAAACTCGTCCTTCATTATGTTATGATACAAGCCTGGGGAAGCTCGTAAGGCCCAGACGAGTCAGCAGGCTCATGGACCGTGAATTCTAGTGTAGTCAGAAAGGAGAACGAAATTGGAAGGGAAAATTCGTTTATAAACCTACGTGCGAATGGAAACAGTAACTAGGGTAGGCTACCTCAGGCTAACTACTCGGCTATCAGCGTGCGTCGCCTCATCCAGATGTTGTGTACGATCTGCGCAAGTCTTGTAACGTTCATTCCGTTAATGTTGAGTCAGGTCGTCCTTGAATGTTGAGTCCGGTACCAAGGACCGGGTACGAGCCAGCGGATGTACGTCTCCAGAAGCCGGTCTACAACACATACTCAGACGGTACACTTCTACAGCTAACGGTGACGAATTTGTTCAGCCTCATTGGAGGCTGAGGTGTATATAGGTGTGTTTCGGGCTGCGCAGACCCGTAGTGGTGTGCTTTAGGACTGACACCACTACTGCTGCGAGTCCAATATACCCGATGCCATCCCTTGCCCCAAGCGTTTTCTAAGACATCAGAACCCTAAATATAAGCAGCCGAGGCTGTGATTGTTGTTACGGACTCGCCACCTGTGGCTTTACAAACTGTACCAGGCCTTCAGGGCGCGCGAGAAGTGGCGCCGGAATGATGCCATGGAGTTGCGAGGTCCTCGCAAATGCGCTTACCTTGGCTAGCCCAATCGCAGCCTGCTATTGTGCAAGGTTGCTTACGCGGCTCTTTGCGCAGCTTGAGGAAACTAGCGCAATCGTGGCAAACAGGTGAGACTGCCAGTGATGTTTGAGTGCAAAGTGGTTGCCTCGTGGCTTCCTCGAGGTATATCCTGTATTTTGTAGCCTCAGTTGTGCGGTGGTTGTAATGCCATAAAGTGCAAATGATGGCGGTTTGCCGATGTAGGTATTGATCGGGGGCGTGCACATCCGGATCTTCTAAATGTTTTTTTGTCTGCTCTGCGTAGGAACTTCCCTCAATCGAGGTCCTTAGCATGCAGTGGGACTGAGGCAGTCCTAATCCCGCCGGCGCCCTGCCGGAGCGAAAGTGGCCAGCACCACGAGAATCAGGCTGTTAATGGCTGCTTCCAGTACAGTAACGCAACGTTTGTTCTTCAGGTCAGGTTAGCATTCTTCTTTTTGCTGGATGCGTTTGTTACCTCGGACATTCCGTCAGTAGGGGGTTGGCGAATACTGTGATGTTGTTTTGCCAATGGTTTTGGTTGGTGTTGATGTGTCGTTTCATCCGCTCCTTGTAGAGCAATGACGGTTCTGGGGTTGATGCGATGGATGCCGAGGACGAGGAACTGGATTTCTGCATTCTGACACCGCAACAAGCCCTGGGCGTCCTGGTGGGTTCCTTAAACAAACCAAAAGCTGTCTCTACTGATTGGACTCGGCCAGCCGAAACACTCCCGTTTGATTCTCATTCCTTTCAGGGTGACCATGCACCGCTTTATGCGAAGATTTTTCTCAACGGCTACACGTTCGTGGCAGATCAAAGCGAGCCTGGCACGGTAGGGTTGCCGCGTATTGGCTGTGTACCCAGCCTGCTCTTGGTCTACAGATTCTAGTCCCCGGCAATCCCATCTTCTTCCCACTTGCCGCAGATCCTGTCTGTGGATGAATATGCGGATCGCATGCACAGCTCGGCAAGCAGGGACCAATCGCTTGGCGGATCTTCTATTACCTGCAGTCCCGGCGACAGCCAGGTTGCCGACGCAAAGTCGGACGCTGACGCGTCCTCCCGCTCGATGGGCGGTGCATCCTCCATTAGCCACTTCAGTTCCATCAGCGGCTCTCTATCCTTGACTTCATGTAACTTAACTTCATACATTAGCTGCGGCCAACCGGATTACAGCTCGGATCCTACAGTTTCCCGACGCAGCAGCTTTGAAGTTCAGTTATTACCTTCCAAGTGCTCGGCGCGGATACAGCTCACCCGGCGAACTACGCTCGAAGAGGTCAACGTCGAAGGCTCGTACTTTAATACGACGTCGCAGACTTGTCCTGCAAATCTGGACGACGTGTCAGCCCCGGACAAGGCGCAAGCTCACATATGGTGCAGTTCAGCGGAGACAGCTGCGGCGGATGCCATCCCTCTAGCATTGATGCACCCCGCCGAGCTCACGGGTCCCAGCACACCGCGCGGACTTGCCACACCGCCGCGGCCTTCACCCTCTCCGCATTCCACTGGCGGCGCATGTGCAGGGCAACTGTCACAATTGTCACAACAGTCACGGCTGTCGCCTGCGGATTCTTGGGTCTTGCGAAGAAATGTGCAGAGCATCGCAGCGACTCGGAGTGTTGAGCAAAGTAGCTGTGGGGGGAATGTGGCTAATAAGGCGCGTGCTGGCTGTTGTGGTCCACAGCGCCATTCACGAAACACTCAGTCGGAAGCTTTGCCGCGTAGCGCCTCACATGGCGGCGCCGTTAGCTCTCATGCTGTTCATGAACCAGTGAGGGGCTGTCAACGACGTTGGGTGCCGTCCGGCACGCGCCTGGTGCCTGCGCCTCCACCGCTGCCGCCGCCATCGGTTGCGTGTGCGGGCGGCCCGCTATCATCAAGTTCCTGTTCACGAACGGCGCTTCGTAAGAGCCGTGCGGTACGTCGGCAGTGGCGGTTTGCATTCTGTAGGCTTGCACGGTTATTAATTTGAAAGGATTTGAATGGCGCATATGCGTTGTGTGGGTTCTTAAGGGAGTTTGGCATGTCCATGCATGTACGATTTGCGTGGAGTAAGGGGGTGCCGCTTTATCCATGGCCATTAACCTGGCAGTCACTATCTTGCCTGATGCTTTGGGGCACCCTCATCCTTCTCATCACCCATGTGTGCCGGCTTTTTCGAACTCATAAATGACTTTTTCGGGTTCAGCACCCACCACCAGCATCCAGTGAATTATGCCGGATCAACGACGGCATCGACTTCACTCCCAGTCGGCTCACAGGTGTCACTATATCCGGGTCCATCGCCGTTCGTCGCCATGGGGGTGCTTCGACCCTCATACTATCAAGGGATTTGTATCCCGCTCTTTCTCGGGATCGATCCTGGAACCTTCCAGGGACATAATGTCGCACCTTAACATTTGCTATGCACACATATTAGTTCCACACTTTAAGAAGGTGTGAGGTCTTGATATGTCATGAGCTCGTGTTGCGTCTCGGCTCACCGTGGCGGCAACCGTGTCTTTGCTTGCAGGAGGCGGCGGCAGCAAGCAGCATTGGAACATGCAGCTTTGAGGTCGCACCGGTGCCGCACTCACCGCCACAACTTACACAGTCACAACCACGACTTGTGAGCGGCGGGTGTGTAACCCCTTGCGGAGGGCCCCCTTCGCCCGCGTCCTCGCCTGCAGGCCTGGGCAAGGCCCCTGCGCTTCCGCTCCCAGACGGCGCCACCCTGGAGTCTGCCGTACCCCCTGCCCTTCGATACTACCTGGCCCAAGCGCGCGCGGCAGGCTGTCAAGACCCACGGGACATCGGTGAGGGTTGCGAGGCTGGTGTCCGGCAGCGACGATCATCAGCAGGGGACTCCGTTACCGGTGCCTTGTCGGAGCCAGGTCATGATGGTGATGTGAGTATCTCTGCCGGGCGTCCGGGCTTTGTGCGCGCTGCCGTCGAGCAGCTCAACACGCAGCGTCTGGTGTGTTGTCACGTTACTCCGTTCACCGCGTCGAAGACAAGTCGGAAGCCGCGGCCACTGGCGCATCGAGTTTCAGCATCCAAGTAAGAAGGCGCGATGGTGCCTTGTTGTGAGTTAGTTTTGTCTGTCTGTTTTTAGCGCCTGTTTTTTTTTCAATAATCTTGCGCTTGAGCTGTGGTATGTTGCAAGCGCGCAGGGCAAGCTTAATTCTTTACCGAAAGACTTGATATGGTGTTTGGCTTGGCAGCCAACTTGTCACGCTGTGATAATAATTAAGTTCAAACATATTGTAGGGAGCATGACTCTGCATGGACGGATACTGTATGTATGATCACATCCTTGCATGAATTCCGTTTCAGCTTTGATTTACCTTGGTCGGTGCGTTTCGGAGATCATTATCGAGGTAGTAGTGTTGAGGTGTCAAGAGGAGGGCATAGAACAGCGAGGGCGTGGGAACATGACGTGGTGGTGTGTGAAGGCACTCTCCGCGTGAGATTTTTTACGCTAGTCGTCGCAGTATTAACAATATGAATCGATGATAACAGTTCACCTTGATGTCCTAAGAAAATGACGGTCAGCTCAACGTTCAGACAATCAAATCAGACATATTAGGTTTGGTGACTAGTCGAGGAGCTATGCAATTATATGTGTTCCTTATGGACGGTTTATAGCGTCTCGGCAGCATATCTTATCTAGCTGTGTTGCAGGGATGAGTATCGGGCTAAGAGTAATCCGCTCAAGCCTGGTGGCCGCAACCATGGCCCTTGGCAGCTGGCTCACAGATCAGGGCTGCATGACGCCAGCTTTTCCCCGCTCTCGGTTGTGTTTTTATTTCAAACCGCGAGGATAATTTCTTCGTGGATTTCGCCAAGGCGATGGGCACGGTGTGTATTTGCTTGCGGGAGTTTTTGGGTAGGATTTGAGCTGCTACTCTTTTTTAAGTTTTCAAGTAGACGCATTTGGCCAAGGTCTTCAGGAAGAATCTGGATGTCGTGCTGCGACTGGTGCAGTGCAGAATAGTGCAAGATTGCGTCTTGGACAGGCGGCATATTACATACTTGCGTACGATTAAGTTCTGGCGGCTATGCTCATGTGTTTCTTATGCTAGGGGATGATGCGTACACAGGTACGCAGGTGCTTTTGCGGCTCCGAGAGCGGCCAAGCATGTGTAGCTTAATTAGGGACCTTGTATTTAGCAAACTGTGAGGACATTGGCGCGTTTTACGCTGATGCATATGCACGCCTATGCATATGCACCTGCGCCTAGGAGTGGTGATGCTTGGAAACGATACAACGGTTTGTGACTGTTGCTGCTGTGGGTGGTTGTCGAGCTTTTAGCCGCAGCCGAGTTGTTGGTATTGCAGCTGAAATTGATCTTATTAAAATCCCTCGTATCTTGTGCGAGCCCGATTGGATTGATCGGTTTCGCCCAAAATGTAAGGGAGTGTATTTGCGACTAGCTGTTTACCGGTTTCACTTGATCACGGGTGTATGCCGTAAAAACTCAGGGCAACGGACGGGTACGGACAACGCCTACCGGTGCCGTGACAGTCCGCAACAGCATCTAACAAGCACAAGCATCGTAACCGCTAACCTTCTGCTATGCCTGCTCAATCCCAGGAGTCAGTAGGAAGGAAGGATAACGTCTGGCCTATCTATGTGAGTGTGTGAGTGGAGTGTTTAACGCCTTATTGAGTTGTGACCCTCCAAAGATGTAGGGAGCCCATATACCCATACGAGCCGGGGTCTTAAAGACCATTATTCGAAGGCTTTCCGAAGTAACAGGTATCGCACAATACACAAGGGGACTCTATGAGCAGATATGAACCTCGACAGCTGGTTATGAAGTGAAACGCAGGTTTGACGTATAAACAGATAGTATGCTGCACCTAGTTCTGCTGCGGTACTTACGAAAGATGTTGGGCGCATCGTATAATGTATTCCCGAGAATGCCGCAGCCACGATTTCAGATCGTCACCGTGATTAACAGGCACATCTTTCATCTGGTACCCAGAGTGGAGAAGCCAATTGGGCTTGGGCATTGTCGGGCCGGTCAAAGGCCTGGTCAGGGTTAAACGTCAACTCTCGTCAACTCGAATCTCGCAACAGCCTGGCGTGAACCTCCACATGTACGGCTTCGCAGTTTCGATCCCCAGCCGCATCCCCTGACTTAAGTTGTACGTGCAGAATTAAGATACAAATATCATGTCGCGCTTCACGCCGTGTACTTGTACGGAAGTACAGGCGGACTGCCAGATTATCTGCCACCCGCGGTGGCAGATGATGAGCAATTCAAGGACCCCGATAGGCACCATTTGAGAGATCAATCGAGCACCGGGAACCAGCCTTGTACCCTCCTTATATCCACTGGCAGCTTATTATATATCTGATTCACAAAACAGCCGTTGACTAAATTTTAGGATGTGCACTATGCATTCGCTTGGATAAAGGCAACCTCGGGCAACCTCATGAATTCGCGGTGGCCGCGACGCACTGACGGGTGAGCGCCGTGGACCCCCCCGCTTGCTTTATTCTCGGTTTTCTCCGTATCGGTGTACATATCGCGTCGCTGTGCGCAGAAAGAAAGAAAGGTCAAACTGGAAAGGACGTCTTCATACGTCTTCATACGGATTTCGTGGGCAGGTTAAGCTGTAGCAGGGGACCCATTACGCGCAAGAAATCTAGGGTCGTGTTTACACGGCTGCTTACCTTTGAGCTACAACGCCATGCATAGGCCTTCGAAATATAAATGCATGAGAGAACAGGAACTTTGCCTTCGAATCTGTTCTGACAGCGAGGTTGCTGGCTTGTTGGTTTTCTTTCCGCTTTGGCTTGGTTCTCAGACCTTGCGCGCGTGTGAATTGGCAAGAATTGGCACTTCTCGATACTATTTGTTGTATCGCGACTTTCGGAAAAGTACCGATAGGTGGATGTCAGATCGCGTGATACGCCCAGAATACAATATTGTATTAATACCTTCGCTTGCCTTGGGCGGGTGCAGGTCTTCTTCCATCGGTTACCATGGAATGCATCCTTTCGCGAAAGAAAGAAGGCATGAAAGTTATATGTAATACTTATTGGCATCCTTGTCATTAGCATTCTTATTAGCTCCTTATTAGCATTCTTGCCAAGCTAGGATCGATGTCACAAAAAAAACCAACGCCTGCTGAGTGCTTGCCCACGGAACAGCGCGACCTCTACACGCGGACAATCCTTGGGTTTCCACGCAACGTCCAGGAGGCCGAGAATTTTGATTATGCAGATTAAGTATTCCGAGAATAATGCGGTCTGGTCGCGTAATATTTTTGTGCATATCCGCGAATGATATGTGTGTCCCGTTGAAATGGAACTCCTGCCTCCTTTTCGACGACTTCTGACGACTTGACCGTTTTTGCTCTTCTTGAAGCAATTGTACGCGCGTGTTTACAGTTAGCTTTCTTACTCATCTTGCTGTATGTGTGAGGTATTAACCGCCCAAAATAATTAAACATCACACTACTCAGCACGACTGGTGCGGTTAATTAGGGTTGCTTCCTGTGCGCCGCTCCTAGACTTGGAACAATACGGTAACAAGCAACATATCTTGAGTTTTTTGCATTGATAAACACCTTGCAAATTTTCTTAACGGCTTTTATTGTATAGGCACGTGGCAACGGAGAGACCTCCATGCCATTGCTTGGGGAGCGAGCGATTGTCCTTCGCTCGGAGCGACACTATTGATAAGTGGAGTAACAGACCGACTGTTGTGATTTAACGTTACGCCCAAAAGACACTGACGTACAGAATTGTAAACGTGCATAAACCTACAAGACACGAAGATCTAGATGTATGTATGTTGTTACAGGGTGGTTAACTTAGCCCCTCTAGCAGGGGAGAGCAGGGACTGCCCGGGAAAGGGGCCGCTGGCAAAGTTAACCACCCTGTAACAACATACATAATTCGAGGTGCAGTCACAAGGAGGAGTACTATGGAACATGAACATCAAGAAAGGCATACATGGCCTTCAGCAGAACCTCGTGCTTGGCTCCGCGCATATACACATATACACTTGCGAGCTGACCAGGAACTAAGTTGATGCGCCGTTGATCCGCTAGATTTGGTTGGATGCTGGTGGTGAGTTGCCGAACCCAACGAATACATACTGAAGTCGGATGGGGTGACGGATTAGGGTGCCCCTCTAGCAGGGGAGAGCAGGGACTGCCCCGGGAAAGGGGGCCGCTGGCGAAGTTAACCACCCTGTAACAACATACACATGTCGCAACCTTATCGCAGGCCGCCATTATACGCATAGGAAAACGTCCTCTATACAAGCAATGTTTCAATAGACTAATGCGTAACAGGACAGACTAACACCAAACGTTCAGCAGAGGAACTATTCTATATATGCATGCGTTTGTATAACCTGCCTGCGCCGAAACTGTGTAAGCAATTATTCTTTTCCAAGTGGTTTAAGAACATCATAATAGCCCCGCTGTAAATCTGCAGATTGATGCGTACAGATTGCAATTTAGAAATGAAATTCGAGCATCAACTGAAGAAAACCCCTTCGTTGCTTATTAGGGCAAGCACGGTCTGGGTGCAAATAATTGATGGACAACTCCATTATAATTATTGCAATTGTTTCAAAAATAGCCCTGAAGGTATGGAAGCCCTGAAACCGATTATTATTGAATGCGTGGCGGTAATTAAAACCGCCATTAAACCGGTGATGACAGCCGACGGTTGCCAGTCCAGTAGTAACTTAGCGGACTGCGGTGGCGGCGGTTAGTCGTCCTCTGTAGAAATGGAGTCCCCACCCATTCCTGGGAAACTTTAATCAAAGCAAGTGTTTTGACGGTGTATAATTTACAGATTAAGGTATGTATACATCTATTTCGATGATAAGTAAGTGAGTCGCTTGGTTATCTGGCGATTGGGATTTTCCCTCGCTCGTAAAGGCACCGCCGCAAAGCACGGCTAGTACGAATGGATGCGATTAGCGTTGCGCCCAAAAGGCACTGTACAGAAATCGTACCTGCCTCCTTGCAATTTGCATATCTATGGTTTGAATGGGCATTTCAACTGATTTCACCTTTGCTCGGTCGAAGCGAGCGAGCCGAAACAACTAATCGGACGGTGCGTGTTCGCCAGCAAGGATGCATGTAGTCGACTCAGCCACGTTTTATCAATCACTAAACGCACATTAAAAACCAATTGTGGTCAGGTACCAATATGAATGTTTTATGCATTACCTGTTGAGTCATACAGTCGTCCGTTTGATGCACGAAGTATTTGCTTGTGAACGAATGTATTGGAATTTGCTGTTCGTTCATATAAAACAGTCGGTAGTAATGAGTGTGGGTCTTGTTGCTTCAAACGAGTGCTGTTTTCGCGTGCGTGTAACCCGCCCTGCCTCCCATCCTCCACGCATGTGCTGTTTTCCGCAGGCAGAGCTAGTAGCTAGCTGCCGTTTCGTTCGGTGTTGAAAGAAGGGAGAGGGGACTTTTAAGTCCGGAATCTCGCTACGTACCTGCTTACTGGCGAAGTACAAACAAATGATGAGACGGCAACTGGTGGTACTGCCACTTTTGTTTCTCATAACAATTTCAGGAGGTAAGTTGACGAGGTTGTTATACCGATCGGCGGATGCAGATCCCGCGGTGATAAGCTCAGAATACAACAAAGGTTGACGGAATGGGCGTCACCACGCATGCACCGTGCGTGCATTTAAGTAATTTTGATGCCTATTCGGCGTAAATACCTCACCGTAGTCCAAGTAAAAATTGGTGACAGAAATTTTGGTGACGGCCCGACAAAAATCCTGAACTTGCGCAATGGTTCTTGCAATTGGTGATGACCCGGAAATCGTTTTGCATCTGTGTCACGAGTATTGGTGACGGCCGGACCATGACATGACAAGTCGTCCGGTCGTACCGTTCACATTTTGGCCTTGCCTGATCACCATTTTCACTGCCGCAAAGCAAAGCAAGGCCAGTGAAGGCCGTTCCCAGGCATAAGCAGATTTTCTTCCTCCCTCCTCTTTTTCCACTCCCTTCTCGCCTTTCGTCCGCCATACCAACATCCCCATGAGGCGCATCACCAGCTTTAGTAGCGTGGCGAAACCCCCCGGGCCCCCGGCGGTTCTTCACAACATTTCTTTTTCCTTTCCCCTCTCCTTCCCTCCCTCCCTTCCTTCCCTTTTTCTCCCTTCCTCTTCTTTCCCCCCTTCTTCTAGCTCATCCTTTCCCCCCTTTCCTCCCTTCCCCTTCCTCCACTTGCCAGCATGTTCGTCCACATATCAGTTCTCAATTTAAAAAGTAATAAAGCTGTGTCCGTTTTGCTTTGCACAAGTTATGAAATTTGGCTGTGCGTCGTATAGCTTAGTTGGTGACGCCCGCGCTGGTAAAAGCCTTAGACAATTACACATGCTACAACCTTGGTGACGGCATCCCAAATGTGTGTCACCAATTCTACTGGCACTACGGTATGCCTATTCAATGGACCTACCTGACATTCCAATGTGTGTTATGTTTAATAAATATCCAATCAAAGTGCAGCATACAAATGCACACATCGCGTTTTACCAGATCCCGCCTTACACTCATACTAATTACTTGGGACTGCTTTGCTGCCATGCCCGCAAATCATCATTTTGACCAAGCAAGTCCATAATGCATGCAGCGACAGGCTTGATCTCCAGGATCTCCAGCCCCATGGATCAATCCCGTTCAACTCCTCCTAGCAGATAATGATCATCCTGAAACCCATTGCAACCTGCTCCTACGTACGTTGCTGCTGTCTTGCTTTCCATGCATGAAGGACTCTGCCAGGATGAGGACATCGAGGCCTATCTTGGTGATCTCAGCACCCCTCCTCCCGAATCTGTGGAAGGGTCACCGGAGGACTCCACCTCCATAGAAGCGACTGCACCAGGAGCAGTGGACATCTTGGGCCAGCTGATGCTCATCAGCACGCCGTCAGGGGAGCGCAAGGGCCAGTGGGCTATCCGCCAGGGCGATGGCTCGGTGACACCCATGGCGCTAGGGTATGAGCCCCCCAGTACGGATGACCTTGGCCAGCCCGTGGTGCCGGGAGCCGTGGTGGCTGTGGTAAGTAGGAATAGTACTCCACATTCCCCGCCATACGCCAGCCACTCACGCACGCCCTGCATGCTGTATGATGTGTGAAACAGGGGGGTATATCTGACTAGAACATGTGCGGAGACTGGTGCTCACTGCACACTCCGTCTTCCGCACAAGAGTTCATCCATTCCCCTACCTGTACGAAATTAATTCTTTTTTCCATGCCGCCGCACGCAGTCATGCAACCTGGATGACCTTGGTGTCTGCAATCCGGCCTCGGATTCCAGCACAACCGTCCTGTCAGCACAGCCCATGTTCTTACCGGACGCCACTGATCAGAAGTACCAGCAGCGGCTGCTCGTCATCATCATGGACTACTCTGCATGCGGCCTACCGGCCTCACTTACCGAAGCCGCCGCACGGACTGTATTCTTAGGGGCCAACGGGGACGGCAGAGGCGGAGCCGCACAGAAATACGAGCAGTGCTCGTACGGCAAGCTTGTTTTGAACGCCACGGCATTCACGGCAGTAACTGTGAACGTCAGCAGCTGCCCGCCGTCCAAGGCGGCAAGCTTAAACAACTTCGAACTGTGGTCGATTGCCCAAGACGGGGACGCCGGAGTAAAGGCTTCATTTGGGATTGACAGGTTTCAGTCAAACTACTTCACTCACTATACGTACATTCTCCCGCCAGGAATGAAGGATGCGCTCTGCCCATACGCACTTGATGCGAAATGCCCAGCCTCAGCTGGGACTATGGGTGGACAGTCGAGTTGGCTGCAAACATCGGCGTCTGGCGTGGGGAGATGGGCGTCTATTCTGAGCGCGACCCTGCATAACTACGGTACGGCAAGACGGACGGAGGAAAGAGAAAATGGATAAGCGATATCCGCGAGGGGTCTTGCACGCGGCCATCCGTGGACGTTTCACGCACGTATGTGTAGTGGCTCTACATCTTAAGGCACACACATCGTGTATAAATACGCGCCAAGGTGCTTCGCTGGCATCTGGAGGGGTCTTCCAAGCGGCCAGTATGGCAGCTAATACAGCAGCAGTAGGTGTAGCAGCACATGCATGCATGTGACGTTGTAGCTCCGCCGCTTTTGCGACAAATCATTTGGTTTCCAGAGTTTTCTGTTTTCCTTCAGATTTAATTGCCTGAAGCAGCCTGGGTTACCACGCACCCGAACGCGAATCGTATAAGTGCTTCCCTGCTACCGATCGAGAAAACAGCGCTGGCTTGCAAGCAAGCGCTATTAACCAATTGGTTAATAACGTAACACTCAATAACAAGGGTATTAAGGATAATAAGGGTTCTATGCCGAGGTCGGCCGAGGCGCATGTATAGATATGGCGCATATTCTGTGTAAGAGCTACATAGATGGATACATCTCACATGCCAATGGCGTGAAGCAATTAATCTGCGGCGACCGGGACGGACGTCCTCTAAATTCCCCTCGCCCTATACCTCCTATACATCCATTTATGTGTCCTTGCTCGATGCCCCATCCTAATGCCCCACAGGGCTGGGAACGTCGTTCACAGTGCGTCAGGATAATTATTTAGACTTCACAAGTCCCACGGGTGCCGGAGACGTCTGCCCCAACGCCGCCGAGCTGGCCTACCTTGGCTGGGCCACGCCAGCGCAAGGGGCCAACCAGGTTGACTCCAGGGCGCTGCCTGTTGGTGCCGCCCTCAGCTTCAATCTTCCCGCCACGTACCTAGGCCCCAATGGAAGCTACATCAGGGTTGTTCCCGACTGGCTGCCCACGTACAGCAACATCACCCTGGCCAAGAACCTGTACATTGCCGTACGTGTGAACAAGGGCGGTGACGCGCAATTGGGGTCGCCCTGGGCAAATAAAGTGCACATCCACGAAGTCAGCACGGTCTTGGTAAGTTCGTTTTACCTTCCGTATGGAGCTCGTCCCATAACGACTTGCGTTACATAGATCTTGCGTATTTCGGAACCGTTCAGGGCATCTGGCTTATTTAATGACGATGAGATCTGTTTGTAGTTTATAGACAGCAGGGGCATCGTGTTATATTAAGGACCAAGCGAGAAAGGTAAATGTAATACAATACAACACAATATATAGCCACTGTAACAACCACACACACAATATATATACAACAACACACACAATAGTTAGTTATTTGGTCATATAACTACAATACAGAGTTGAATTTTAAGTACTGCAATACGTAAAACTGCATTTAAGCAAGCTTTTTTCGAAATTTCAAAAGGAATTCCAAAAATATCGCACGTATTAAAACTATATAATAAACACGGCAAGTTTGTCGTAGTAATGCCTGAAAGTCCAAGACAGGCTGACCTTATGATAGTTGCAGTGCACTACTAGTAAAATGCTGTTATAATAAAAAAATTTACCATTCCTATCCGGATTATTCTGAATTCAAGAAAGCAAGTGCTTTCATCCTGTGATTTTTTACTTTTTGGGGCCATCCATCTAGCAGCCTTCCTGCGATTTTGTTAAACAATAATCTTCGTTCCAACAATACTATATATTAATATACATGATATATATGATATATGTAATATGATATTACATTACATTACATTACATATGTAATATGATATAATATGATATAATGTAACGTAATATAATACAATACAATATAGTACAACATAATACCATACAACGCCCTCCTCAACGACACGTCGTTGACTTGCTGTGCATCCGGATGCTTTACGCCTTAGGCTGTTTACATTGCCTTCTGTTCTTTTACCTTCTCTCGGTATGCATATCTAAATGCATTTGCAGGATAGCAACTTCCAGAAAAGTTATGATTTGTTTCGCGTAGACACCAACGTCTACTTAATCTCCATCGCCGCGTCCCTAAGCCAAGTGGTGTTGTCCAACTACAACCTTGTCGTGTACGGCGGATCTTGGATCGGTACAGACATCCTCCGAGTGCACATCTGCCGCTACAGATCTGCCCCCCAAGAATGCCCCCCCGTGGCCTCCCTGGAGAGGTTACCTCCACCGCAGAGGTCGCCACCGCAGAGGAGCCCCCAACCGTCGCCCAAGCGGTCGGCGGCCCGCCGGACGCCCCCCCCTGACACTACCACCACCAGTGCTGCTGCACCCACAATAGTGGATGTGCCAGGCGAGCTGCTGTTCGTTGACACCCATTTCAACGGACTATCGCAGTGGGTCCTTCGGGGTGGTGACGGCTCCGTAACACCCATAGCACCCGGCTTTGCCCCCCCCGAAAGGGATCTCCTTGGGCGTCCAGTGGCGCCGGGGGCGCTTGTAATAATCGTGAGTTGAATTACCATGATGGTTTGATCCACTTGATTGCTAGCGTGGATTGCATAAGGTTATCATTATTTAGCCGCATGTGTACATATGTATGTATGTTTGTATGTATGTGCGTAAGTGCGTGGTACCAGCTATATACGCCCACACAGGGCAAGGTCACCTAAGCGCACAGCAAGCGCAATTAGGTCAAACATAGCCATTTCGTTCGTCTGTTTGCCATGCATGGCAGACAGGCCGAACCCTAAGAAACATAACCATTTCGTTCGCTCGCGCCTTAACTCCTTGGTTCATCAAATTATTCACGCTCCTTACACCGCACGCAGTCTTGCTACATTAATGCCGCTGGCATCTGCACTCCGGCTCTTGGGTCCAAAAGCACAACCATCTTGTCGGCGAAGCCAATGTTTTTGCCCGACCGCGGCACGATCCACCAGCGACTGCTGGCCGTCATTCTGGACTACTCCGTCTGCGGCATGCATGCCAGCGTGACGGAAGCTGGCGTCCGCGAAATCTTCCTGGGGCCTAACGGGGATGGTCGCGGCGGAGTAGCCGCGAAGTACACAAACTGTTCCTTTGGGAAATTCAACCTGAACGCCACGGCATTTAGGGTTATCACTGTGAATGTCAGCAGCTGCTCGCCGGAGGTGACATTAGATTGCAGCTTTCATAGGTTCTGCTTTGATGGGGACATCGGAGCCAAGGCGCTGCTTGGAAAGGAAGCGGTTTCGGGCTTCACCCACTTTGCATACATAGTGCCGGAGCCTAATGCTAACGTCTGTCCTTGGGCGGGCGTGGCATACCTGCCGGGGAACCAAATCGCGTTGAGGTCATATTCCTACGGCGTACAACGCTGGGGCACCATCATGCAGGAAGCCATCCACAATTACGGTGAGACCATGGTAGCGTCTTGTGTGTGGCAGGTGGTCTTACTCCGCTTTGGTCTTAAGGGTAGCTACCCTTCCTATAGGAACTGTAGGCCGTTATTTTTCACGCCTACCAAGCAACCTTCTTCCCGGTGTTTCTATGCAAAAAACCCTATTTACTTTAGTAAACGTTTACTAAAAGTAAACACTTATATGTTGTCTATACATAGATCGTGTGCCCTATGGCATAAAACGAGGGGTAACCCCCCCTTAAGCATAACCCAGGGGTTAGGGGTAGGGGTAAGGGTAGGGGTAAGTGGTTACCCATGTGGCTATGTACGAAGGGGGGTGGGTAACCTAACCCCGGGGTAGGGGTAACTCCTTACCAAGGGGTAACAAAGGGGTAGGGGTAGCCCCTTACCAAGGGGTAACAAAGGGGTCGGGGTAATATTGTACTGAGGGGTAACAGACAGGGTAACCCGTGTTTACAAGTGTTCCTTGTCCGTATGCCGGGCCATATGCTGGTGTCAATGGATTGCACGTGCTACCTAGGCACGGTCCCTATCGATTACATATCTTAATTATTAAGATAATAGAGCAAGATATATAGACAATAATGAAAAAGTTACATATGTTTTATATCCGTGTGCGCGTACATAATTAGTGCCTGATACGTATAGATTTACGCTGGCCCAGCAGAACATAGTCTAACTTCAATGGTTGATAAGCTAGGGGGAAACTGCTGCTTTTGCTTAATAAATGCCCACAGCATCATTGGCAACGCCAGACAGACAGCACCGCGCGCGCGCACACGCCATGATGATGGGCCATGAACCCTACTGCTGCTGCTGCTACTGCTGGTACTGCTGCTACTGTTGCTGACCCAGGTTTGTGGCACTCCTGGCAAAACGGCTGGGAGTACGAGGATTGGTCGACCGCCATGGGCCGTGGAAATGCCTGCCCCAACGCCCCCGAGCTGGCTCGGCTCGGTTGGGCCACGCCAGTGAATGGCGGTGCTCGTGTTGACTCCAAGGCGCTGCCTGCAGGTACCGTCCTCAGCTTCAATCTTCCCGCCACGCACCTGACCCCCAATGGAACCTACATCAGGGTTGTTCCCGACTGGATGCCGATGTACAGCGACCCCTCCCTGGCCAAGAACCTGTACATTTCCGTACGTGTGAACAAGAGCGGCGATGCGGAACTGACTGGGTCAGCGTACAGAAATAAAGTGAATGTCCACGAACTCAACGCAACAATGGTACGTGTTCGTGCGTGGCCCTATCCCTGTGTTGTGTACGCACAAATGCAATCTCTGTTACAATATGTAACTGTTGTATGACGTGGTGCTGGGGGCACAGCAATACCTGTGTGATGTTGTGGTACCTGGTACGCAATATGGCACACATTACCCCTACAAATACGCGCTAAGCGCGACCGCCAGCATCTCGAGAGGCCTTTTCAGCGGCCAGCTACTACAGATGTGCGCATGTCATGTGTGCTTGCTCCAGGGATGCATATATAGTAGCTGTACATATGTACGGCACATACACCACCTATAAGTGCACGCTTAGGCGCTCCGCCAGCATCTTAAGAGGCCTTTCCCGATCCAGCCCTTTTCAGCGACCAGCTACTACAATTGGTATCGAGACCTCGTACCAGTAGGTGGCCGCTGAAAAGGCCACTTGCGATGCTGGTGGACGCGCTTAGCGCGTACTTGTAGACGTTATGTGTGCCGTACTGTGTACCAACTACTACAGTAGCTGGCCAGTAGCTATATGCTACAGGATGAATGCTAAGAACAGGATGCTAAGTAACAGCTTCTTGTTGTGAGAACGCGACTTAAGTCTGAAGCTTCAGAATGCACCTCGAGATCCCGCTCAGAAAATTTACGCGTCAGCCGAGATCCCCAGCCCACGTCAGAACTGAGATAGCTGTTCGATACCATTTGTTATACACCACTACACCGCTACAATAAAGTATCAATCGGCTGACGCAGATGCCGAGATATGCCCAGAATACAACAGTGCTGCTGACCTCTCACCATCATCGTGCCGAGCTTGTGCAGCGATGCATCAGTTTATTTTGCCTGGTGTATGCATACCACCACCACGCTGTTCATTATTTAAAGCTAATGTTGCCATTCTTCATTCGATACACGGAAATAAGCCCTCCTTTCTGACGAATTCGTTGCGCCTGTAGTAGCTGGTACACAGTTACGGCACACATATCAACTACATACACGCGCACCGCGCTCGACCAGCATCCCGACAGGTCTTTTCAGCGCCCAGCTACTACAGCGCCGTTCAATTGTTGCCGCCGAACTGAAAGATACCACACAATCCAGCAAAATAACCTGCTGTCCTTACTTGCTTACTTACTTGCCGCCGTAGGATAACGATCCGTCGACGTTTGTATACACTGATCCCAAGATTTCATTCATCGGCTCTGCCAGCCCTGGTGTCCTGAGTAACTTCACCAATTACAATCTTCTCGTGCACGGCGGATCTTGGGTCGGTACTGACATCCTCAAGGTCCTAATCTGCCGGTACAAAATTAACCCAGAGGAGTGTCCCATTCCGAAGTCTCCGCCGCCACCGTCTCCTTTACCGCCATCACCCAACCCGCCACCGCCATCACCCAGCCCGCCACCACCCAAGCCGAAAGCACCCACGCGGCCGCCAGCCAAGCCGCCAGCACCCAAGCCGCCACCGTCCAAGCCACCATCACCAAGGCCGCCATCACCACCGCCGCCATCACCATCACCGAAGCGGTCCGCCAAGCCTTAGGCCGCTCCAGGAAAGGTAGCAATGGCCTTTTGTCGCATTACTTGTTACGTACTTGTCTCAACGTTGGTTGATGGCTAACACACCACCATTCACGCAGCCAACCTTGCTGCCGGCTGCAATACCTTTTGCACTGCTGCTGAAATGTATGTTATCCTAAATCGTAAGAAGTACGAACAGCAAATTTGCTTGCCGGGTCAATTCTCGTGTCTGGACGCGTGCGTCTATTAAATTTTTGATCGTCTATAGACCATCTATTTGTTCGATTCTGATATCCGGGTTCCCCGCACTTGCCAACCGTGTCGACCATGCACGGATCACAGGTGATTGTACTACACTACGTTACTTGTCGTACCTGTTTGTGTTCATATCACCCCCAGATGATCGGCTTCGTTAAGCGTGCAGCTTTAGACCCAACACATCTGACTACAGATTAAAAAATACATCAACGACTACAACAGTCATCCATGCGTACGGTTGATGGTATGCATAACCGCTATTTCCAACTTTCCAACTAATCACGTACAGTCCCGACGACGGCTCATTTGTTATTGCGACCGATGCTTGCGGAGAAGGGTTAAGGATGTTTATGCCGTTGCTTGACTGGCAGCGAAGGCTCCCTGACTAAGGGGGCCGCCTTTGTGCCACCTGCGTGCTTTTTCGTAATGTACGGCGACCATCAGCTCGTCCTTCTGCTGCCTGCCTCCTGAAACTACTGCAAATGCAAGTACAAGTAAAATGTAGTTTGTGCGACAAGGCATGGCGTACACGACAAGGCATACATTCACTCAGGATCGTATCTAGTGTTGGCGGAGTGAACCGGGCATCTGTGATGGTTGCTAGGAGAATTTTGAGCAAGGCTGTACATATAATTAGTAATTCGTCGGGTTGCCTGAGAAGCGCCGTGTTGCTGTTGCTCTATTTAGCTGTGGTAGGCGGCCGCGGTAGGTTGTCTGAGAGGTGGATGGATGTGAGAGGGATCAGCTCCCCTGGCATCTCCCTGAGTACTCTTTGCCTGGTGTTTCAGTGGATATGTGCGTGGGTTACAAAGCTAAGCAAGGTGGAAAAGCGGCAGCAGGTAGGAATAAGGCGCGGAGGTGATAATGTAGATCTGTACATGTATTAAATTGTTGGTTGGTGGATTCTCATTAACAGCAGCAGTCTAGAACGACTGAAACATCCCCTGAAACAGCACCGCGAAGGTCTTCATTAAATACACTCGCGCAAAAACATCTGTCATGTGAATGCATGGCTTTGATTTATTGCGACGTGGACGTCGTCGCCTTTCCTGTAGAACTGCATGCATACATGACGACGAACCATCTGTGCTGCCACTGTTGCTTTTTGTCAGAACAGCAAATAGTGATCATATGATCGTGTGGCTGTAACACCGTCCCTGGCGCACTCGGTTCGTCGCCAACACCCAACAGCAAGGCCTAAACTGCATAAGCTTACCACTCACTGAACGCGGGATAAACGTTGTGATATGCGGGAGCACCTCCGTCTGACCGCTTTGCTCGGTCGCCAGACCCATCCAATGCTTATTTACTTCGCCATGTGAATTCCTGGTTGCTTACCGTCTGACAAGGTGCACGTCTGGCTGGACATCTAGACGCGTATACTTCCAACCCCTCATCAATCGGTCCTTGAACTTTATATAATATAATAGACCACACCTTCTGGCAATGGCCTGTTCATCCATCAGCCATTGCACTCGTTCGTCTACCTCGTGTAGCCCTTGCGGGGCCTCTTTCCATATGCAGACGTCGTGTCCTAGAAGCAGAATGGAACCGTGCTTGCTGTCCACAAGGGGTGTGTCATGCTTACGTACTCTAGCGTCTACAAGGTCATGAGTATCAATGAGGTCAGCTAGTGTCTCAATGAAGAGTCCAAACAGCTCAGTAGATTACAAGTTACACATTACAAGTTACAAGTTCCGCACGCCCGTACGGGTGTGTCCGTAAAAGCCGGGGGTCCATGGACGTAATTGTTATGTGTGTGCGTGTGTTACATGGTTGGGGGGTGCGTGACCCCATACCTGTAAAACTACCCATACGAGCCGAAGGCCCAAGGGCAATACTACAACGCCTAAAAGCCACGGAGAAAAGGAAACACCGCACATCAGCCCAGACTAGCGTCCAAAGGGGGTAACTGAGTTTCGGTGAGCCCACATACGTTCCAACATGCTCGCCAGACGTGCTGGCTCCCATTTCATGGCCTCCAACATGCTCTGTTGATGATCGAATCCCTCTTCAGCACGAATATCATTGTAGGCTGGGCATTCCAATAACACATGTTTTTCATCCTCGATTCGGCTATTAGTACCACAATAGCGGCAAAACCGCTGCCCCCTGGGGACATGGTACTTGCCTCTTCGTGCTCTGTTTGCCTCCAGAGCCCAGCAACATAAACGAAACTGCATTAGCTTACGATGTGCTAAACGAGGAATGAAAACCTTAGCATGTGTTGGCCACATGACGGCTGCGGCTCCCGAAAAGGCCCCATCCAGTGCTTATACTTCGCCATTTGCACTCCCGGTTGCTTCCCATCTGATGGGTACTCCTCTGGCAAGACACTCAGACGCGTATGGTCCCAGCCGCTCATCAAACGCTCTCTTTATGCCGTTATCATCGCTCCTTCGTGTAGAGGCCTACTCAACAACCAGTCAACACGCTCCTTTACCCCCATGACTTCTTCCGGTATTCCGCTCCAAATATTGCACTCCAAGAAGGAAAACAGTCGTAACATTAAGGTTCCCCAACCCTCCCATTCCGGGGTGGTCAGGGCATCGGTTATCCCCTGCCGTAAAACTGCATGAGCAATGGACCCCACTTGTTTTTGAAGGCGGGTACACGGGAGGCCATCATTGTCCTCCCTCGTTCACTTCAGGGTGAAGCGCCTCAGCGGGACGTGCCCGGCCTCCCGGATTTCCTCCTAGATAGAGGACTCCCTTGCTTCACTCCTCGCATAGACTGTTGATGTCGACCTCGACCGACAGCTACACCTAATGCATGTGTGCGGGGTGCTTGCTTGCTTTCGCATCTTTTAGTCAAGAATCCCAGTCACCTAGATTGCATCATTTTGGACTTGCCCGATTTGCTCAATCGTTAAAGCTTGCGGCTTATTTTATCGACATACGTACACTATTATGTCTTTCTTCCTCCGCTGCTTGCTTTCCTCTGGTCCCGTCTAGCTCCTTTATTATTCCCACGTTTCTCCTCGTATTCACCTTTGATCTGATGATGCAAATTTTTTTTAGGTTTATTTTTTTAGGTTTATTGACCGAAATTATGCCCTCCCGCAGCCGTAGAAACCGATTTGCCGACCTCTGTTCGGGAGCTGTCCGAACGACAGCTCCATTCCTGATCAGAAAGCAATAGATATCCCGAAGTCATTTCCCGCTTTTCGTCCTCCGCTACTCCAATCAGGTTCTGTTACGAGACGGCGATATCAAGTATAGCTTGGGGAACACGTTTTAGTTAGGGTTGCACGTACATTTCTCCGCCCGGCTCCACGCACCGGTGCGACGGTGCATACCCGATCGCCATATGAACCGGTATATATGCTCTCGCCGCGCGCTGAACAGGCGCTTGCGCTTTATACATTGCTGTAAAGTCTATAATAGTTATTGCGAACAATCCCGTGAACCTAGATAAATAAAAAAACATATAATGGTTAACGTTATTACTTGCTGATGCATGGCAGCGTGTATGCCTAATTTAGACATATTTTTTATATAATTCTTATTAGTGCCAGCCACCGAATACGATCGATGGCTAAACCCCCTCCTCCGGGGTTGCGCGCGTGCACAGTTTCTGGCTGGGGCGAGATACACGTATGGGTTCATTACACTAAGTGGCCTTCGATCGATCCTTAATCCTGTATTATAAATGCATAAATGATGCTTCGACCAGCGGCATATGGCAACGGATGGAAAGACCGTCGCCGTTTGGCGACTGAATCAAGCAGAGCAACCGACCTCGCTGTACCGACTGGATGGCTGTGGCGTAACGTAACGTAACGTTACGCCCAAAAGGCACTCATGTGCAGATGCGCTACCTAGCTTTAAGCATAGGGTTATACAGAGTCGCTTTAATTAAGGTGTGATCGTGTCATCGATCACGCACGAACCGCTGCGAGCGAGCGAGCTTTCATTCGTTCGCGCAGGTTTTGCAAATTGACGGCAAAAACGCCCAACTGGAGTCCGCAGGTATATACATAAATTCTTCATTAAAGAAGGTTACAAAGTGAAAGGGTTTGCAAGCAATGGAAGATCGACTTCATGAAAGGGACCTAGTCGGGCTGGCCGGCCGGGCGAGGACACACTACCCCGAAACAAGTAAACTTCGATAGCTATGTGGTCGGTGGCGCCCTGTGGTCCTTTTGAACATCACCGGGAACCGTCAACAGCTGGCACGTTCACCTCTGTAGTCTTTTTTAGGCGGCAAGATGCGTTTTTGCGGCCCCCAACAGCTGATCTGTTATTATTGCTGACTGTTGTGTTGCTTTGCTTTGTTAAAGTCACCGCCGTTTTGGACTCTGCCCTTTTGGGCCGGTCGCGCGCGGTCTTGACGTCCTTGCTTATTTATTATTTTCCTTAAGAGGTGCAACGCACACGAGTTTTAGCATTCCCACGCATGGCGTCCAGGGTCACTGAAGTGTCGCTGTCAGCAGTCGACATTTCATTTGGACACTAACCTTAAGTGCATAAACAATTAAGGCCTACAGACCAACCGCTTCTGCAGCGGCCGCCAATATTTCTGATACCAGACAAAAAAAACTCTTAACGTGCATTCGCATGCAAAAACCGAATTAACCAGCACCGTCGCCCACAGCGAAACACGACCAGGCATGCCATCATGCCGTACAGATTCCATTTCGATTTCAGAGAAAACATTAGTTTCTGGCTTCGATCCTATTCTGTATGGAAACGGAAAGCTCGCCGCCGTTGTTTGGCGATTGGCATTGTCCCTCCTCTCGGAGAGACACCGTCCAGCATAGCAACCGACTGGCTATGATGACGTACGTAACGTAACGTTACGCCCAAAAGGCACTCACGTACGGATGCGCTACCTATTCATAAATATGGGATTATACAGTTTCGCTTTAAGGTGTGATCGTATCATCGATCACGCACGCTAGCAACCGCTGCGAGCGAACGAGCTTTCATTCGTTTGCGCAGGTTTTGTAAATTGACGGCAAAAACGCCCAACTGGAGTCAGCAGGTATATTAATACATATGTATAAGTGATTGCGTGCTTTGTTTTATTGGATCAAACATATAGGCTTTATACACCCATTCCCTGCAATATTGTGCGTATAATTAAAACCGTTATATATGCACGACCAATCGCATGCACGCACCGACTGCACCAGCTTCATGCTACATTAGCAGCTATCGTTAGGAAGCGACATTACTGCAAGCAGATGTGATGGTCATTTGTAGTTTTGCAGCTGCGCGGCTTTGCGGGGAGCCGACAGGCGGGGCAGCTGCTGCCTGCCTGCTACCCGCCGGCAGCACCTGCTGCTGCGGGCAACGTGCAGACGCGTGCATGTAATCGATTGATGACCGAATGTTCGCTGCATTGCACTCGTCCATGTGCCGCAGGGCTTGCTATCATTTCCGAGCTATCTGGCGCATAAAAAGCTTGCATCCCTGCTGCTAGGACGTGAAACAAGGCCACACGATGAGGCGGCACTTGCTGCTGGTGCTGCCAGTCTTGTTGCTCTTAACACCTTCGGGGGGTAAGTGGGGGATCACGCACCGTACGCCATTATGCTACGTCTTCTGCTGATGATGGAGGTCGTATCACGCATCGTCGTTTTGTGTCTTGTCTTAGGATTTTGTTCCGCTTGCGCATGGCATGCACGTATGGAATGTTTTTGGATTGTCTTTAGATCGTGCCCTGATGTCGCAGATAGGGGCCGTTCCTACCTACTAGACCAATGCACCGTTTTTAGACGAAAAAAATCTACAGACGACGTTGGATGGAATCAGATGCGTGAGCGCCTGACAAAGTTACTTGGCATACAAAGTTTATATCGATAGCAAGTACGTTATAGCATTTTGTGCATCATTAGATCAGCATCCGCCGATATGTACTTCTCTGAAGTCGTGGTATAACAGAAGTACCTGCAGCTGCCATTTACACATGATACACTCAGGCATAGCACATCCCACTGGCTTGGCGGGTCCTTGGTTTAAATGGCGTGCCCGCCAAGCACATAACAACAACGGCCACTTGCTTCTTTAACGCAGCCATGAATGCGTCTATCCACGCACCCTTCATCCATCCATCGCCATCATCCCATCTACGTATTTCCAGCTCCACACCGGACCGATTGCCCTGCCGCTGCTCCTGTTCCTATGTACGTTGCTGCTGCCTTGCTTTCCGTGCATGAAGGACTCTGCCAGGATGAGGACATCGAGGCCTATCTTGGTGATCTCAGCACCCCTCCTCCCGAATCTGTGGAAGGGTCACCGGAGGACTCCACCTCCATAGGCGCGACTGCACCAGGAGCAGTGGACATCTTGGGCCAGCTGATGCTCATCAGCACGCCGTCAGGGGACCGCAAGGGCCAGTGGGCTATCCGCCAGGGCGATGGCTCGGTGACACCCATGGCGCTAGGATATGAGCCCCCCAGTACGGATGACCTTGGCCAGCCCGTGGTGCCGGGAGCCGTGGTGGCTGTGGTAAGTAGGAATAGCACTCCACATTCCCCGCCATACGCCAGCCACTCACGCACGCCTTGCATGCTGTATGATGTGTGAAACAGGGGGGTATATCTTCACCCGTGGCAGCTACCCTGCGAAACCCTGCCTTCCGCGGTATTTCGGGGCACTCTCATCCAGTCACCCTAGTCAACTTCTCAGTGGATGGCTCAGGTTCCGCACCCACCACCAGCATCCAACGGAATCTGCCGGGTCGGCAGCTGTATGATGCCTGACTAGAACATGTGCGGAGACTGGTGCCCACTGCACACTCCGTCTTCCACACAAGAGTTCATCCATTCCCCTACCTGTACGAAATTAATTCTTTTTTCCATGCCGCCGCACGCAGTCATGCAACCTGGACGACCTTGGTGTCTGCAATCCGGCCTCGGATTCCAGCACAACCGTCCTGTCAGCACAGCCCATGTTCTTACCGGACGCCACTGATCAGAAGTACCAGCAGCGGCTGCTCGTCATCATCATGGACTACTCTGCATGCGGCCTACCGGCCTCACTTACCGAAGCCGCCGCACGGACTGTATTCCTAGGGGCCAACGGGGACGGCAGAGGCGGAGCCGCACAGAAATACGAGCAGTGCTCGTACGGCAAGCTTCTATTGAACGCCACGGCATTCACGGCAGTAACTGTGAATGTCAGCAGCTGCCCGCCGTCAAAGGCGGCAAGCTTAAAAACCTGCGAACTGTGGTCGATTGCCCAAGACGGGGACGCCGGAGTAAAGGCTTCATTTGGGATTGACTGGCTTCAGTCAAACTACTTCACTCACTATACGTACATTCTCCCGCCGGGATTGAAGAATGCGCCCTGCCCAGCCTCAGCTGGGACTGTGGGGCCGGGTGCACAACATACTTGGCTGCAAACATCGGCGTATGGCGTGGGGAGATGGGCGTCTATTCTGAGCGCGACCCTGCATAACTACGGTAAGGCAAGACGGACGGAAGAAATAGAAAATGGATAAGCGATATCCGCGAGGGGTCTTGCAAGCGGCCATCCGTGGACGTTTCACGCACGTATGTGTAGTGGCTCTACATCCTAAGGCACACACATCGTGTATGAATACGCGCCAAGGTGCTTCGCTGGCATCTGGAGGGGTCTTCCAAGCGGCCAGTATAGCAGCTAATACAGCAGCAGTAGGTGTAGCAGGGGCTGTACCTAAAAGCCATGTACTACTTCCCCAGTCCTGCTGTCAAGCACTTAAAGTTACGTTTGTTTGTTTAGAAAGGACTCCGATAGCTCTACGCAAAATCAGTATTATCCTTCACGCAATTTGCCGCACGTACGAAGGGGTCTTAGGGGTCTTAGGGGTTTAAAAGGGGTTACCAAGCAATGTGAAACATTGAGTGCTACTTCTGGATAGTAAGAGGGTCCTATTGGTGCGAGGTCGAAGGGGCTCAGGTGATTGAGGGGGGGTGGGGTAGAGGGGGGTTGTTACAGTGGGCTCCAGACTCACAAAGGTAGGTGTGGCGCGTATTCTGTGTATGTGACACCTAAATATATGGACCAATACCATGCCGATACACACATGCCGATACACACATGCCGATGCCGTGAAGCCATTAATTCTGCGGCTACCCGGATGAATGGCTGACGGACGTCCGCAAAACGTGTCCTCGCTCTACATAACCCGCACTGATGCCACACAGGGCTGATGGACTCCTACAATATATTATCGAGTTATTTGGACTTATCAAGTCCCACGGGTGCCGGAGACGTCTGCCCCAACGCCGCCGAGCTGGCCTACCTGGGCTGGGCCACGCCAGCGCAAGGGGCCAACCAGGTTGACTCCAGGGCGCTGCCTGTTGGTGCCGCCCTCAGCTTCAATCTTCCCGCCACGTACCTGACCCCCAATGGAACCTACATCAGGGTTGTTCCCGACTGGCTGCCCACGTACAGCAACATCACCCTGGCCAAGAACCTGTACATTGCCGTACGTGTGAACAAGGGCGGTGACGCGCTATTGTGGCCGGGGTTGGCAAATAAAGTGCACGTCCACGAAGTCAGCGCGTCCTTGGTGAGTTCTACCTACCTTACGAACGTAGCGAGTCCCATGCCGGCTTGCACTACATATATCTTGCTTTGACCCGACAATATATGATCTTGTAACCATCTGAATCTGGCATCAGTGAAAATTTGTAGGGTCTATGGACAGGGTTTTTATCGTGTAATAAATAGACAGGACCGAGATATTAATTTACATAGATTCATGGTTGCAAGTTATAAGTTCTACACACGCGTGCGCTGGCTCTACTCTTCGTGAGTCTGGAGCCCACTGCAACAACCATGCACGCACACACGTGCGGGGGTGTCCGTACACGCCGTACAAGCCGGGGGGATATAGAATGGTCATCAATAGATCATGCCATGGTACAGTAAATGGGCCTGAAAGTAAGTTCTCTCTCGCTCTCTCTCGCTCTCTGTCTCTTTCTCCCTCAATACTACAGAAGCCGTTGGTGAACACTGCACACCCGCCGCACGCACTACTGCTCTTGCTACTGCTGCTGCTCTAGCTAGTCCATTTACAGTCCGCCACGAAATCAATTTTAAATCCTGCTGGTTTTGCGCCTGATGCATGACGCCTGCTGGTTATTACGTTACCAGTTTACTAGGTTCACATCTTCGCTGCTCAATCACGATTCGGCCTTATTATGTTGCCCTATTTTCACTGCCGCGGCGGCCTCAACTCAAATGGTGTTCCGCTGCTGCCTCTTCAAATCGTCATCTGTTACTTTACCTTCTTCTCTTTGTATACATGCCTACGCGCATATGCAGGACAGTAGCAACTACCGGTCCAACATATGGCGCGGCACTTACTTGATCGGTGCCACCATGTCCCTAAGCCAAGTGGTGTTGTCCAACTACAACCTTGTCGTGTACGGCGGATCTTGGATCGGTACAGACATCCTCCGAGTGCACATCTGCCGCTACAGATCTGCCCCCCAAGAATGCCCCTCCTTGACCTCCCTGCAGAGGCCACCTCCTCCGCAGAGGAGCCCCCAACCATCGCCCAAGCGGTCGGCGGCCCGCCGGACGCCCCCGCCTGACACTACCACCACCAGTGCTGCTGCACCCACAATAGTGGATGTGTCAGGCGAGCTGCTGTTCGTTGACACCCATTTCACTGGATTACCGCAATGGATCATTCAGCGGGGCGACGGCTCATCGACGCCCATGGCTGTCGGATATCAACCTCCCAGCACAGATGACCTTGGGCAGCGTGTGGGGCTGGGAGCACTCGTGACCATCGTAAGTTCCGCTAACTGGCCCCCATGCATGTCCACCTTGTTCCGTCCCATGCCCCTGCTACAGCATTCATTCCATGGGTGATCGGTAATACTGTGCATGAGCCCCACCTATCTGACACATGGGGTAAATTTCACCATCAGTTGCAGGGCGGCCGTGGCCTGGCTGCCCTGGCTGCCCTGCCCTGGCTGCCCTGCCCTGGCCTGGCTGCCGAGCAACCACCACTCGTACCGCAATACTTCACAAAAACATCTCATGCACGAAACAAGGAAGGGGCTATCGCCGCCTAAAATCAGCACACAAGTACGATTCGAACCATAAGTCCGGCCGTTCCGGCAGCATGGATGCCACTATAAGAACTGCTGCACAAACACCCAACAGCCCAAGAGCCAAAACGTTCAAAATGGCTGTTAGTGGTTACATCAACCGACGAACGGCAGATAACTTACACATGCACGCATCCGGCGAGCCTGTTACAATTTGGCTTACTACTACCCACGCTCCTTACACCTCACGCAGTCTTGCTACATTGATGCCGCTGGCATCTGCACTCCGGCTCTTGGGCCCAAAAGCACAATCGTCTTGTCGGCGAAGCCATTGCTTTTGCCCGACCGCGGCACGATCTACCAGCGACTGCTGGCCATCATTCTGGACTACCCTGACTGCGGCATGAGTGCCAGCGTGACGGAAGCTGAAGTCCGCACAAATTTCCTGGGGCCTAACGGGGATGGCCGCGGCGGCGTGGCCGCCAAGTACACAAACTGTTCCTTTGGGAAATTCAACCTGAACGCCACGGCATTCAAGGTTATCACGGTACGGACCACGTGCTCTAATGACACAACAAAATGCCAATACTGGAATCTCGCCACAGATGGCAACATCGGAGCCAAAGCGCAGCTTGGTGATGCGGAGTATCTTGGTTTTACTCACTATGCATACATAGTCCCTCCGAGGATGACCTGCCCCTGGGCCGGTTTGGGGATTATATCCGGGAGGCAAATCTGGTTGCATACCTCAGGTTACGGGTTGTACCGCTCGGCCACCATCATGCAGGAAGCCATCCACAATTACGGTGAGCCCGTCCCAGAATGATTGATGTGTTAGTTGTGTTACTTTACAGGTGCTTTTGCGTCCCGTGCTGTTGTTGTATGCATAGCCAGCATCGTAAGAGGCCTTTTCATCAACGGCCAGCTGCAGCTACTAGAATAATATATATACATATATATATCATATATATATGATTATGTCCTATAGCCTTCATGGCTTGCTGTACGGTTGCGTTCGGGGTGCCGGATAGGACAGGGCGAGGCGAAACCGGGGCTGCCAAGGGCCTTACACTACTGCAGCTACTAGAATTATATATATATATATATATATATATATATATCATATATATATATGATATAGGTTAGGCACTTCTGGTAAGGCACGGACCAATGCCCCCGGGACATTCCGGGATCGAGACCTGTCAGGGTCGTAAATCGTTCCGATGATGGTAGGTAAAGTGCCCCTAGGCAATGGACGGTGGTGACCAGGGATTGTCTCGCGAGCCGACCAGGAATGGAGTTGGGCCGCCGACGATTCGGCAGAATCCATGTACGCTAGTGGTGGGTGCAGAACCTAAGCGATCCACTGACTAGATGAGGGTGTCTAGATGAGGGTGACTAGATGAGGGTGTCTAGATGAGGGTGACTAGATGAGGGTGACTAGATGAGGGTGACTAGATGAGGGTGACTAGATGAGGGTGACTAGATGAGGGTGACTAGATGAGGGTGACTAGATGAGGGTGACTAGATGAGGGTGTCCCGAAATACCGGGGAAGGCAGGGTATCGCCAGATAGCGGCCACTGGTGAAGATATGCCCCCCTGTCCCACACATCATGTATGAATAGTTTGAGGCTAGGTAGGCAACGGCAGTGACAAGGACAGCAGGGCTAATGCCATCGTGCGTGGAGTGAGGGTCCCGGGGGAAACCCGCACGCATCCATTACACGCACCCCCTGCCTCGTATGCTGTCCACCCATCGACACGTGGCCTCGAATGCCATACACATTCATACACCTCCCCTGCCTGTAACAAATGCCATACACCATGGCCAACATTTTTAGGTTTTTTCTGCTGGCATGCACCCGAAAGGTAAACCGTGTGCATCGAGAGAGATTACATGCTTATATATTGTGTATTTGTACGTGCGGCGGTATTTTTACTTCTTTTAACGACTGCTTTTGCTACCTGCTACCTACCCGCAAGCCCGCAGGCCTGTGGCACTCATGGCGAAATGGAGTGGAATACGAGGACTATTCAACTCCCATGGGACGCGGCAACGTCTGCCCCAACGCCCCCGAGCTGGCCTACATGGGCTGGGCCACGGCAGCGCAAGGGGCCGACCGGATCAACTCCCGGGTGCTGTCTGTTGGTGCCCCCCTCACCTTTAATCTTCCCGCCACGTACCTAGGCCCCAATGGAAGCTACATCCGGATCATTCCCGACTGGATGCCGATGTACAGCAACAGCACCCTGGCCAAGAACCTGTACATTGCCGTACGTGTCAACAAGGGTGGTGACGCAGGTCTGGCGGTGGATTACACAAGGAAAGCGAATGTCCATGAAATTCATGCTGCCGTGGTACGTGGGGGCCGTCTCTTAATTACCGTTGATGATAGCAAACCTTGATTCCCGGCCGCTTGTGCGCCCTAAGTTATCACAATGGTTGAAAGACATGTTCCTTGTTGCTTTGGCATATATGTACCGGTATATAGATGAGTTGATCAAAAACTCGCCATGCTGCTGATAGATAGATTAACGCCCATGGTGTTATACATATCTGTCCACTTCATGTGCGGTGCATGTAAGCTGCGCTGCACATCGTCGGTGGTTGCCTGCCCCGCGCCGAATTCCACCCATTCCTTTCCCTACGTACACATCGTACTTGCCCCTACAGGATTTAGTGGACTATGCTTACTATTTTGATGCCAACATTTCGTTCATCGGCGGCGTCACTTTTGGTACTCAAATGGACTTCACCAAGTATAATCTTGTCGTATACGCCGGATCTTTTGTCGCTATGGACGTTCTCAGGGTAGTCATCTGCCGCTACAGGTCTTCCGCTCAGGAATGCCCCTCCCTGACGGCTGTAGATGTGCCAGCGCCCCCACGCCCTAGCCCACCACCACCGAGCCCCCCATCACCCCAACCACCTCCATCCATTCCCCCATCACCAAGGCCACCTCGTAGTCCACCAAGAACACCGCCCAAGCCACAATCGCCACAACGGCGCCCGCCGTCGCCAAGCCCTGCACCGCGCCTGCCGCAAAGTCCACGATCGCCAGTCAAGCCCCGTGGCCCCAGAAGTCCGACTGCTCCCAGGCGGCCACCAAGCCCACCGCCAAGCCCCTGGCCCCGACCACCACCGAGTCCACGGCCACCGTCGCCTCCGCGCACAGTGCAGGCCTCTCCACCACCAAGGAAAAGGTAAGGGCTTTTTATGACAGTCATATAAATTGCGAACACTAAGATTCATTCATGTGCTTATCCTGGTAATTACTCATGGGTAATCAGTAATGACTGAGCAGTCACCAAGTGTAGCAAGCAGCCGTATTGATTGACAACATAATAAGTTGAAGATACAGATTGTATGCACGTTGTGCGGCTCAGCTCAGTAGTGCTGGGTCCACACCGCAGCGCGGGATGAACAGCAGGTACTGCAACCCTGTACATACATACATACATATATACATACATACATGCATACGTGATTGGCAGCATGCACGGATGCGACTTAAAGGTACCAAGCAGTCAAAAAATGGCATATATATAAAGGCATGTCGATGCTTCACAATAAGCAATAACGAACCAGCATCAGCTACCTTTTGAGGTGTGATACAAGGTAGTAGTACAATAATACAAGGTGTTGTAGACCCGTGGAAGCTCAAAAACGTCATTGAGCGGTAAATTTACGTTTAAACGCTAGCCATTCCGAGCCAATGAGTTGTATTGTACGGCAGCTGCCCTATGCGTATGGATGGGCGTTGCCCATGGCGCTACAGGCATACATACATACATACGCACATACACGAATACATGCATCCATCCATCCATCCATCCATTCACTAACGTAGGGTAGTGCAGGCGATCCTACCACACGCATTATGATTTTCGTTGTAACACGGCCGCCCTGTTCGTATTCCCTCCCTCTAGCAGGTCAGCTTAGGCGCGCCACCGCATCAGCTAGCATGATACGCCAAGCTAAAAGAAGATCGCGAATTCATACATCTGATGACATACAACGACCATGCGGTTAACAATACGGTTGACAATGCGGTTACAGCCTTCCTGCTTTCCAGTTCGTCACGTACGGTTTCCGAAAACTCATCTGCTGTTCTGACTGGTGTTTGCTTGCTTGGGAAGGAGGATGCATGTTTAGGCCGCTGCGCGCTTTGGTTGATAGACGCCTGCCTAACGCATTCATTGTCTGCTGCGACACCTCCTTTTTTTTGTGCCATATGCATGGTTGTTGGAGTATACACTTACGGCAGCCAGCAGCTGTTCCGACGGGTTACTGAAAGTGCGAACATGAAATGACGGAGTTTATTCGCATTCCCGCCATATTGTTACACCACCCATATGGCACGTCGGTATACGTACGTAAACCGGGGAGCCTCCTAGATTACCGGCTGGGGTGGTGGATGTGGTAAACTGGCCATCACTACTCCTAGGCGCGCGTACGTATGTACGTATTATACATGTTGCACGGCTGCTAGCGAGCGAGGAGCTAGCATCATGTAAAGGAGTTAGCACGTGATCACTTTGTTCGGCTGTCTATGTTCCGGGGCCGTCGGAATGCGTGGTCCATCCGGGCGGCGAAGCCAAGGTGCAAATAATTAAGTAATGAAGGTACGGACGGTATTCAGGTTCTATACTGCTTGATTGTTATTACTTGTAGAATTCGACAAAACAGCCGTAAAAATCTTGGACGCTACAGACGCTTCAGACGAAGGCGCCCAAATTTGTTATGAGCCTGCTGGCTTGTGGACGACATCTTTTTGTTGTTATAATATTTATTATTATTGTGCCTGTTACCTTATTGCGATTGCTTGATTCCACAAACATTGCCGGACTCCGTTAAAATTAAACACCATGGGTCCCCAGCATCGCGTACTAAAGCTTGCTTCGTCAAACACAACCGTACCTGACCTTATGTACGTACAGTTTTTGAACCTCTTTAGGTCGTGCCCTGGTATAGCAGGTTGGGACCGTCCCTTTTTAACCATACCAGGATGCGATTTATAGACGGTAGGATTGCTACAGATGACCTCCCATGACCTCCCGACCTGTTGTCCTGCCCGACATGCACTTATTATTCCAGCACGTATCAACGCGAGCGCGTGCTGCTTGTTTGAAAGGCGTTTCATTACATGCACGCGTGTGCGCATTAATGATCTAAAGTTGCATTTTTCCACCGGCAGTCGCCACAATTAAGCCATCTGTAGCTTCGGGAAAGCAAGTGCCAGCAGGCAAGGACATACATACGTACAGGAGCTGCTAAAACCGCTAGTCACGATCGCTGCCGGCTAGTTAAACATACATACATGCATACATACATGCATACATACATGCATAAATAAACATACAGCAGGTACAGATTGGTCGTTGCTCCTAATTAGGATCCATCCATCGCTGATGCCATAAAGCTTTTATGTCTCTCAGGGACATGGGGCTTATGTCCCTTTTTACATCGTTGCCACCCGCCCCACTCTTTCTTTCCACGGTACTCCGGTGTACGTACACCGGTATACCATTAACTATGTATGTCGTTTTACCTGTCCAGCAGTCGTTAAGCTTTTATTGCTGTGCTTGAAGTCTCTTGTACGTGACTATCCTGTGATAATGCACAGGAAGATGTTTATTTTATGGGCACCCCAGGGCCGGTGTGTGGATAATCGCTCGTTGTGTTTTTCCTTTTAAGATGTGTTTCTGGTCAAACGCTAATCCAGCCATCAAGCGGCCTTCTGACAGTCTGACTGCCACATTACAAATGGTTCTAACAATATGGATGGAGATCCTGCAAGTGAAAAACTAAAACTCAGAAATGGCATGAGGGCTTTATGGGCTTTGCGGTTTTTTTCAACGATTTGAAGTAAAAACATGTGTTTCCCACTTCACTACTGATCAAAGATTCGAGTCAGTTCAGTATAATATGGGTATATCTCCATCCATATTGAAGTAGGCATTTGTAATGTGGCAATCAGACTGTCGGAAGGCCGTTTGGTGGCTGGATTAGCACTATCATCAGAAATGCATTTTTGCTCATGCCAGGTTACCGACATCGGTTACCGATTACTGGGGACGGTTAACGGATAACGGTTCGCCCGGTAATCCTATCGACCGGTTACCCATCTCGTTAACTGGACCCGTTAGGTCGGAACCGGGCCGGAACCGGCCTGGAGTATGCCATTGGGCTAACCTCCGTCAGGGTCCTTGGACTGCTCATGGTGGTCTTCTATAATCACGGTGAAGGTTGCCTCCCTGATAACTGCTGCAACATCAGGGTCGGATAGCATGCGTGCTGCAAGGTGTAGAAGCCAGACCATTAATTTGGCGTGGCTACCCACCAGCAGTGGGACGCCAGCGGTGTCTAGTCCCGGGATGAATCAGGGTGCTGCCCAGGCTCCTTGCTGGATGAGGGCCGTCAGAAAGGAAGCCATCTGAGTGGCTGACAGCATTTCGGACAGTAGCACCATGGTGACATTTTCCAGGGCGCGCCAGACACTGTTGTAATCAGACTGCAACAGACGATTCGTGTATGAATCAGTCAAACTGTGGTCATCAACTGGTTGCACTGCATACTCCTCGATGTCCTCCTCCTTTATCGTATCTTGGTCAACCGTAGGCTGGTCGACACTGTACTTTTGAATGGAGCTACTGTAATCCTTCCTGTTGGCATGAAACAGTTTCTTCCAGTATTGAGGGCTGCCATTACCCATAGTACTATAGTCTATCCGAGTCAAAAGAGGAATCCTGCTGATGTACTCACGCCAGCGGCCACTCCAGATAGGGGCGACTGTATCCAGGAGTTTGTTGTTGTTGTTACAGGGTGGTATAGCTTCACCAGTGGCCTCCTTCCCGAGGCAATTCCCTGCTCTCCCCTGCTAGAGGGGCACCCTAATCCATTCACCCCATCTGACTTCAGAGTGTACTCTTTGGGTTTGGAAACTCACCACCAGCATCCAAACAAATCCGCCCAACTCAGTTCCTGGTCTGTTTGCAAGTTGATTTTATCATGTCCTACACCGTCCACAAGATGAGGGGCCACCTCCCATTTCATCACCCCTCAAACACCCGAGGAGGCAGCAGGCAGATTTGAACCCGACATCGTTTGATGGGTTTTTATTGTGGGGTATGGCCACCGACTCAGCAACTGTTTTTCATATGTCCTAGCTGATGTGTATCCCAGTGAACTTCCGTCTCCTGCCTTGAAGGACCACTACGATGCCTCCAGGCGAGGGCTGTGATGGCAAAACCCTTATGGGGGTCTATTTCACTCTGTGAATGGTCCGCAATCGATCCACCATGATTGTATAACTTCCTCGGTACACCGGTCCGTGGGTTTACTGCTGCTGTATGCATTCATGCAGGTCCGACTGCTAATCTCCGGGCTGCTTTCCACCCTCAATGCTCCGAACCTCTGAAAGGATGAACAATTGCCTTACAGGGACTATGAAAGGCAGTCCGTCAGCAGTCTCAACCACACCAGAGTACCAGGCGCATTCCAGTACTTCAAGAAAAATGGGCCCTCCCTGTCGGTCCCAAGCTTGTGTGAACACCGAGTCCACCAGTACACCTTGGTGTTTTCCGCCAGGTCAGGTGCATGCTCAAGTGAACTCGCATCATCCGCCTTGATAGGAGTCTTACTTTTCTGTGCAGCCGCTGGCTGGGGTTCCAGCAAAACTGGCCCGCCAGTTGTGTGATCCGTTTGAGCAATAGGTGTGACCCATGGGTCTGCCTCCTTATTGATGGGCTGTAACATAAGGTTACCGTGTGGTTTAGCATAGTCTTGCTGCTGTCAACTTTGAGCTTTTGTCAGGTTTTCTGCAACCTGATCAGCCACCAGCTCTAGTTATGAACATCGGTGCTGCAGAGCCGCAGTCTTCTGTGCACACCTCTGCCGGTTCCTTTGACAGTAGTGTTGGATTCGGGATGGTGCTGTGTTCAGCCACCGTTTTAAGCTCTTTGCCAAAAGCACATAGCACTGGGCTCAACCGTGTGCTATCTTGTCGGGTAGCTCTGTAACCATAGAGAATATGATAGACCTCGATGTCCCAGTTGTCCTCCTTGTTGTTGATGCATTGCATAGGCTTGTCAACAATACCCTGACAAGATGCTCTGCCTGCCTGTTGCTCTGAGGTGAGTAGGCAGCGGTGTGTCGATGTGCGATTTTCTGCTCTTGTTGCAGGTGGGCAAACTCACCATCCCATTCTCGACCTTGATCTTGGGGAGTCAGCAAGACCTATGACTTCCTTCACAAGTGTTTCTTTTGGGAGAACATGTGACACGATATGCAGACACATGTGGCCAAGTGCCAGAAGTGTGCACCTGGCAAGCTGAAGCTTGTACAGCAACCATGACTTCACCCCCTTCCGGTAGTACTGCTGTGGTGAAGAGTACATGTTGATCTGATGGGACCTTACAAGGAGACCCCTCGCGGCAATAGCTATATGATCGTGGCTGTGGATTCATGGTCTAAATGGCCCGAGGCTGGACCTCTTCCGGATAAGAAAGCTGGCACTACTGCGTCATGGTTATCAGATTATTATTCGCCGACGGCAGCAGTCCGGACGCTTCGTGCGACTTGGTGTGGCGTTTTCAGTCGGAAGGAGCAAATGCAAACTTTGCCGATAAGATACACGCATAGCCTCGTATGCTACAAAAAAGACCTCGTGAGGCGTAGCTTGCCCGCTTGCGAATTTTTGCCCGGTAGGGCCTGGTCCGTGTACTTGTTGTGTTGGCATCGTAAGAGTCCTAGGAACGCGCGAGTTCGGGAAGATGGGAGCGAGGTTCAGAATTTGTAATCCTCCATGCATCAGTGTCACCTCCCGACTTTGTACATGGGCAGTAATCCGAAGCTGAATATGTCGAATCGCAAGTGAACTTATGTGCAAAGCTGCAAAGTGCAACCCGTAAAATTCTGTCATCACCGTTGATCGTTACAGTTGTACGGTCGGGTCGTTACCCAGGTGTCATTCTTCCATGTTGTATCTGCTATGCGTTGTCCATGTCTTAGAGCTCAAAGTTTGGCTTTAAAGTTTTCAGTTATCCCAAAAATCTACGCGAGCCGCCCTAGCGACCAAGTTGACAGGCTTAGTCGCGGTCCTCACACTAAGCTGCTCGCATCCAAAACTTTGTTTTTAGTATGCGACAGATAAACTGGACGAACAATTATTGTGGGGACGCTGTTTGAAACATGGGGCACGAAAAGAAAAGGCGCAAGTCGGCTGGCGCTCTTCCGGCGCAGCCTGTTAAGGAGCGGCGCATCGACAATGAGTACCCTTTTTGGTAAGTAACAAATGGAAGGTTTTTCATATTGGCCTTTGTCGACTTGGCTTTGGTACGATGGCGGCACGTCTTCCATCTCGTCGTCAGGAAAGACCACTCCGGATACACTGTGCTCCAGCTTCTCGATACGCAGGTAATAATCCCGACTTTAAACTTGCCTTCCTGTCAGCTAGTCCTTACGTCGTGAGCGGGGTGGCTCGTTGGCCCACGTGTAATTAGGTAACCTCGAAACATCTTGGCAATATCCCACCCCGATCCCCCAGCTGTAACCACAAACGTTTCTGCTTTCCCAGTATACCTGCCTAGGCGAAAACTGTCACATATCTTCATTTAGATAACGTCTTCGAGTTATCCTGAACCTAAACTTGACGCAGTTCGCGTTTCCTCGCAGACCGTGCTTTTGGTGGGCGAGGCGACGCTGCAAGTGCTCCACGGCGCAGTTCGTGTGTCTGGGTGAGAGCAAGCGAGGGAGCAAACGAGCGACCTAACGAGGGCTTGGGTTCCAAGGGTAAAGGACAAGATGGCAACTGAGGGATACGAGATCGGGGGAAAAAAGGCCCCAAAAAATCCGCAATGCATGAGAGATCTTAAGTTGAATTTTCACACACACGAGGGCAACCGAGGGACATGATGACCGAGCAGGGGGATGAAACTGAAGAAGACTGGATGGATCGCAGGCCGGTATCTGTCCGAGGAGCTCTGTGCAAGGTGCCTGTGGGCGGCAGGACTTGGGCAAAGTTTTAGGGTTCAAGGGTTTACAGATGAAGATTCGGACCTGAGGTGTTGGTAATGTAACTGCTGTCAGAACTGCCGGCGCAATACTGTATACATACATTTCTACAACTACATCTAATATAATACATTATATGTGTATTATATGATTATATTATGTTATATTATATTATTATATTATATTACGTGATACAAATATATACATAAGCACTAATTAGGATTCGGGAATAATAAAAACACCATGCCCGAATGCAGGAAGCTTGTGACCGTGGAGAGTCCCCCCCTGGCGCTGTCCACGGGCGGTCGGTTCAGTTTGGCCATCAGCATCACGGCGGAGACGCGGGTGAGTCACGCCCCGGGGGGGGAGGGGAAAGGGCAAGTCATACCTGTGCGTGTGCGTGCGACGATGTACGACTGTGTGCTTGTGCTTGTATGTATGTATTCATGGCGGCCGCAACACTAATGGTATGTATTGCGCACTTGAGGGCGCGGTTAACCTGGGACTTAGGGTTCGAGGACTGGTTTAGGGTTTGAGGACTGGGAGCGACCGCCAACTAGCGGAGGGGTCAAAACACGGTCAAATGTCCGCTTCAGGTTTTTCGTGGGGAAGTTGCGCCATTCTCCACCATGCATTGTTGGTTGCAGTGGCTTCCATGCGGCGCCAGGAGCGCTACCAGGAGCAGCACCGCCGGTACGACATTTTACGTAGCCGCAATGGCAGGAAAATGCCGCCACTGCCGCCACTGCCGCCGCCGCCGCCGCTGTTGTCCTCCCTCCGCAAATGCAACTGCAGGCTCCCTTCGCCGCATCTCAACAGGTGGTGGAGGTCTCCTTACAGAGCAGACCGCCGCCGCTGGTGCCACCACCCACACCCGCAACCGCAACCGCAACGCCACCGATCAGCACCAGAACCGCCACAGACTCGCAAAGCCCGCAGCAACACCAGCAACACCAGCAGCAGCAGCAGCAGGCATTGGGTCGTGAGGGCGCTGCAGCAGCAGCAGCGGGGACGTCCGCGTCTGCTTCGCCATTTAGTACCTTTTCCTTGTACCGACCCAGCGACCCACGGGTCCCTCCATCGCTGGTGGTCAGCAGAGAATGGGGTCAGGTGTGAGGTGGTTGAAATCGGGCGGAAAGGGCTTCAATGAAGAGAAATAGCTATATGTAATGACAGAGTCCGTCCTAATTACCCACCAATAAATCTTACTAGTTAAATTAAAGAAAAATTAATCCCTCCACTAATTATCTAATATACTTGTTATCCCGGGATCGAGACCTGTCAGGGTCGAAAATCGTTCCGATGGTGGAAGGTAAAGTGCCCCTAGATGATGGACGGTGGTGACCTGGGATAAAGTTGACCTGCGAGCTGACCAGGAATGGAGCTGAGCCGCCGTCGATCCCGTTGGATGCTGGTGGTGGGTGCGGAACCTGAGCGATCCACTGAGAAGTTGACTAGGGTGACTAGATGAGGGTGCCCCGAAATACCGGAGAAGGCAGGGCTTCGCAGGGTAGGGGCCACGGATGAACATATACCCCCCTGTCCCACACATCATACTGATTGCGAAATAATAATCCTTGTTTTCTACTAGGATATACTACAAAGACAATAAACAGAAAGACAGCGCGTCCTTGACAACTCAAGCTAATTTACGTAACACATACAAAAATGCTTAGGTAGGTAATATAATCTTTTCCAACTTAACCCCTTAACCGGTTTTTAGCTCAATGAGTACGTAACAACTGAGAAATAGAGAAGATCGTTATTAAAGTAAATAATTTTCAAACATCACAGGAGTAACTGCTAAATCTTTTGTTTCCTTTAAAACTTCTTTTCCACTTTTTGAATTACTGAGCGAAATCTCCCTCACTTTTCCTCCCTTGCCTGCCTTGTTAAGGCGGTTGACTCCGTTTGCAATGCCGCCGCCGCCGGAGAGCCCGTGGTGCTTGCCGTACTCGGTGCCAAAGGCATGGGGAAATCCTCCCTGGCGCGGCTAGCCGCCAATCGGTTGCTAGACGTCAGTCCCTGGGTGGCCGTTCTCGACACGGATGTCGGCCAGCCGGAGTTCACCCCCCCCGGGCTGCTGTCCCTACATTTACTCGATCCAGGGAGGCCGGCCATTGGACCGCCGCATGCACATTCTTGTAAACCGTTTGCGGCACGTTTCGTGGTGAGTCGCTGGGCTTTTCTACCGGTGGTGACGGTGGGGGATGCGAGGGGGGGGGTAGCGAGTTTAGGTAAGGTGGTAGCGAAGTTGGACGGCAGTTAACAGTGTGCGTGTGTGTGTGGAGGGGGGTTTTGTGCGGCAAAAAGTGCTAAAAGAGGAGGGGGGGAAGACGAACAACGAGGGGGGAAGGGGAGGGGGAGGGAGGGGGAGTTTCTCCCCTGTGACAAAAAAGGGGCATCGACACGGTGTGTGTGTGTGTGTATGGATATCTGTGGGCAGGATGTGAACACACGTGCTGACTCCAAACACGTGTGCCTCTTGTGGGAGTGTATGTCTTTGGATGGGGGAGGAGAATGGGGAGGGGAGAATGGGGGAAGGGAGGGCAGTTAATTGAAAAGGTGTTTTGGAAAGGATCCCGGTCTCTACACGACTATCGTCCCGCCAGCCCACCCCGCCGCCATAACGGTCTCCCTCAACCTCAGGGTGATGTGTCGCCACAGCATGACCCCCCGCTGTACCTCTCCGCCGTACAAGCGCTGTACGGCTGCTACTGGAGCTGGGCACAGTCTTTGGTGGCGAGCGGCGCCGCGTGGCCTCCCTTGGTGGTCAACACGCACGGCTGGGTTAAAGGGCTGGGGTTTGACTTGCTGACTCAGCTGCTTCGACTGGTGGCACCCACGCATGTCGTACAGGTACGTCGTGGCGAGTGGCGGGTGGCGGGTAACAGTGTTGGTTGGTCAACTTGATTTGGTTTCCCGAACGCGGAGGCATATTTTTGGTTCGTTGCTTTTTAACTTTCACGCTGTTTGGGTTCATTTTTCTCTCACCTCTTCTTTCTATAGGTTCAGAACCACGACACGACTATTCGCATTCGAATTGCCGTACTTCAAAACGTATAACCAGCATGAATGGATACCATTGTCTTTTCATCATCATCATTATGGTTATCATCGTCATCATTTACGCTCTGAATGCACCTCTTCCCCTCTATCTAGATTCGCGGCGGTTCGGAGAGAAGGAACCTGCCCCGCGGCGCCTTTTGGTGCGACCCGCGGGCCGTTCAGGCACCTGCGACCGCAGCCACTGCCGCCGCCGCCGCCGCCCCCGTTGCAGCGCCCCCGCCAACCGTATTGATCAACCTCGCTACGTTAGCAGACACTCCCTACCGAGTCGCCCCTGCTCCAACAACACCAGCAGCAGCCCCAGCAGCAGCAGTAGCACTGCCTGTTGGCCAAGACGCCGGGGGTGGCGGCGCTGCCACTACCAGCAGCGGCGGCGGCGGTTGTTTGACCGACCCACGGGACCGTGATGCGTTGTTTGCCGGGCGAGCCCGCGGCGGCGGCGGCGGCGGCGGCGGCGGAAGTAGTACTCCGGCTGTGTCGCTGCGGTCCTTGAAGCCCGTGGAAAGTCGTGCCTTGGCCTGGCACGCCTGGGCTAAGCGAGTAGTGGGCTGCGACCCCGCGTGGTGGGGCAGTACTGCTGCTATTACTGCTGCTATTACTGCTGCTATTACTGCTGCTATTACTGCTGCTATTACTGCTGCTATTACTGCTGCTATTACTGCTGCTATTACTGCTGCTATTACTGCTGCTATTACTGCTGCTATTACTGCTGCTATTACTGCTGCTATTACTGCTGCTATTACTGCTGCTATTACTGCTGCTATTACTGCGCTTCTGTGCTGTTGTGTTGCGGTGCTGTTGTTCTACTTGGGGTTTTAACTTGGTGTGGACAAAAGAGGGCACAATGACACCGATGCCGAATTTTGCTCTTACGATGATTCCGATGCAACGAGCAGTACTATGCCGTACACTGGAATGGTGTACGAATGATGACGTGTCTATGTGTGCGTGCACACATCTTGGTGCCTTCCTTCGCCTATTGCCCTTCCGCCGCTCTTACTCCCGCCGCTCGCCACCCACGGCTCTTACTGCGGGGTGGGGTGGGGTACGACATGATGATGGGGGGGGGTTTGAGAGAGGGTACAGCGGATTCTGCACTAGGCAGCAAGCTCGAATCAGCTTCTCGAATTGCATCAGAGATGTTCTGATCATCATCAGCTCTGTTCCGATTGTGACGTTTTTAGGCGTAGAGGAGCTGTGCGTGCATCCACATCCACACATCGAAGAAGAGTGTATGTTTGTTGTTGTTGTTGCTTGTTTGTTTATTCGCAGGGGCAGTTACGAGTCCGAGGATTTCTGGCGCAACGCCGGCGCTCTGGCATCCCTTCACCCTTGGAGGATCTGTTTGGACGAGCTCCACATACAGCTGTTGGCAGGATCACTGGCGCCGCAACAGCTAGGACGGGTCATCAATGGAACCGTTGTCGGACTGCTAGCGACCTCGCCGCCGCCGCCGCCTCTGCCGGCAGAGGCGGCGGCGGCTGCCGCCGCCGCCGCTGCCTGGTGGGACCTTGACGCCGCCGCAGCGGCGGCGGCGTACCCTCCCGGCCGCGTTAGCTACATCGGCGCCAGCGCGACGCCGCCGCCGCTGCTGCCGTGCGTGGGTCTTGGGATTGTACGAGCTGTTGACATGGAGAGTCGTACGGCGTACGTGCTGACGGACGTGGATGGCGCCGTGTTGGAATGTGTAGGGGTGTTGGTGGTTGGGAGGTTGGAGCTGCCGGGGTCGTTGGTGGTTGGGGGTGAGGTGGCGTGGCCGTACCAGCAGTTGTTTGGGCTGTCCGCTGAGGCGACAGGTGCGGGTTCCAATAAGGCCCGGAAGAACTTGTCCCGTTCTTCCTTAGTGGAATTAGCAGGCTGATTGGGTGGCGCAGTTGTACGGAATGTGGCCGGTACGGGGAGTATGTATGCATGGGCTTCTTAAGTTCCGTCGGAATTTGTGGCAGCAGGCGATATGACGCTTGTACTTCATTGGATTAAGAAGCACAAGTGAGGTGAGACGTCCAGCTGGGCGGGATGGTGGGTACAAAAGCCGACAGGCTAAATGCTATTGTTTCTAGACCATGGGCCCATGGGTCGATGGGTGCTAGGGACAGGAATCCAATCTCACCGGTCGCTGCCTTATTCGGCATGTTTCTTGATAAGGGCACAAGGTTTTTCTTTGGTTGTCATTCCATGCTCTGCCTGAATGGGTCGTTAGCAGCAGGTCGGAAAGCTCGCCCGGGAAAGCGGCCGGAATAGGCACCTCAGTACGGTAACTTTCGCCAACAGCAAGGAAACACCATTTGCAATGTGCTGCGCCTGCTGTTTGACAGCGAGTAAAGTGTCTTGCATGTAAAAAGAGATACCTTGGAACTGCGGCTTTCGTTCCAACGTCGTACGCGCCCGAGCTATTCGCTTCGGCCGTTACCAAGGACACGAAAACCTACACGTCCTAGATTATCTTGAATATACTAATGTGAAGACCGGGATCGCTGTGGATTCGTCCCGTATTGGCGTTGCTTTGGTAGTGCACGTAGCTTTTCTATCATAAAAGAACAGTTCTCCGCGATCCATACGCTAGCTGCAAGCGATTCGGATATCCAAACATGGTACGTGCCCAATATTGCTCTGAAGACAGGCAATTTTGCTTGATGTCTTGGCGCGAACAATTTGCCATTTCACGGCGTTCTTGACTTGAGCCTTCGTTGTGCAGGCCTTCAATCCCTACTTATTCCTTTACAATACAGCACTGGTTTTGGGATGGTAAGCTTTGTCATATCCTTGCGTGGACCATCGATGACCGTTACGACGGTCGACTTTTCCAGCTTGACGCTGCAGGGGATATTGCCTGTACCTGACTGTGGAAACCATCTTTATAAAGCATGGATCCACGGCTGACCTCTGGAAGGTGCGCCTGCGCTTCGGGTCCCGGGGTTGCATCTCGCGCGACCATCGCAGAACACGTGTCCTGTGTAGCACAGTCAGCGCTAGGCAGCCAGCCTGCAAGCCTTGTCCTCATCTGGGTTATGGCTTCATCCCAAGCGACTAAGTAGATCGCGGTCAACAAATTTGGTGTGTTGGCGGTACGATTGCGCTGGACAGCTTCGCGACCGGCTACCCGTTGGAAAAGAAAACCTGCTACTAGAATCATTTTGTACCACCTGCGTGAATCCTCTTTCTTTTAACCTGCGTCTACTCTACATTGCGTCTCTATTCGTCCCTTCTCGACGCGTGCATCCCTTCTGATCCCACGTGAGCACGTCGGCTTCGGCTACTTCACATCGGGCCTGGGGTTTCGCGATCGTGTTCTTTGTTCGTTGCTTGTGCGCATCTACGCCTACCGAGATAACCCTTTCCCCTCAGCGCCCTTGCCAGCCCTTGGTGGTCATCTCCATCATTATCATCGTCATCATCGCGAGGGAAAGTTCCCGCCTTCCCTCCCTCGTCCCCCTCGCGCTCTCCGCAGGTGGTGGAGACACCTCTAAAAGTCTCTCAAACAGCGGCCGTCATGGAGGTGGTGCACAGCGCCGTGGGGCTAGTCAGGTCGCCAGTAGCCATCACAGGTATGCGCATAAGTGTTGATCTGGGACGGGAGGACAGACGAACAACAAAACCCTGGAGGAGAACCCCCTAAGGAAGCATGCAGCTCTACGCGTTTTTGTTTTTTATTTTTTTTCCGGAGGTAGGAGCTCTAGCTGCTGCCATTGGCCGATGGCGACGAAGTAATGTATACTAGGGATTGTGCTTGCTATAATTTATCTACGTAATGTATACTAGGGATTGTGCTTGCTATAATTTATCTACTTTTGTTCCCGAAGGGAAAATTGCGGCGAATTCTTCCCAACCCAGGGCAGTCACAACAAACTTTTTAACCGAAAATTAAGCCTTTACCGAAAATTCTCCTTTCTCCCGTATTTCTACCGTACCCCGTACTGCCGCACACGGGATCTAATTTGGTTAAAAGTAAACCGCCGTGCTTTACTCTCGTGCGTCTTTTCCTCCTTCCTCTGTCCTGTGTGTATACGTATGTAGGTATGCAAGTGGCTTCCCGTCTGTGGATTGTGTGGGGCATCATTAATCTGGCACCGGGTGAAGCGACCCGCGGGTCGGTCATGGTGGGACCCAAGTTGCCCCTTCCGGCTCCAGTGGGTGACTTCCAGCCTCAGCTGAGCCTGACGACCCTGCTTTTGGCCTGGTCGGTGACGGAGGTCATCCGGTACGGCTTCTTCGCTGTCAAGGTGGGGGGGAGGCTGAAAGAGTTGGTGTGTGCGCGCGCGTGTGTGTGTGTGTGAGAGATAGAGAGAGTGTGTGTGTGTGTGTGTGAACGGTGGGTGTTACGTTACATGGGTGTTATTGGTACGAAGTGTTGGTGCTGGTGTACGAAAACTAACCGTAAATACTACATGGCTAAACTGGCTAAACCGACTGTTTGACGAAAATTGACCAGGATGACGCTGCTGCTATTCGTTCCTCTTGTTTTTTCTTCTTCCTCTGTTTCTTCTTCCGTTTTGGCTATTTGCCGGTCTGTAGTACGGCCCCCTGTACGCAAGCAGTCAGTGTTGCAGGGCGGCCAGTCCCTTCACGCGCGCGTTGGCCGGAGCGAGGTTCCCTTTCGCATCCTTTCCCTCCCTCTCTCTCTCCCCCTCGTGCACGCACCTGCACATGTGAATACTTCCCTGCTTAAGTTTTCATCGGTCCTGGACGCGGTTCGGCCGTAGTGTTCCATTCACGACCACTTTAATGGGTTGCTCCGTGGTGTGTGTTTTCCCGGCCTTCAGGAAGTTCTCGGGTCGGTGCCGTACCCTGTGCTGTGGCTCCGTTACACGACCTTCATTCCTCTGTACCCGCTTGGTGTCGCAAGCGAGCTGACTATGGTCCGGCTGGCCTTGCCGGCCATTCGGTCCTCGCGCGTGGGGTGTATCGACATGCCCAACAGCTTCAACTTCGGATTCGATTACTGGTTGTTCTGCTTGCTGGTGGTGGCGGGGTATATTCCAGGTATACAGTGGGCTTCAAATTGATGGGGAAATGGTCGGGGTTTAGGGTTTTGAATATAGGCAATTTTTTGTATTATTTATTGTAGGGGATTTTTTATGGGAGATGTTTTTTAATAAAAAGGGTTTAAAATGCAAGTATGGCTTTTATTTGTGTACCTGCGACCAGGCAGGCTCCCTGAAGTGCGATTTGTGGATAGCTCTTGATAGAGCATCAAATGCGAGTCTGTACGAACGTTTCTTTTCGTCACGTTTTATATGCGTTCTAACACGTCTAAAGCGTAGCATATATTCGCATATATCGTGTTCTTTTTATGATGTTGTCGTCATCTGCATAATACCGTTCTCTGCTATCGCAGGTCTTCCCCAGCTGTATCTGTACATGTTGGCACAGCGGAAAAAGGTGCTGAGTGGCGGTGCCGGCAGCAACGGCTCTGCGGCGGCGACGGCAGACAGAAAGAAAACGAAGCGCAGCTAAGATACGGAGATACTACATAATAAAACTGCTATGTGTGTCGGTTGGGGCAGCGGCGGCCGCATAGGGTAGTATCGGTTCGCAACAGCGAAAGGTAATTTGGAAAAGAGTAAAAAGAACATGAAGAGGAGGAATCGGAGCTGGGATAATGAACAAGGACGGTAGACGGGTGGACTCGGAGGGATGTGTATAAAATGGGGGACCTCAACATTTTTGAATTTCGGGGGACCACACAAACATCCCCCTCTCCAGGAGGGAGAGGGGCGTATATGACGGTACGGAAAACAGATCTCTAACCACCGGACACCGGACAGATATAATACGGACGGCACGTGGAGTGTTGCGTAGTAGGTCGGCCTGTCGGGAGTGCCTGACGGCGGGGGGAACTGCCAGAGTTGTCTGTATGTCTGTCTGTCTGTGCCTGCTGCCGGGAATGGGTTCTTTGGTGGCTTGAAAAGGAGAAGAAGAGTTCTATGGCTGTCGCTGGCGGTGGTGATTTTAATACTACATTCAACAATACTATAGGAGCAAGCAGGAAGGTCGGTTGGTGGTTAGTTGGTGGTTGGTTTCGCGGGCAAGCGGAATAAAATTGAAAGCAATTTTGTTCGTATGGCCACATTGAATGAAGAATTCGATGCTAGAGCGGTTGCTTGTTGGGTGTGGTAAGCTGCTAAGGACTGTCGTTCTAGGCAGGTTATGATTTACCTTCCTCTGTATGTCTTAGTTGTTGTTGTCAAACGACTGCAGCCGTACTGGGTGTTGCTCGTCATCGAGACAGTACCACCAGCCTCCACGTGCACCCTCGAGGGGCAACCGAAGACAGAGTTTTCTTCACAAACGGTTAAAGAAGAGTAAAGAAAAGAAGACAGCAACTGCACATATAGAATGTGCCTGAAAAAGGCGAAGGTTCTATTAAAACTGTGAAAAGGTCGCCTGCGCATGGATGACTGAATATACGAAAAGGGAAATCATGTTTGTTGTATTCAACGGGCTCATCAGGAACTCTTTCAGGTGAATTCATCCCAAAACGGCGAAGCGCATCTTCGGTGTACTCTCAGAATGGTCTCTAAATCTGTACATGACAGTATTTTTATATTTACTAATGGTAAGAAAGGCAGAAGGTGGGGTCTAGATAAAGAAAGGAGGACGTGGACCGGGGAGGCAAGAGGTGGAATGTATAGATCACCTCTGAATGTACAGTACAGGTGGATACAGAACACCCGCAAAACGGTGTATCTCCGGTGCTCCCAAGCAATGCGACCACTGATACACGTTCAGAGGGAACAGGGAATATGTTGCCGTACACATATCTCCATAGGCCATCTCACATACATACTCCAAGCGTACACATTTCCATCGTAACAGCCTTTCGTGAACACAAAAATGCGCCGTATTTACACAGCCGTACAATGTCCCACAGCCCACGTTCCAATAGACGTACATGCATACATACATAGGCAGGCGGCTGGCAGAGGTTAAGGCCTGACTTCTGCTCCCGGCCGATCCGGGTTCAAATCCGCCTGCCGGGTCCTCGGGAGTTGAAGTGGGAGGTGGTCATCCATCATACGGACGATGTAGGACGTGATAAAACCAACTAGCAAGCTGACCAGGAACTAAGTTGATGCGCCGTTGATCCGCTAGATTTGGTTGGATGCTGGTGGTGAGTTGCCGAACCCAACGAATACATTCTAAAGTTGGATGGGGTGACGGATTAGGGTGTCCCCCTAGCAGGGGAGAGCAGGGACTGCCCGGGAAAGGGGCCGCTGGCGAAGTTAACCACCCTGTAACAACATTCATACATCCAATATCGTCCAATGGTCATTCAGTGACGTATACGCCGTACAGACGCACCCGTGAAGCCATTGTCAGCTGCTTAAAATTAGCTTTAACATACATCCACAATCACCGAACACTGTCGAAGATCGCACACACCTTCTGTTGGTCGATTTTTCGCAAAACCCGTGCCTCTTCCCCCCACCCACCCACATCCCCTCATGGAAAGCAGAGTCAATGGCCTGATGTCACCTCGGTGATCAAAACGTTCCAGTTTCAAATCCAAATTTGGACTCGCCCCAGCAAAATATTAAGCAATGCTTTGCTTTCCAGTTACTTTCCGAAGCTCAACACGGATACCCTCAACCTGACGTATCAAAATGATTATCCCGCTTATTACCGTAAACGCCAAACAAATAAATCACCCGACAGCGTCGGCAATGAAGTAGAAGAACGTTTTGGCGTTTCAGGCCACACAACCGCACATTGCCACATACACCCCCCGCCATGCCGCATGCTGGATGAACGAAGTGTCCATCGCCGCTGCATGCCGAATATATAGGCATCATCACCCACATAACATGGCCTTCCTGCCCTTGCCTTCCTGCCCTTGCCTTCCTGCCCTTGCCTTCCTGCCCTTGCCTTCCTGCCCTTGCCTTCCTGCCCTTGCCCTCCTGCCCTTGCCTTCCTGCCCTTGCCTTCCTGCCCTTGCCCTCCTGCCCTTGCCTTCCTGCATGTGTAGTCAATTCACATGTGACATGCCACGGTATCACGCATGTATATACCACACACCAACACACGCTGCGAGATCCTCCGAACACGCCGAACCGCAATCCCCCTTCTCAATCCGCGCGACAAACCCAGTCGCCGATTTGAGTTCTTTTCGTTTTCTATGGGTTGGTGACAGTGGTGAGTGGTCGTGGTAGGGGTAGTGGTGAGTGGTAGGGGTAGGGGTAAGTGGTAGGGGTATTGGTAGTGACCCGCTCCGCTCCCGTGTGCGCAACTTGTAAATTGTAGGGGGGCGACATGCGACACACACACACATCCACCCTGTGTATCTCAGAGTGCGTCTCCCACTCCCACTCCCACCCGCCTCGCGCCTGTCTGTCTGTCTGTCTGTCTGTCTGTCTGTCATGGTCTCCACCCCCTCTCTTTATAGCGCCGGTTCTTGCCAGCGGCGGTCTTGCCTGAAGATCAGTAGAGCACATCAACACCCCTGTGCCCTGTGTACGTGTGACTCCTATGAACGACCATCCGTATATATACATATATACGTAGATATACATATATACATACACGTATACATACGTTCGGTCCGAGTGCCGCACACTCAGCCTGCAAAGAGGAAGGAGCCGTTGCGCAGCAGCCGCCAAACCCCCCTGTACCCACAACGAGGGCACGAGGGTATGTTAGACAACGTCAACAGGTTATTTGTAGGATTGTCCTGTAGATTATTTCCACCAACCTGCAATCCTTTTTTTTAAACCGCAACATAGGCAACATATGACAACACGACGAACCAGATAGGGCATTGGATGTGTGCCATCTCTGCAGCAATAATCAGCACATGCAGTACAATGCGCTGCTGCGGGCATGTTGGGGGGGGCCCAAGACGGTTCCCCGCAACACCGCGTGTGCACACGTCAATGTACTTGCGTGCGCACACATACATACATACATACATACATACATACACACGCACGGAAACACATCCATACGGGTAGCAATCGCTGTATTGTCGTGACGGACCAGCTGGTCAAAGCTGCACGCCTGCCAGCACCAGCCAGCCAGCCAGCCAGGCAGCCAGGCGCGGAAAGAAAAATCCAGCGCAACAGACGGAGTTCATTCTCTCCCGCCTGCTCTCGCGCTGCTAATCTAAGCCTTCCAATTGATTGATACGCAAGTCTACGGGTGAAGGTTGAAGCTCGGGGTCATACACGATGCCCGTCGTGGAGTGCTGTAGCAGTATGGACGTCCGTGCCGTTATCGTATCCGGGTCGGGGCGCCCTGCCCAGTGGCCCGGAGAGGGCGGCCGCAGGCGCCTGTTCGGCGCGGAATGCGGTCGCGGCGTGCGCTGCGGTTGTGACGACGACGGCGGCGCCGGCGCCGGCGGCTGGTACGGCTGCCGTTGCTGCTGATCGCCGTTGACCGAGCCCCAATGACCCAACATTGCACTCCGCTGCGCTGCGAGCATGCCGCCGCCGCCGCCGCCGCCACCGCTGAAACTGAAACCGCTGGACGCAGCATCTATTGTAGCTCGCTTCTGCCGTACTAACGGCCGCCGCTGCCCAGCAGCGGTTGTGTCCGCCACGTCAGCGGCGGCATTCGCCGCCGCCGCTGCTGCCGATGGACCGACGTCCCCATCGTCGCCGTCATCATCCGGGCCAAGGGTGTACTGTCGTACGAGCCCGTCCAGGATGCGCTCCTGCAGCTGTGTACGATCACACGGCGGCGGGGCAGTGGCGGAGGAGCTGCTCCAAACGGGCTGCGCCGCCGAGCTGGCGTCCACGCTTACAGTACCGCGCACGCGGTTCGTCTTCGCCGTACTAATCGCTGAGCCGGGCCTGCCCTGTCGCTGCCGCCGCGTCTCCGGGCTCAAAGGCTGCATACCCTCGCGCGTCGCAACTCCCGCCGCTGCGCTGCCGCCGCCGCCGATGCCGCCGCCGCTGACGCCAAAGCCTCCGCCAGTCTCTGTGAGCGGTACGGCGATTCGCCGCTGAGAAGGCGGTCTTGACGACACGGGGGTTCTCGCAGCGGCGGTCACCCGGCTATTCGTCCTGCTGGGCGGCGACCTGGGGGGGGACCGCGGGCGAGGGCCTTCCCAAGGCCATGCGGCGCCTCGGTTCGCCGACCAGGGCAGCCCAGCCGCCGCCGCCGCCATCGCCGCCGCCTCTACCGCATTCGCTGGCGCAACGGGCCGCTGCTTGGACGCCGCCGCCGGCGCCGCCGCCGCCACCGGTTTGCCCCGCGTGTGTGATGGACTGTCGCCCGCCGCCCAGGCCGTTTTTACAGCGGCGGTCGCGGATGCCGCCGCCGTACGGGGCGCCGTACGTATTCCTCCCCCGACGGCAGATGCGGTGATGCTGACGGCCTTACGGTCTGCCGGTACGGCACCTCGCGCGCTCGCGAACTGCGGCTGCGTTGCCGCCGCTACCGCAGGGGGGATGCTCCGCACGCTGGCGCCTCGCAGCTTTGCGGAAGCGCTACGGGACAATCCGCCGGGTCCTTGTTGCCCTTCTTGTTGTTGTCGCTCCTGCTGCTGTTGTTGTTGCTGTTGGGATTGTTGTCGGTACATCGCCAGAAGGTCAGTCTCCTACAGTGGTGCGGTGCGGTGTGGTGTGGTGTGGTGCGAAAAAGAGGCAAAATTTTACAAAGCGGAACAGAAAGCAAAGCAAAAAAGTTTGCGAGCGCGCGAAAAGGACATCAAAAGCCCCAGAGGATGGAGGCTGTAGCCATGGTTGGGTTTTCCTTCGCAAGGGATTTCTATTTATTATATAGATAGAATGCGTGATAGCTACGACATGGGGGCTGTAGCAGGTAATCATTTATAATCAAAAATACCAACTCAGGAACAGGGGCTTTGCTCCCCCCCAGGTCAAGGAATACCTACCTCCGCATATGCCACGGAGACGCCCAGCCACTTCCGATCTCGGGCCGCAGAGCTGCCGCCCCAAGTACCGCCCCCAGGCCCGCCGCCGCTGCCGCCGCCGCCGCTGCTGGCGCCAGCATTGACATCGCCTGCCTCGTTAGATTTCTGGGCGGCGGAGGCGGAGGCGGCTGCGCCGCCGCCGCTGCGGCGCAGCGGTGCAGAGGCAGGTCGACGCCGCTTCACAGATTCGTACTTGTGTCGGGCCTCTTCAATAGCCTGAATCATACATACATACATATATACATATATACATATATACATATATACATACATACACGGCAGAAACGAACGTCGTCATCAAACTACATCACAACTATCTTACCCTGGATTAGGACGTCATGCCGGGGACCAGGGATGGATCGTTGCCATGCGGCCACCCAGAGAGCAACAAACAACAAACACAGGAGCCGCCCCCTGCCCGCATAACGGCACAAGCAGGTGGAGTGGCGGGCGACCACCACGAACCACTGTCAGCCACCTGCCTTAGGCCCCCCCCCCAGACTCTCCATCTCCCTCTCCCCCTCAAAACCCTCGCCCTCACCCTCAGGGCCTATCCGCACTTCCTCATCCCCCATTCCCGGATAAGAGTAGATCAAACCACCTCTCGCCTCCAAAAGCCAAAGGGCGGTGTGCGCTCAGCCAACCAGCCGCCAGGGCTACATACCTGCCTACCCGCCTAGGACCCCTAGCTCCCGGGCTATCGAAATGACACTGCACCCCCTGGGCACTGCGGGTGATGGGCCCCCGTACGCTGATCAGTCTGTGCTTCGTCTTTCCCCCCGTCTCCCCCCACTCGTCTGTGCTTCGTCTTTCCCCCCGTCTCCCCCCACTCGTCTGTGCTTCGTCTTTCCCCCCATCTCCCCCACTCGTCTGCGGCTCGTCTTTCCCCCCTATGCTGAGACTGAGACTGCGACCCCAGTGAGCTCCAGTGCAGCCCTCCGCAACGAAAGGCACCGAACTGCCCCGCGCCCCCGTCGAGAAGGGCTCTAAGAGTTTGGTTGTCCCCTATGTAGCATTTTGGTACATTCAGCACTTGTTGCGCCTGTACCATTCAGCAACCACATTATTTACTTATAGTAATCCCCTCCAACAGCTCCAGTTGCGCAATCGCAACGGGACAGCCAGTGGGGCGCTTCAGGCCGCCGCCCTGCAGCTGCTGACCAGCCTGTTGGCCTTCAACTTGGAAATACACTCCCAGGTAAAGTGAAGTGAAGTGAAGTTTTTTTTACTCGTGTGCCATCCTCGCCAGGTCCTTCTCTCGCCCCGCGGCTCCTTCTTAACCCCCGGTCACGAGGACCATGTCCCTCACGAACCCGACCCCGAAGCCGACCCCGCAACCCAAGCTAAGGACTGCGTACCTGTCCCTGCGGCACAAACGCCGTCCTCTCGACGTTTTTGGGCCGCTCAAACTTGGACGGCACGTACGCCAACATGCCGTCACTCAGCTGGACCTTGAGCTCCGACCGCAGCGAGTGTGCTCTGGCCTCGGCTCCGCCGACCCAGCCGCCGCTAACCCCTCCGCTGCCTCCTCCTCCTCCTGACGCTGACGCTGATGCGGCTGCTGGTCCTTGTCCCGCTAAGTGGGGCCCAGTGAGGGAGCTCCTACGCTGCCCGGCGGCAGCAGCAGCGGCTCCGCCGCCGGCGGCGGCGGCGGCGGCGGCGGCAGCTTTCCCCGTTGGTCTTGTCATTCCCGCGCTCTCCGTAGCAGCCGCAGCGGCCGCGCCTCTCCCTCCTAGGCTCTTCTGCTGCTGCTGCTGCTGCAATTGTTGTTGGGGCTGTTGTTTCTTCTTTTGGTTCCCCGACACGCTCGTCCGCTGTCCGGGCTCGTACATTCGGTACTGCGGCATTGGACGAGCGACCTGGGAGCCGCTTCGCGCGATGCGGGCTGGTCGTTGGTATTCGAGTCGCTCGCCATCGAGGATGAAGTGGCTGCTGCCGCGCACCTCCTCTCCGTGTTCTGTGAGCTCTGGAGGAACCACAAGGGATTTGACCAGGCCCAGGGAGCCCACGCCGTTGGCTCGAGCGCTGACTCGGACAGCTGTTGAGGGCATATCCGCTGCGGTGAAGTCGCTGAGCGCGTGGGTATCGCGCACGGATGCCTTCTGCTCTTGCATCTTCCGACGGACCTTCATCTCCAGGGCCTCCAATTTAGCCTTGGCAATATGGTGGAAAGCATGAGATAATTGAATATTTGAATTTGAATTTCAGCTGCCCATATATTATGAATTTAGCTGCCCATGAGCAAGCAGCAGTGGGAAGGAGGAGAGGGTAACCATGGCAAGGGTGTTGCCGGGCTGGAGTTAAAGGTTGACTTTAGAGTAGGGGCAGGAAGAGGGAAGAAAGGGCAGTTTGGAATGGCAGTGGAGGCGAATGGAGGGGGAGAAGGTCGGGAGGGGGGGAGAATGGGGTTTGTGGAAGCGGGCGGGATTAGGGAGGGGTTGTTAGGTCCCGAAGGGAAAGAACGATCGAGGGAGAATTCGATCCGCCGTGGTCCCGTCCACGCAGATTTGCGTAAATGCCCAGGTTAAGAGCTTCCCCATACAGAATTTCCTTGCAAGAGGTGGCATACCACGGGCCATGAGGGTTGCGCAGGAGCATGCCTACCTGACGAACCATATCGGGAGGGCCATAGGAGAAGATAATTGTGTGGCTGGGCAGACCCGACAATTCTGATGAGGCTCGCTCTCTATAAGGTTCATCGAACACAGCAAAGCCGTTGGCAGCGTCGTCTAGCCCGAGGGTGGAAATGTTGTCCATGGTGCTGTTGTGCTGTTGGAACTCGGAGGCGGCTACTTCAGCACAGCATGTAATTTATAAGTGCACTTTCGTGCAGCCAAAAACAGTGGCTCGCTCCCTTCGGGAGTAACGGTTAGAGCAGCCGCGGCCCAGTCCACCCTAAGGTGCAAGGAGCAATTTAGCAATGAACTAGCTTCAAACTTGACAGGCATTAGTCCCTCTTTTGGTGGACAGACATGCGGAGCTCCAACGACAATAGAATGAGGCTGTCAAAGAAGTCTGAAAAGCTTTGAAACCCTGACTACGGGTATTGCAAGGGAATAAATTAGGCAGAAGCTCCAATAACATCCCTGAACCCGCCGCTTCCATGCCATGCTGACAGTGTACGCGCTAGGAGGCGAGGATGATTGTATGCGCCTACCATCTACGCGCTTCACGTATTATGCCACGCTTCGCATGGTAGATGCTAATAATACTTTTCTTAAACATAACGCTTACATTCTCGCTTCGTAAAGGATTTCCGGAAACTGCTTAGGACCTAAGGATCCAAAAATGCTTCTTGACTGATTCTGTTCATTGCGACTATGACGTCCTCTGAGAAAACAACAGAGCCAGGGGATGTTGACAAGCTGGCTCGGCAGCAACGTGTAGGGCGGTACAAAGCCTGGCTTCTTCAAAAGCGGCTGGCGGAGCTGAGTGCGCAAGTAGAGGCCGCAGTCCTAGAGGTGTGTTCCTCTGCAAAGTGAAGGGCATGGGGTCAGCACTTCATACCTGGAACCGGTCTGCAGGCGCGACAGCTAATCTCATGGAAGCAGAGTTACCAGCCTCTTAACGTGGCGGACCTCACAGACGACGACAAGCGAATTTTGGAACACAACCACAGAATCAGGCTTGCAGAGGTCGTGCAGAAGCATTGCTCTACGGCGCTTAAAAGCATAACCCAGCACAAGGTATGCTCTTCTGACCTTGGCCCATGCCGCGACAGTTCCAACTGCACAGCGCCACAAAGCCCTCCCTTCCGCCGCAGTGGGCCTTCCCGTTCAACAATCCTGTGGACACGGCGCGCTTCCCCGACTATCCCAAGGTACGTCAGGGAAGCTTACAGTTCGTAGGAGCCCCTAGCGCCCCAGGAATCGCCCTGATCGGCACCGTCCTCATGGTGCCGATCAGGGGCATTGAAGCGCAATTCCCAACACACAAAGGATTTAAAGCGAGAGGTGATGAGATGGAACCGCTGCCACTGCGCCACTCGCTGGTATATGCTGGTACCTAGCGTGCGATGTCCCTCCCTCCCTGTGCACATCATCAGATCATTTCTTCGCCCATGGACTTCTCAACCATTAAGGCGCGCCAGGACGGCGGCTACTACCGTGACCCTAAAGACTGGTGGAGTGACGTCATGCTGGTGTTCTCAAATGCCAAGCGGTACAACGCGCCCGGCAGCGACTGCTACCTCATGGCGCAGACGCTGCAGGTGGGCGGACCTGGCACAGGAAGACCTGTCTGTCTTGCGCTGTCGGCATATGGACCGATAACCGAGCCCATAGAACCGGGCGGGGTATTTGTTTACTAGGTGTCCAGGTCAATATGATGCAATATGATGTTTTTTAACATCCCCATGGTACATGGCGGCGAAACAACGGCAGTTGCGGCACAGCTTCCCCCCAAGCTTGGGGCCCAAAGGATGCGGCCCAAAGGACCCATATGGCCAATCTCTGGGTTGTAGTGCTGTGCTGTGCTCTGCTATGCCGGGGCGCAGCGCCCCAGGCATTGCCGATCGATGGCACAGAAAAACTCAACGTCAAATAAGAGCGGCAAATCAGCACAACATCCCAGCAGCGATTGATCCGTGTCTTTTCGGTGCGTGCAGGAGGTGAGCGAGGAGAAGTACGACAAGGTGATTGCACCTCGGCTCGCGGAGGCGGAGGCGGTTACACTGCGGGAGGAGGTCCACTTGAAGAAGAAGCGCGCTGAGCTGGTCAACCAGCAGATCAGCGAGGCGATGGACGCGCAGTGCGCTGTGCTGTTCAACCTCATGGCGGTGAGCTGAAGGCGCCTTCACTAGGGTCGTGTGTGTGTCGCCGACAGACAACTGCTGACGTTTGCGCTATAGCCGGGTTATTAATTGCCGCCAGGCCTCTACTGTTTGGTAACATCTATCACCCCAGGTTGCTCCGTTTGGCTTGGGGGCCTGTTTGTGTGTGGTCTTCAGTTCCATGGGGCCCACACCGCCGTCACCGCCGCCCTCTTTGTGTTCTTGGTGTGCTCTGTATGTATGTATGTGTGTAGGAGCTGCATGCGGCCATTCGGGAGGCCAAGTCGTTGGCTTCGTCGCTGTGTGAGCCGCTGACGCTGGAGGAGAAGCAGGCGCTGGCTGCCACAATACAGGTGGTAAAAAGGGCAAAAAGGGAGGTTGCAGGTGCAGGGGAAGAGGGTGCAGGTGACGACACCCGACTCCAAAAAAACCCACATGGGAATAGGAGAGCAGGATGGGGCTGCGTCGGTGCGGACGCCATCCGCTTCCTAGGCATTTGCGGCAGGTGGTGTTTGAAATGCATGGTCCCCCTACCTACCGGCGGACGCCATCTGCTTCCGCAATGCATTGTCCCCCATTTGGTATCTGCTGCTTCACTCTTCATCTGATGGTTCATCTTACCGTAACGTCCAGTTGGGTCCTCCTCTACTATGTCACCCATCATCATCATCTTCGTCCTCGTCATCGCCATCCACGATTGCATTTGGGTCCTTCTCTTCTGCCATCATTATCATATCTTCATCATCGTCGTTTTCGCCGCCGTTGTCGTCGCTGTCCACGGTTACATACAATTACATACGATGCAACTGATCCGTGATGTGTTTCGCTCTCCGTTTTGCCTCCCCATGTAACACAGCAAAGGCCTAACCGGGGATGCTCAAATGGGCCTTGCGTCGTTACACCCCAACCCCCTTCCCCCTTCGGGATGGATGCTGCAGGGCCTCCCCACAGCCCAGCTGGAAGCCATCGTTGCCTTCGTAGCCAGCCGCCATCCGCCCAGTGTCAGCACCTGCGAGGTGCAGCCAGGCGCCGCAGGTGGCGTCCCCAGCCGCAAGGTCCAATTGAACTTGGGACGATATGATCCATTGCTACTGCGGCAGCTACAGCACTTGGTTAGTACCTGCACAGCGGCGAGGCAGCAGAACCAGAACCAGCATCAGCTGCCGGGACAGCTACAGCCGCCGCAGCGGCCGCAGCAGCAGCAGCAGCAGAAAAAGGTGGCGAGTCCGCCGGTGATGGCGGCAACCGGGCCTCGTGTAGGGTCAGCAGTAGCAGCAGCGAGCGCTGCGTCGAATGCGGGCTCGGGGGCGGCCGCGGCGGCGGGGGTTGCTGCTGCAGCAGGTCAGCCGACGACGGGCGCACAAATGTCTCCACAGCAGCCCGCTCTGCCCACTGCTGCTACTGCAGGAACGACGGCAGCCAGTCCGCCGGCCTCTGTCGTGCAGTCTCACGGTGTTGGCGCCGGGGGCACGGACGCGACCGCAGGGCAACAACAACAACAACAACAAGAACAACAGTTAGGAAAACCGTTGCCGCCGACAACGGCAGCAGCAGGCGCACCAGCACCAGCCGGGGCGACTGGGACTCAGCTGCCGGCTGAGCCGCAGGCCGCTGCGCCGGCGGCGGCACCAACCGCAACCCCCGTCAGCAGCACCCAACGCAATATCGCGGACGTGGTGACGAACGCCACCGCCAGCGGCATCTCCGTGCGGGCGGGCATTAAGTGGCCCGGCCTTGCTGTGGGAGCAGGTACATGAGGGGGGTGAGGGGTGTGGGCAAGCTCGGCAGGGGCCCCGAGGCTATAGAGGTATGCATAGGCTAGGGCTATACTGGCTCGGGGGATCGGTCTGTCGGTCGAGTGGTATGCCAATGCGGACTGGGCACAAAAGGCTTCCCTGTTCGGCCTGTTGTAAGTGGTGCCTCTCACGGACCATGGGGGATATAGCGGGGATGAGCTCCCGGTCGGGAAGCCCCGTAGTCATAGTCGGAGTGCCTTAGCAGGAATAAAGGGACATCATTGCGACATCATTGCGACATGTTGTCCCTTAGGGTTTTAGGGTTTATGATATGGTATGACCCTTTAATATATATTATATATAGACCTGAGTGCTGTAAAGTGGGTTAGTTCTGGTGCATACAGCCGTCCAGCATGGGGTAGCCTTGCCTCCCGTAACTCTGTTTGATGTTCTCCTTTGATGAATGCGCAGGTGTCCGGCCTCGTGCCCGTGCTCTGCTGTCCCTTCACCTGGACGGACCCTCGTCGGCCGGGGAGATGCTGGCGGCCTGCCCTCTGCCTCGGCCCGTACTGCCGTTGCCATCCCAGCGGGGACCAGGTCGCCTGGCTGGAGTCAAGCGACGAGCCGCCCAGGTGCTGGTGAGTGGTCATTGTTGACTTAATTGAGGAGGAAATTGCCGCTCGGCAGTGTGCGTTACGTATGGCCTTTGAGTTCTGCCGCTTTGGCGGTACATCCATTTTTTTATGGTGGAGGTCAAGAATTTAGGGTTCCTTCCGTGTGGTGGTCATGCAGGGGCCTGAATCCGACGGATGAAATGGAGGAGTTCCCAGTGGCATTGGCGCTGTGGGTCACCACGTCGTTGCTTACGGGCTGCATATCTTTATGGGCTGCGCATGGAATGTCACCCGGTTACATGGCGTATTGAGCTGTAGGTGATATCTAGTCGGTGGGGAGTACCGACTGAGGTGTCATGGCCACATATGGTCAAACAACTACTGGGGGGTTCTTCTTCTTCCTGCTAGAGAGAGGAGCTTTACTTCGCAAGGGCACAGAACATGTATGCTGCCAGTGTTGCTACCTTCTCTCGCCGCGTGGACGCCAGGCTGCTGGGGAGAATTGCCGAGGTGAAGACGGCGAAAATGAAGGGTTCTACAGGACGGTTTGACAGTTTGAATGCACTGCACTGCTCCCCACTGGGGGTGCGGCGTCAAGTGGAGGGTGCGGAGTGATGCGGGCAATGCATATGGTACACCAGTGTCGTTGAGTTTCATCCCGTGGCGCTGCGAGAGGCGGAGGTGGGGGCCCCCTGTTGTGTGTGTGTTTGTGTGTGTCATGGCCGAGTTTTGGATCGGGGGGCGCGGCGAGAGAGGACAGCGGCCGGGCGCTGTGGAAGCGTGCAGAAGGCAGATCGCGCTCGCACACGCATATAACGCACAGCCATGGCTGCCAGTGCGCGGCTTGCTTGTGGTCATTGCCACTGGCAGGATAGGTATGATTTGTTTTTTTAATGACGGCCCGCTTGAAGCTTAGTGGTCTTCTCTGCTTGTCCAGGCACTGGAAAGGACGATGAAAGACACGACGACGCGTTTTTAGCTACAGTCGTGGAAGTTGACCTTACGGTGGTTGTAGTTGGACTCCAGAGTAACTTCCATATCTATGAACACAATCATCTTTTTGCATTGGCAGTTTTAAGTGTTTTTCCACTGCGTTGGCGTGTTGCCCGCTGCGTTGGTGAGTCCGACAGCGCCCGCTGGTTTTCTCTTCACGCGCGCTGCGACTGGTGTCGTCGAGAATGGTGGTCGGAAGGTGTTGGGGCCTCTGGGTGTGTGGGTGCAGCGAAATATGGGGACGGAGTTTCTGTTTCCCAGTGCGATTATTCTTCCTGCGCCTGCCTCCCACACACCTACCGAGTCATCTGGCATGTACCAGGTCTGCTTGCCCGGTAGCTCTGCAGACCCGATCACCCACACGAGTCTGACACTGCACTGGGTAGTACGACGGTGAAATGGGTGAACGCTGTGTGTGAATAGCGCCAAGGTACTGACATGAACAGCCTGGCATATAAGACGTTCTGTAAGATCGTTTCTTAAAAACAGGGCGTGTCTTGCTATGCTGCCTTCATGACAAGCAACGACATTGCCCAACTAAACGCCATGGACGCCACCTCGGCGGCCCCGTCCGACCCTACCCTGGTGTCGCCAGCAAAACTGGAGGCCTTGCTGGATGAATATAAGGAGGAATTTGAGCCCTTAACGGGCCTGGGCCCTAATCTTGGCACTGGCCACACCATCGAGCTGGAACCTGGCAAAAAGCCGCCCCCCGTCTTTCTGGCAACACCAATGCGTAGAAGATGCAGAAAAACGTACGCGGGATGTGGAGAATAGCATTAGGTATGGACGATATGCAATCCAACACCCTTATATTTTCCCTGCAAAAAACAACGAGCTTTCCTCATGAAATGACACAAACCTGCGGCACAAAGTAGCCTGAAACCTATTTAGCCCGCACATCGCAACGATGGCAGTTCTATTTGCAGACGCCATTTGGATCGCTATCTGCCTATTAATGCCTGCCTACCTACCTGCCTGCCTTGTACGCTTGATACTTATTTCCCCAGTAGCGGGATGAAATCTACCCAGAGTCACACAGCTCGCCGGCAAAATCGCCGACGACCCCGTTGGAGCCCTGCGGCATCCACAAAGGCACGGATGCCAACCAATGCGATATCGTCACGGGCCACACGGGTGGTACGCACCCCTGCAAAGAAATGGGAACGGGCGGCGTTTCACATGCCACGGGTCGCGCACCACAGTTCTCACCCTCAAACCTCAGCTAGCACAATTCACGCCCTCAGAAATCAAACAACATTAAAAGCTCCAGCGCCAGCCGAAACGTCCATTCTAACTCATCGATTAAGTCACTATGCTTGCGTACAGACTTTTGACAGACGTACAAGGAGGATTATGAATTTCTCCCCTTCCCACGCCTCGAGCAACTACTGTGCCTCCGAGCCACTTGCCACCCGCCAACCAACACACCGCGTTGACCGAGGGCCTGGAGCACGCCTTTTCACCCCTTTCTCTTTTTGCGATTTCGACGCCCATTTGCAGCTCAGTATCATATGTCACGCAACTTAAACAGAACCAAGAACACGCATTCATGAATAAAATGATCGTATCATATCAAAAGCCAGCGTCAAACCCGGAACCACATGTATATATCTCACCTCACCTTCCCTTCCCCCTTCTCCATGATCACGTGCACCACGGGCCCACCACTCATCCGCCCCATCTGTGCTGCATCTGCCCTAAACCACTCATGACTCATGAGCCATTTCTTGGAAAAAAACTCCGCGTTAACCATAAGGCCCCTGGCCCCGCCGCCCAGGTGCATACGCAGGTGTGCGCAGAGCCCCCTCCTCTCTCACGCTCTCTAGTCCGTAGGTTCCCTTCCTGCGGCTCACCGGGCTTTGCGGATTCGGCAGTTTCCCGCCTGCCTAGAGGCCATAGAACACACATTCGACGACGCTACTACTTCTACTCTTCTTACATCTTAATCTACACCATCAGACTTGAAACATGGCTGACAAGAATCTCTACTAAGTAGCTCTGCCACTGCCACGTATACACTAATAACGACAGGCAGCTCTTTCCGCAGTGCATCCGAGCCGCGAAAGCGGTCACACCCCGCTGCTAGAAAGTCTCTCAAGGTTGGATATATGTATCCATACTCTAGCTGTTGTGAATTGCCGTGCAATATCCCTCACCTCACAAAACACAATTTCCGTGTGAACCGTCAATGTCGACCAACGCCGCAGTTGTGTGTAGTACTGGGGGCTTTCATTGACTGACACGATAAGTCGTCAGTCCTCCTCCGCCTCCTCTTCTCCTCCTCTTCCTCCTCCTCCTCTTCCTCCTCCTCCGCATTTCTCTCCCCTCTCTTGCCTAACCCTAAATGCACTCTCTTCTTTCTCTCTTCATTCTCTCTTCAACTCTTTCTATCTCCCTCTCTTTTTCACACTTACATTTTTACCCTCTTTTTCTACACACCGCTCATGCTCAACAAGCGCACCCACGATCCCCTACGCGCAAAAAAAAACTATGCGGTGCACACAACAAAGTGCACAAGACGCACAAGGCATGTAAGACATACAGGCAATACAAGTACATGTTCCCTACAGCCACCCCCGGAGAGGGGGGCTATAAGCCACCACCGCGGTCACCACCACAGCGCAGCAGCCTCGTCAGATAACAAACCACCGCCCCGTGATGACGAGGTCACCGCCGCCATCGCCGCCATCGCTACTGAAGCTGTGCTGCCACATAGCGGCCACATAGCTACAACAGCTGCTGCTGGTTCTCAACTCCGGTGCAGTTCAATCCCGTATAAAACCGCTTCCTAATTGGTAGTTTTTCATTAGTCGAATAGTCTGTGCAACTCCTCCAGTAGTTCCAGTTGGACCGCAAGGCCGGTGACCCCCAATTCATGTCGCAAGATGTCGCGGACCACGGCGGCGCCGCCGCCCCCTCGCATCACCCTCATCAGCCCGCACAGCGCGCGACCTGCGAGAGGGCAAAGGAGAACGGCAACGGTTTCCGACGTCCGTTGACATGACGGACATCAACAACGCCGTGGATGGCACCAGTGGTGACACCGGTGCGGCGGATTGTGCGGCGGTTGCAAACAACGTGAAAAGATGACGAACATGGTACCCTTCGTCGATGAACATGGTATCAGTACCCTTCGTCGAACATGACGAGATGACCGATGCGCATGGACACATGGACACATGGACACATCAGCATCTCGCGCCTCTCCCCGCCACCGCACAGCAACAGCAGGAAGCGAGTCGTTGTTAACGGCAGCGATGGCACAAAGCACAAAGGAGGACCGATTTTTGGTCATTAAACCATCTGGAAAACAAAGAAACATCCCGGGAAGGTTTTGCGCAGCAGTAGCACAGCAGAACCACAGGGTTGGCCAGTACAGACCGGACCGTAAGTACACGCAGCTGAGTCAGCCATGCCGTACGACTGAACCGTACGTACGACAGGAAGCTCACGAAAGAAGCGACAGTGTAAAGAGAAAAGCCCCTGTCGCACGGACACATCCCCACATCTCCACGACGACGATGACAAGCTAAAGCAACTCCTTGTTGTTTAACACGCCGCCCTGCGTTCCCCCCCCCGCACCCCCCCGCCCAGCAAAGGTGTTGCTGCGCCGCAAAGCAGTCACCCTCCGCGAATGTGTTCAGACCCACTCAACCAACTGACTCAACGGACCCAACCAACTGGCTCAACCGACTCAACCAACTGACTCAACTAACTCACCAGTGATGCCCATTTCCTCGAAACGGTCCGCCAGGGCACCGTGGCCGATGCGCACCAACCAGTCGCGCACCTGCGAGCAGAGCGACATGCAGGGAAGGGGAACGAGATGAAAAACATATTTTTTTACTACCGTACTGCTATTGTACATTCCTGATATTCATTTCGGATGATGTCACGAAAGGCGTGTCAGTGGAAATTATCCCTATCAAAAAATAGGGGCTGTCCCGAATTGTCGTACTATTATGTACAAATGGCGCCTAAGTACTTAAAGCGCTTTCCATCCTTTTCCGGTTGATTTTCACGCGTCATACTTCTTATTTCTTGCAAGGGATGACACACTGTTGGTAGTCGCCATGAAAAGACTACACCCTACTTCTAGGCCGCTCAAGCAGACCAAGTTCGTCTATTTTTGGACTACCTACTTTCGATAGCGTCCCGAATTGTGATAACACAACTGCAAAATCTGCTCATGGCTGTCCCGAAATGGCAATGTCACGTAAAACCTCCAGCCCCATTTTCACGGCCACCCTGAATCGTAATATCAGGAATGTACAATAGCAGTACGGTAGTCGGAAAAAAAAGAAAAAAGAAAAAAGAAAAGAAGCGATTAGGAAAAGTAAAAAGAGTTAAGGAAAGGAATATTACTTTTAATAAGAACAAGATAACGATAGTAATAATAAAAATAATAAGAATAATAAGGAATCGCTTGCCTTCCAAAAGCAAACGGGGTGCCTGCCAGGGTGGTACAGGACCTTCCTGAAATGGTCGGGTTGCCGGTTTTCCCCTTCCCATGCCCGTCGGGCCCACCCGATAGCGTTTTTGCGTGTCTTTCAATTTCTGTCGGGTGCCCCGATAGCCCATCCCAAAACCTGTCGGGTGACGCAAGAACGAAATTTCGCTGTGTGCCGCTTGAAATTACATTTATTCGTATTTTATATGCGCAGTTTCCAGTTCTCAGTTTGCAGTTCACAGTTCTGATATGCACGAACAAACACACACACACACACACACGACCCACGGCACCCGATCGGGCGGTCCTATTGCCCCTAACCCTGTCGGGTCCCCCGACGGGAGCCCTCCGGGCCCCGTCGGGGGCTCCCGATGGCCGTTTGGCGTTTTCCCCCTTTTTCGTCGGGTCCGCCCGACAGCATTTTTCAAAGCCTGTCGGGATTTTCAGCACAAGTGCCATTCCTGTCGGGACCCGATCGGACTGTCGCACCCTGGTGCCTGCGCATGTCTTTGTCGCACAGCATCAGCGGCCCCTTTGGCAACTTTGATACAAATCCCGAAACCGAAACAAAGTCCAAAATTCCCACAAACATATTTTACTTTACCAAAATAATTTGACGTTTCTCCCAAAAATTTAAGCAAGAGCAGCGCTCCTTACCTGCGGCGCTTTCCAGCGCTCCACGAGCTGGCTGGTGCTGCTCGGAGGCACCATCACCTCCTGCTCCGCGTGCACGCCTCCATCCCCCACCTCGACCCCCATTCCCATGCCGCCGTGCAATTCCATGCCCATGCCCATTTCTAACCCCATCCCGAGACCAGCTGAGGAGTTTTGACTGACGAAGTGGTCGCTGGTCAAATCCTCCTCCATGCCATCCCTCGCCAGCGGTGGCCCGGCGTCATCCAGGAGTATCGGACTCCCGGCAGCGCCGCCGCCGCCGCCGCCGCCGCGGCAGCGGCGGCAGCGGTCCTCCCCATCCATCCGCTCGCCTCTGCCGCCTTCCAAATCTGCCTCCTCCTCCTCTTCGTCCTCCTCCTCCTGCTGCTCCAAGTTGTCCCCGTGCTGCAGCCGCTGGCGGCGCCGTGGCAGCCCGCCGTCACCGTACGGCGCGATGAAGTCGCCGACGGCACCAACGCCGTCGCCTAGTGCCGCTGTCTGCTGATCCCAAGGTAATTGCCCCGGTGCAGCTGCCGTACGGCTCCAACGCGCCGTCGTGAGCAGCTGTTGCTCCGGACTCGGTCCGCCGCCGCTGCGGCGGCTGCCGCCACCGATGCTGCCGCCGCCGTCGATGTCAGCAATTGACGGCGCAACGGAGCGCCGGGAGGAGGCTACACCGCTCAGATGCGGCGGTGGCAAGCCGCCGCCGCCGCCGCCGCTGCCAATGCGACTCACTGGGCCGCCCAGCAGCACCTCCTCCAACCGTGCATCGCTCTCACTCACTTCACCGTCGTACATTGCAGCCGACATGTCGGCCTCACTGCCCCCGGCGCCGCCGGCGCTGATACCCGCGCCGCCACCGCGCCGCCGGCGGCTGCTCGTACGGGTTAACGAGCTTCTGAGCTCAGGCTGCGGTGGCGGCGGCGGCGGCGGCGGCGGCAACGGCCCCTGCCCGTGCCCGTTGCCGTGCCTGTAGCTATGACCTCTGGACATGACACCTCCGCTGTCCCAGCCCCGCGATAGCAACGCTTCATCCATGCTTTGACGTGCCCGACTCCGGTTTATCCTGCATCCGCTATCCATACCCATGGCCAGCCGCTCCCCTACCAAATCGTCTGCATCGCCATCGACACCTGACGGCGTTGGCAACGTGCCATCAACGCCGCCTGCGGCCGTGCTGCAGCTGCCACCACCAGCGCTGTTGCCCCTGCGGCCGACGACGGCGGGGCTGGGGCCCGGGTCAACGGCGGCGGCGCGGCGGGAGGCCGCCCATGCCATGGCTTTCCAACCAAGTGCCGTCAAACCACTGACTGCGGCGGCGGCTCCGCCGCCGCCGCCGCCTCTATTGGTAAGGTGCGAAGAAGAATGTTGCACCTTGGCGGCGGCGGCAGAACTGCCGCCATTCGTCTCCTGGTTACCGCTAGTGCTACTGCCGCCGTCACCTGCGCGACACGTCGTACTGCTATCGTTCTGAACCCCGGGATGCTGCGGCAGGGGCTGCGCCGCTGCCGCGGCCGCTGCCGCGGCAGCAGCGCCGCCGCCGCAACCGCCAGCGCTCCACCTTGCCGGCGGCGGCGGCAACAGAGCTGACGGAAGCGGGCTGCCAAACGCGCCTTGCGGCGTGACGGCGCCTAGGCTCTGCGTGCTCATTAGGCTTAAAGCCTCATCCAGGTGCGAATCTTCACGGCCGCGGGCGAAGGGAATGGGTACGGCAGTTACGGTGTCGGTGCGTTCTAAGACGCTAGGTCTACTGGGCTTTAGTGCCCCGGCGGCGGGCGGCGCCAGAGCTACCG